AAATGTTACTTTGGCATATGTACCGTGTAAACATACATATGCATTTAGTAAAAAGCGGTTATTTTAATATTACAAACAGACACTCCAATTTTATTTATTTGTATAGATACATACACATTTTACATAGAAAACACCCGAACTCCGAAACAAATATTTGCAGATCATACAAACATTCGGTCCAAGACCTCAGCACAGCAGTCGCATACGCTAACCACTGCACAACCGAAGCAGTCAACAAAGCTTGAAATAAAAAATAAACAACAAATCTTGACAACCCTACATCATCTCAACAATGAATGAATTATGTAAATATCTCGCATGTCTGCTGACCTACATGTGCTATAAGAAGATTCATACTTGAAGGCTTTCTCTTTCCTTCAATACTGACATAAACCTGACAACAAAAAAAAAAAATAGGGGCACTCCGGGAGTGCCGACAGAAGTATAAACTTATTTTTTTTTTGATTATAACAGGTTTTTTTTTTTTCTTTTTTTCGATTCCAAAAGTTCCGCCATGAATATATATCTATTTTGTACCTATATACACAATATATGTTTATATTATAAACTAGCTGAGACCCGCGGTGATACCCGTGTTTGTTGTTACGACCGCGGGCAACGCCGCGGGGCGAAGCTAGTCTAAAAAAAGTAGCCAAGTTACTCCTTATGTCATCAGCTATCTGCCAGTGAAAGTCCCGATGAAATCGGTCCAGCCGTTCCAGAGATTACCCGGAACAAACACACAGACAGACCGACAAACAGACAGACAGTCAAAATTTAAAAAAAAATGATATTTTGGCATATGTACCGTGTAAACACACATATTATTACATATGCATTTAGTAAAAAGCGTTTTTTTTTTATATTACAAACAGAAACTCCAATTTTATTTATTTGTATAGATGTATTTCCACCCAAACTCAACTCTCGTGTAAACGGGGCCAATATATGTATTTTTTTTATTTAGGATCACCAACAAAGGATGTACACAAAATATCAAAAATACATTTCACACGGGTATGGGTATGTGTACTCCTTCAATTACAGGAGACCACAGCATGCATATTTTCAACTAAGTAAATAATAATTTTATGATACAATAGAGCCTAAAAAAGAAAAGTGCTTAGATGTAGATACTTATATACACATCATCACATCAACAGCTTTTAATAGTCCACTGCTGGACATAGGCCTCTCCTTAGAAAGGAGGTTTTGACCTACTATACCATGCTGGCCAGAAGGGTTGGTATAGGGATTGTATCAAGTTTTCCTTCTTTTTGCAGTGCTGGTGTCCTGCGTTGTTTTGCGCCCTTAGTCGCCTCTTACGACACCCACGGGATGAATTGGGGTATATACAGAGGTGTCGGTAATGGTGTAGGGAGTTCAATGATTTTTTCCTATCTCAAAAAATACATTATTCTGTTTGTTGTTTAAAGATTGCCCAACGCGCTTTCTTTTTTTCTTTTTTTTTTGTTGACGGGGTGGAAAATCCCTTCGGATCTCCTGCTCCTCGGGGACTCAGGAGCCAGGAGTGTGGTGATTCCACTAAAAACCACCCCGACGGCCGGCCTTAGGTGTCCTACTCTGAGGAGGAACCGGACCATGTTATTTCAGGTCCTCCCCGAATTGACACCATGCCTAATCGGGCCCTCTCCCAGGGGAGAACACTTCCTCTTTCAATCGCGGCATGGCGGCCCGATCGCATCTTAATGCAATCAGGCCGGCCATTCCATTCCCTACCGCAGCAATCAATCTGCCACCAGAGGTCGCCACTCTCCCCGCGGCCCCGTCGACGGCTGATATCGCCGCCGATGCCCAACGCGCCTATAGAAGTTTTCACTTCAATAATAACTTTCCACATCTCATACATGGCCGTCTGATCGCAAACTAGGCAGAGCCTTATCACTAAATATATATCCAATATAGGTAAATAACACCCAGGCACAGAACAAATCGTGCTCATCACACAATATTTGACCTGGGTGGGCATCGAACCCACGATCTCTAGCTCAGCAGTCAGGATCTAACTACTACAATAGTTGTCCCTATTACGTAAGTAACACAAAAATTATATTTGTTGTAAAATATACTTATTATATATACTAGCGGTCGATTTTCCCCCGCATTTTAAATCTCTGATATCTTCTATGATATTTATATTAATGATATGCTGTTAAGGACAATTTTGATCTGCATTAAATGCACTACGTATCTTACGTATTTAATTGCATTAGGAATAATAATGTATTGTTTGAAATAGCTTCGTAAATAACCCATTACTTTTTGTTGTAAAATGTTAAAGATAAAAATAGTTAATGTGGGTTGTCCTTAGGAGATAGATTTTTAACAATTCGGACTTTATTTTAGATCTAAGATAGATAGATAGATAGATTTAAGATATACAATTCCATAGCACATTATTTTGGTCCATCTCGTAATGTTTAGCCAGCGTTTGCAATGTAAGCGCACAAAAATATGTTTTTTTTACGACGAATCTTTGATATTCTCAGATTTTCGCTACTATAATATGCATGTATTATACATATAAACCTTCCTCTTGAACCACTCTCTCTATTGGTGGTGGTATAAACCGCATTAAAACCCGTAGCTTAGTTTAAAAGATCTAATCAAAAAACCGACTTTATTTTATGCTATGTGCTGAACAGATCGAGGTAGTATTTCACTCCGGCCCACCGCCTTCAGCTCTATAAGGGGCAAGTCCGGCCGCATATGGAATACTGTTCTCATCTCTATGCAGGGGCACCTCAGTACCAGCTTCTCCCTCTGGACAGCATCCAACGAAGAGCGACTCGAATCTTAGATAGCCCAAACATCTCCGATCGGCTCGATCCCTTGGCGTTACGCAGAGATGTGGCTTCACTCTGCATTCTCTATCGCATATATAACGGAGAGTGCTCGGAGGAATTGTTCGACACGTCAAAATTTTCATCCTTATTACCTGGATAGTTGGCGCTCCACTACTGGGCGCTTTTCAAGACCCTTTTTGGCCCGCACAACCAATCTGTGGAACGGGTTATCGTCTGCCGTATTTCCGGACCGATACGACCTTCAAACCTACTCCTTCCTAAAAGGCCGGCAACGCGTTTGTGACTCCTGAGTTGCAGACGTTCATAGGCGGCGACGGTCACTTTCCAACCTTTCCTGAACCGTCTGCTTGTCCCACTAACATAGAAAAAAAAGATACATGTTCGTAGTACATTATTTTGATCTATCTTGTAAGATTTTGCAATGTCATCGCGTAAAAACATATCTTAGTGGTATTTAGTTTAATAGTGGTAGCAATTATGTTTAGTTTTATTCAATGTCGTTTTTTGGTCAGTTCTCATGGAATAATCTGTTTTTTTTTCTTCAAATTTAAGTATATATTTAAAACTGGTTGAATACTTAATTAATTTTATTATATCGTGTTATATTTTTTCACACGTCCTTTATAACAGATATTTACAGTCAAATATTGCGTAAAATTGCCGTCACAATACGAATTTTTGTGTTGTAAGATTTAAATTTTATTTCCGAATACAATAAAAACTTAAAATCTTCCGACTGTTGGTTTAGTTTTTATATTTATATGTATATTTTTATATAAAAAGACGACTCCCGCATTAGAAATATATCCTGTGTCGCGGGGGACTTTACAAACATACATGAAACGGACACAAAGAACACCCAGACTCGGAACAACAATTAGTGGATCACACAAAGTATCGTCCCATGTGGGGTTTGAATCAACAACACTCGGTGTAGTAGGAAGCGGCGTGGCGACAGCTTAAACTACTACGCCATCCGTGCAGTCTATTTCTTTCAATGATTAGTTATTAAATGAAATTTAAGATGTCTTTGTATGCCATGGCTAAATATTGTGGCATATGTATGTATGTAGCATCTATCTCTTTGTATGTATGATTTCATCATGTACTGAAATATATTTTCAACATCAACAGCCTTTAATAATCCACTGCTGGACATAGGCATCTCCTTAGAAAGGAGGTTTTGGCCTACTATACCACGCTGGCCAGATGGATTGGTATAGGGTTTGTGTCAAGTTTTCCTTCTCTTTGCAGTGCTGTTGTCGTTTGCACGGGGTGAATAGGGGTGGTGACACTCCGTATTCATAATACGTCACGACACGGATGAAATACATAACAAATGTCGAAACAAAAATCGATTCGATTGAAAAACAAAAATCGATTCCCACCTAGGACAAATATTGATGCTCATCAATATTTGTCCTAGGTGGGAATCGAACCACCGACGTCCTCTGGCTAACCACTAGACCAAAAGACAACAAAATTACTAAATAACGATGATAAATAAAAAACGGCGTGAGGGGTCTATGGACCCCCGGTCCGGAAGTTCCTTTTTCTTTTTGGTAGACGGTTGCTATACAGTCATAATTTTTATTATGAAATATCAATTCTATAGAGTTAAATTGAAAAGTTTATAATAAAATATATTTATTATGTACAAAATAAATTAAACACCGAATGATCTGGGACAAGCAGTGTCGGAAAAAAGTCTTGTTACACATTTTTCGGTCTGGCTCCCATCCGCTCAGAACGTATAACGCGCGATAAGGAACTTCGCTCCAATTATAACAAAAAAGGTACATCTTAGATCATAAAACATTCAGAATTAAATCAATACTACATAAAAATTCAGACTGTTTGAACGCGTTAATCTCAGAAAGTACTGGTTCGATTTGAAAAATTCTTTCAACCTTAGATAGCCTAGTTATCGAGGAAGGCTATAGGCTATACACCATCACGCCACCACCAATAGGAGTCGAGTATCAATGAAAAGTGTTTCAAAGAAAATTTCTTCCTTTTGAGACGCTGACAAATTTGTGTGGGTCAGGTATGGCGTTATTTTTGATGACCTTGTGCATCTGTAAGTAACAATACTGATTTAAAAAGCTCGCAGAGAGTACTGAACGTCATTCGGTGTGTGTTGTTAGTGTAGTGAACATCTTTATGTTAAAAATGGTGAGTGTTTATAAAATACTAGTGATTAATTCTTAATTCGCGTTTCTAGCTTAGAATACACGATGGCTGGAGCCTGTATGCCGTCTGTATGGACAGGTTGACTCAAAACTATGATCCTTTCCTCAAAAGGCCTATCCAGACCCTATACTGTACTCGCACAGTTTTATTTAACTTTGTTTACGGACTTAATAAAAAAAAAAGACACCTCTGTGGTTTGTTTCGGCGTTTCTTCCCAGAGTGAGTCTTAGGAAATGCCGGCTCCTTCTAGCTATAAAGTCCGACTTGTAAAAATATCTGAAAAGATTTACTTACGGAAATAAATATCATTTCAATAGAACATTTTATTTTGCAAATATGGGTAATACGTGATAGGTGTTACAGTACGTTGAAGCTCAACCATATTTTACCTCAACTATCATTATCATCAACAGCCTATAACAGTCCACTGCTGGACATAGGCCTACTATACCACGCTGGCCAGACGGGTTGATATAGGGTTTGTGTCAAGTTTTCCTTCTCTTTGCAGTGCTGTTGTCCTGCGTAGTTTGCTCCCTTAGTCGGCTCTTACAACACCCACGGGATGAATAGGGGTGGTGACACTCTTTATTCTTTTTATCCGTGTGGTGGCGGATTAAGAATAAATAGTCTATCTATACAAATAAATAAAATCGAAGTGTCTGTTTGTAATGTCAAAATTATAGGTTTTTTCATGCTCACACGGTTATTTGCACGATACCCGTGCCTAAAAACCAGTTGTTTTTTTTTGTCTGTCTGTTTGTTCCGGCTAATCTTCTAAACGGCTGGACCCATTTCGATAATATTTTACTACCAGGTACATAAGGAATAACTTAGGATATTTTTCCTCTCAGAAAAACCTTTTAAAATTTTGTGCGGTCCGGGCATAGAACCCACAAGTTGCGGAACCAGCTAGTCTTTTATAAAATAATCATTTAAATCTTATTAATAGTACGTTATTGCGTTTAAATGAATTATACAGCTTTTAAGCTATTGCATAGCTTCTATCGAGGGCCTTGAGCGCGGGGACCGAATCCAGAAATTCCGTAACGAAAAAAAACCTCACGCTAAAAAAAAAACAGTACCAAAATCAAATGCTGAACGTCAAAGGAAATTTCGTCAACATAATGCAGAAAAATCTTACATGGATATGTAATTTGATTTAATAATAATAATTTTTATTTATTTATTTAAAAACAAATTGTAATATATGCTTCAATATTTTTATTTAATAAAAGAAAAAAAAAATGTTTTCTTATCGGTCACCACGCTCATAAAGTGTAACTTGAATTAATATCAAAGAAAAAGAAATACTGCATAAATAAAATAAATAAATAATTATAATTGCATAAGTTGATACAAAATGCTATGCAATAGCTTTACCGCGGCAGTCCCCGAGTGCCACACGTCTTTTTTTTTATTTAATAGCTTTTGCCCGCGGCTCCGCTCGCGTTTATGTTATGTAGGTTTTCGCGGTAAAACGTAGCCTATGTTACTCGCTGCTAATGAAGCTTTCCTTTAGTAAATTTTTCTTTAAATCGGTTAAGTGGTTTAGGCGTGAAAGCGTAACAAACAAAACTTTTACATATATTTTTTTCGTTAAAAAGGACAACTCCCGCATTAGGAATATATCCTGTGTCGCGGGGGACTTTACAAACATACATGAAACGGACACAAAGAACACCCAGACTCAGAACAACAATTCGTGAATCAAAGTGGTGTCCCACGTGGGGATCGAACCCACAACACTTAGCGCAGTAGGAAGCGGCGTGACGACCGCTTAAACCACTACGCCATCCGTGCAGTATCTATACAAATAAATAAAATTGGAGTGTCTGTTTGTAATATTTAAATAACCACTTTTTACTAAATGCATTTGTATGTTTACACGGAACATGTGCCAAAATATCATTTTTTACAATTTTTGTCTGTCTGTCTGTCTGTTTGTTCCGGGTAATCTCTGGAACGGCTGGACCGATTTCGACGGGACTTTCACTGGCAGATAGCTGATGACATAAGGAGTAACTTAGGCTACTTTTTTAGACTAGCTTCGCCCTGCGGCGTTGCCCACGGTTACAACAACAAACGCGGGTAACACCGCGGGTCTCAGCTAGTTTATAAGTAAGGATTATATGAAGAAACTATATTTTGTTGTTTTATTAAACCTGTTGTTTTGACATTACCAACAGAGCCATCAACCATCTTCAGTAGCCTCTAACAGTCCACTGCTGGACATAAGCCTCTCCTTACAAAGGATGTTTTGACCTACTATACCACGCTGGCCAGACGGGTTGATACAGGGTTTGTTACAAGTTTTCCTTCTATCTGCAGTGCTGTGGTCTTGCGCAGTTTGCTTCCTTAGTCGCCTCTTACAGGATGAATAGGGGTGGTGACACTCTGTATTCTTAATCCGTCACCACACGGAGACATTACCCATACTTAGGGTTATTTGTATTAGAATCTCAGTCTTTCAAGAGTCTGCATGTTTCTTTGTATATAATAAATACATTCGGATATTTATAATAAAGTGCTAGAGTCCTGATTTTGCAATAATAAAACAAAACTAATTACAAAAATATGACTGCTTTTTAAACGAGTTAAAATAGAAATGTGTTTTCAATGGGAGTAGGTGACTGTTAAGTCAAATTAGTATCTTGTTAAGAATACGGAGTATCACCACCCCTATTCATCCCGTGGGTGTCGTAAGAGCCGACTAAGGGAGCAAGCAACGCAGGACAACAGCACTGCAAAGAGAAGGAAAACTTGACACAAACCTTACACCAACCCGTTGGTCAGCGTGGTATAGTAAGCCAAAACCTCCTTTCTAAGGAGAGGCTTTTTTGTCCAGCAGGCTACCACCACCATACGGACTCAAAACACTATTTCGTGTTGATTCTATGTTACAAATAATTTCAGAAATTCTTCATCCTTGCTACCATCGTATCGCTGGCAGCGGCCGACGTGTCCCACATCGTAGGCAAAGATGAGAGGGGTGCTCAGATTCTGAGACAGGAACAGGCCGTGGACCCAGAAGGATCCTACCAGTGGGCATACGAAACTGACAACGGTATCGCTGCTAACGAGGTCGGCACGATCAAGGTCATCAGTGAAGTAAGTACTACACCACTAAATGATTTGAGGACCGAATGGCGTAGTGGTTTGTGTAACGGACTGCTATTTCAAAAGGTCGCGGGTTCGATTCCCGCTCAAGTCAAACATTTGTGTGCATGAACTTTTCTTGTTTGATTTGGTCTGGGTGTTTCTATGTATAATATGTATGTATTTACAAAAAAAAAGTATATATGTATTTATATCAGTTGTCTAGTACCCATAGTACAAGCTCTGCTTAGTTTGGGACCAGATGGCGTTGTGTGAATGTGGTACAATATTATTATTATTATTATTTTACATCATCATCTTTCTGCAATGTTTCTTGGAGCAAAAATGGCCATTGCAAATTGATTTGATAGTTTTTTGAACCGACTTCAAAAACACAAAAGAGGTTATCAATTCCTCTGTATTTTTTTTTTGAAATGTTTGTTACGCGATATCTTCGTCAATTGTGGACTGATTTTCAAAATTATTTTTGTAATCGAAAGGGTATACTCCCGACGTGGTCCATTACCATCAGGATTTGATGATGGGATCCTAGAGAACTAAAGGGTATATTTCCGCTTTAGTTCCATTGAAATGTGAAAGAAAAAATATCACTCCTAGTTTTGTAAAATTAAGTAATGTGGAAAACACAATATATTCTGATTCAAATGTAACATCTCACTACCTTATCTAAATAAAGTAACGGAATTATTAAACTATATTTAATATAATCTAACATACTACAGTTTGGTAATATACATTACGGTACGTAGTGTTTTAAATATCGTACTTATCTACTCATTACAAACATATCTTACACTTAATTAGTAAAATAAATCCTTTAAAAAAAAGTTGAACCGACTTCAAACAATACTGACAAAGAGCATTAAAAATTATAAAAATATTACAAATCTAAGTAAAAAAAACTATTAGTACCCTCAATATAACAGGTAACATTATAATGGCAATAGTCCCTTCTAGTCGGTTTGAAGTCGGTGCCAAGCCCGATGCACAATAAGTATTACTGGTCTATGTCAGCTTTATATTAGCACAATAAAAAATAAGAATTCAATATATTCTAATGATGACTGCACGGATGGCGTAGTGGTTTAAGCGGTCGCCACGCCGCTTCCTACTACGCCGAGTGTTGTGGGTTCAAACCCCACATGGGACGACACTTTGTGTGATCCACAAATTGTTGTCCTGAGTCTGGGTGTTCTTTGTGTCCGTTTCATGTATGTTTGTAAAGTCCCCCGCGACGCAGAATTTATTCCTAATGCGGGAGTTCTTTTAAAAAAAAAAAAAAAAAAAATGAAACATCGCAGATTTTGTTAATTAATAAATACCAACCAGATCAATTACGTGCGCAAACTTATCAATTACTTAATAAAGCATTCAAAACAATAATATCATGGGAGATGTGCGTAACATCTCCCATGATATTATTGCTGCACTGCTAGACATAGGCCTCTCCTTAGAAAGGAGGTTTTGGCCTACTATACCACGCTGGCCAGACGGTTTGTTTGAAACAAACCCTATACCAACCCGTCTGGCCAGCGTGGTTTTCTATCTTTTTACAGTGCTGTTTTCCTGTGCAGTTTGTTACCTTAGTCGGCTGTTAAGACACCCACAGAATGAGTAGGGGAGGTGACATTCCGTATTCTTCATCCGCCACCACACGGATATTAGTTTGGATTAATCAATTTTTGTGTTTGTTTTAGGACACCGTCGCAAAAGTAGCCCAAGGTCAAGCCAGCTGGACAGCCCCCAATGGTGAGAAAGTGGACTTCACTTACATAGCTGACGAGAACGGATACCAACCACAGGTAACATTATCTTACTAGGTATTGGCTTCCCTCGCGTCATTATTTTGTGTTCTAAGGGGCTTCTACACGGTGCTAGAAGCTGGAGGGGGCAAAGACGCAGGATATTTGCGTCAGTTGCATGCACAAGTTAAACGTCTGGTTAGTATAATGTGCGTGCTGCTCGCGCTGGTTACTTGTATGCGTCTTGCTCGTTTCAGATTTGACACAGTTCAGTACTGTTTTTTTTTTATGGTATAAGGGGGCAAACGAGCAGACGGGTCACCTGATTAGTTAAGCAACCACCATACCCATGGACACCTGCCACTCAAAAGTCACAAGTGCGTTGCTGCCCTTGAGCCAGCGGGAGGGGGGGATTTGGGCTCCGGTAACCTTACTCACTCAGTGAAAGGCAACGAAAGAATTGCTTAACACCGGTTTTCTGTGAGGCCGTGGTATCACTCCGTTCGAGCAGGCCCATTTGTGCCGAAGCATGGCTCTCGAGTCGCTGGACCCGTATAGCCCTTTAATTAAATTACCTGCGCAAGTGTAGAAGCACCATAACTTTAAAAATAACGTCGTTCATCCTTTATTTGAACCCCTTATGGTTAAATTTGCCAAAAATCCTTAAAGAATTAGTAAACAGCCTCATTCTTATTATTTTCAGGGAGATATCCTGCCAACACCCCCACCGATCCCCCTAGAAATTCTCCGTGCTCTTCAATACATCAAGGACCATCCGTCACCACCAGAAGCACAGCAAAACTAAACAAACCCATCAAATAATTCGGATTGTTTTATTTAAATGTAGATAATATGATATCTAATGAAAGTTTAGAATAAGTTAAAAAAAAATACTTCCCCATACAAACTTGCAGTTAAGTAGTTTTGAAAAATGAATTTTGCACCCTTATGTGGTGGAATTTTTAAAAAAACATTTCTTAGGGCACACCCATGTGAGCAGCAAGGAAGCGTCCGAGTTCCTACACAGGACGGGTCATCTATAAGCCGTAGATGGCCTGAAGTACGTCGGGGTACTAGGGCTTTCCTTTCTAGGGTATACCTGGTTCCCGGCTACTGGTACCTGGAGACGGCGTGCGGTTTTTGGTCGGTTCGAGTCCGACATAATCACCCAAAAGGCCACACCCACGTCACCTAAGGAACATTAGTGCAAAATTTCACGCTTTTAGGCCCAGCGGTTACAGCTGTGAGTGGGTCGATCCGTCAGTGAATTAATCTAACAGTTTCTTCTTATATAAATTAGTAGCTACCTCAAAAACATGATAAAATACCACGTGTCTATGCTACATAATCAATGTAAAAAAAAACCGTCTATTTCTTGTATTTTGGCATGTTAGGAATTACCGACCGAGTTAAGTTGCCTACAAAAACCAGTCAGTTGTTCATTACTGAAAGGGTTTTTAAAATTATCCTATACAGAAAACTGTTTCATCATCAGCCTATCGCAGTCCACTGCTGGACATAGGCCTCTCCCACGCCACTTAGATCGATTTTGGGCTTCTCGCACCCAGCTCCTGTCAGCCATCTTGCGCAAATCGTCACTCCACCTGGCCTGTGGGCGTCCTACACTAATTCAATCAAGAATTCGTTTTCCCCAACAGTTGTCGGTTCTGCAGCTAATATGGCCAGCCCACTGTCACTTCAGCTTGCTAATTCGGTAGGCTATATTGATGACCTTGGTTCTCTACCGGATCACCTCATTCCTGATGCGATCCCTCAGAGAAAAGTGTTACCAACCATCAATTCGGTCAGATATACCGAACAGTAATATGTAATACTGAATATCGTACAGAACGGGAAGTTTTTAGATCTTCTACCGGTATAACTGATCGGTATTTAACACGAGTCCGGTAATACATATATGACTAACGGGTATTTTTAAGTAAGGACTCATTATATCGGTTAGATATTACCTATTTATCGCACTTTCAGAATTAAAGTGACGTAACTCAGAATGTTTTTGTGAGCAATGTGGCTTCAAAACGTAGAATTATTGTCCAATGCTGAGTTCTAGACTCATTATTCTCTTTAAAATTCTTTCTCAACAGTGTTTTAAAGAACTTTTTAAGTCCAAAATCAGAAGATTCAAAAGTCTTCAGTTAAGTCATTTTTGTTCTAAGAATGCGATAAGTATTAAATTATAATTGTATGACGTTTTTAATAAAAAAAAATACTCATTTATGTATGTTAAAGTACTGTGATGAGGATGCCATACCTTTCTTGAATATAATAAAAAAGAAAAAAAAATGTGGTTTTATTTACAACTAGCTGGTATTGGACTTCTTTCGCGTGGAACTTGAAAAGAACTACCATAGTGGGCTCGATTCCCGGACCAGGCAAAATTTTAAAAGGTTTTTCTGGGAGGGAAAATAGCCTAAGTTACTCCTTATATAGATGGCTACCAAATATAATCAAAATCGGTCCAGCCGTTTAGAAGATTACCCGGAATGAACCGACAGACAGACAGACAAATAATAATAACTGGTACCAATTGATAAATAGGAATACAGAAGGCCTTTTTCAAAAAAAGTTGAATAGACTTAAAAAAATACTAACCAAGAGTACTAAAAATTAAAAATTAATTACAAAACTAATTATAATAAACCAAAATAAAAGCGACCTTCAATATAACAGGTAACATTATAATAGCAATAAATACCTTTAAGTCTGTTTAAAGTCGGTGCCAAGCCCAATGCACAATAAGTAATGTTAAGGACTGTAGGTTGCCTACGATTTCTCTAGGATACCATCACCAGATCCCGATTTCGTGGTAATGGGATCATCTCGGGAATATACCCTTTCGATAACAAAATGAATTTTGAAAATCGGTCCACAATTGACGTAGATATCACGTAAAAACACACAAAAATAAAAAAAAACAGTCGAATTGAGAACCTCCTCTTTTTGTTTGTGAAGTTGGTTTGAATTTATAAAAAGCAAGTCAACGAACTTGTGGTTCTTCAGTTGCCAGACACTTCTAGCCCCCCCCCCCCCTCCCAAATAAAAAAGATGTCGAATCAAAGAATGGCTTAGTAACTCATCACAATTCAAAAATACCTATGTTAACACTGAAAGACATCTTCTTGATGGACCCTAAAATTTGAGCACAAGACTTACCTTGGTCGCGTAGCACGGTGACCGCTTCTAAAACACGCTTCGTGTAAATACAGGGCTCGTAGTTGTCCATCTCCTGGGTCACGACTGAGCACACCCTGTGTACAAGGCAATAAAAAAATATATATACAAATACACTCCTTGAAGTTATGTGTTCCTGGTAGTTTATAGATTTGAGCGGACCCCCCCCCCCCCCTCATCCCATTAACCCTTGGGGGATTATGAAAGATCATTAGACACAGTAAGAAACAAATTATGTGTACATCTTAGCCTACTACTCAATCCAGGGTAACTGACTCATCAGTGACCATGGCTTGAGTCATCAACCTGGTCGAAGTCAAGTCTGATTTGAAATGATATTTGTCTTGGGTGGGGATTGAACCCACGACTTCTGTCTTAGCAGTGAGGCCCGTCAATTCCCTAGAAGATAATTGAGTTCATGAACTGAATTATCAGTACCAGTAATTTTATTTTAATGTGAAAGGGACCAGACGAGCAGACGTGTCACCTGTTCTATATTTTCCCCAATAAAACTGACCCCCCCTCCCACAAATTCCGCTAAAAGTATCAGTGAGAAATAATACAAAAAGTTAAAACAATTATAAGGAATGTAGTCAACACTCCTTATAATTGTTTTTTCTGTATTTTCTATATTTCTTCCCCTTTTTTTCCCGTGCCGGAAATCTCCTCGGATACCACCTATCGGTGGCATGTCGGACTCGAACCGACTAAAACCGCACGCCGGCTCGGGTACTAATAGCCGTATATTCCCTGCCCCTCCTTTTAGTAAACTTTCGGTAACCTTCGTGCCAGAAAAACCCTTCCCTCGCTTTCCCAAGAAAGAAAGCATTACCTGGTAGCTCTGCCACGTATGGCTCCAGCAGTTCGTTCCAAAGAATCAGGGTCACCTTCTTGGAGTGCTATCACGCACTTGTTTACGTCTTCCAAAATGTGGTTCTCTGTTAACAAGAATAGTAGGTTTAGTCTTTACTAATATTGTGTATGATTGTTTCATCACGCATTCTAAACGTCTGGGCTGTTTTAATACGATATTCACATGCAAATAGTTAATTTTTTTTTTACAACACTATCAACTTTCAACTCGAGTCACAAGAGCGGCCCTTTAACCCTCCCCCCCCCCCTACGGATCAGGCGAATCAGTAAAAAAATATTGCTATATACTGGTTTTCTGTGTGGCTCTGATATTTGACCGGTCGAGCCCGGTCTATAGGTAGGTAGGTAGGCGGTAGGAGATGCACTGACCGCTGACGGCGAGGAAGTCGTCGATGGTGGTGATGTCGTCGACGGCGTCGGTGAGCAGCTTGACGGCGCTCTCCCAGGCGCGCGCGAAGGTGGCGGCGTTCTCCTGCGCCACGCGCGACCGCGACCGCGCCGCCAGCACCCGCGCCGCGTTGATCACCTGACACACCACATACACACATCACTCACGTTACAGCTCAACATATCTAGCGACCGACCTACATAATAAAGGGTCCGCCATCTAAAGTTTTTTTTTCAACTAGTGCTTATTTCGTGAATGGTAACACTTAGCCACGGTACAATTATAATACAGTATTGTAACTCGGCCGCATGATAGAAATAAATGCCTACAGCCGCGCGGTACTTAAACATGCGTTAGGGCTGCCCGTCTCCAGCATTTTAATTATATTTGCCTACTTTCTGTTTCTATTTAGATTTGTGATTGTAAATATCCTTTTTATATAAATAAATGAAATACTTTGTATATTGAATAGGAATTGTTCAATAAAAATGCGTGTTGTTTTTTGATTGGTAGATTTAATTAAAAAACATTTTTTATTTGAAAAACCAATCGGGCTTATAAATTAGCGACCGAAAAAAATCCTTCTATAAAATAAAATAAATGTGCTTTCTCCATACGCGTTACAAAACTCCAATCCTTAGAAACTCCAACACCTACCACCTACTCAACTAGAATGCAAGAAACAGCTGACGAGTAAGTAACTTTTTATCTCAGCTAATTAACGTCTCTATAAATTACCTAACCTATAACCTACAACTCGCAACAACTCAAAACAAAAATTCTTTGGTCACCAATTAATTAATTATTAAAAAGCTGAACAGCTGACTACGAATGTTTTAAAATCACAACCCTCAAACATCTAAATATTATATATGAGTCTAGCTGTTGTTGTTAATACCGAGAAAATAAAACCAGTTTTAGTGGTATATGTTGTTATAGTAGCAGCAGAAACACTTTGTGAAAATTTCGAAAACTGTCTAATGACACACAGACGGTAACAAATTTTTTTTAGTATTATTCATACACACAGATAATAAAGATATATTATTAATAATAAATTACCACGTCTTTAAGTAGAATTTCCTTTTTTTTGAATTATGCAAAGTAACAAAACAAACATGCACCGAAGTTTTAACACAAGCGTAAGTAGGTAGGTACCTACCGTATCATGATTCATTCAGAACCGCATATAACTCCCTATTTCACTCGTCTCAATAACTTTCCGTTACTCTATTTGCTTTATTTATTCATCCAAACACCTTTTTTTTCGTGAGATAAAAGGAAATACTTATCCATTAAAAAGACACACATTATGTACCTACGTACTAGTAAGTAAAATTATTTTATAGTCTTACTTTTCAGAGTTTCCAGGTAATTTAAAAAAACTTATGTCTGGATGCGTTATTGCCGAATTCATACAACCAAAAACAGCACAATATTTCCTACTCGTCATATTAACTGATTTTTAGAGAAAAAATCGCGCGGTTATTGTTAAAAAAACAACACGCAGTCCGTTCGACACTGCGGTACAGCCGTGACTGTCTGCGCCCCGAGCGCACCCCGAGATCGAGGCGCGTAGGTAAAGCTCCCGTTTCGTCCGTTTGTATGAAGTTGCAGTACTGTATTATAATAGTACCGTGACTTAGCTCATGTCTGATTTGACAGATAATTAGTTTTATCCTTCCGCTGAACGAATATGGTTGTGTATACGCTTGAACGACGCTGGGAAATATTGAGACATTACTTTGAAAATCATGGTAATGTTGCAGAATGTGTGCGAAAATTGCGTACGGATTTTGGAAGAAGAGAAGCACCGTCAGCTCCGTATGTTCGTTATCTTGTGAAAGAAGTGAAAGAAACTGGCATTCTCATCGATAAACCAAAGCGTGAAAAGCCAAAAACAGTGCGTACACCCGAGAATATTGATGCTGTGGCAGAAAGTGTGCGTGAAGCGCCATCAACATCAATTCACCGTCGTTCTCAACAATTGAACATTTCGGAGACATCATTGAGACGAATTTTGCATAAAGACCTTGGTATGACGCCATACAAAGTCCAATTGGTTCAGGAGTTGAAGCCAACTGACCATCCAATGCGTTTTCGCTCCGCTGAGTGGGCCTGCGATCGACTTACAGAAGATGCCAATTTTGCCAAAAAATCATCTTTTCGGATGAAGCTCATTTTGATCTTGGCGGGTATGTAAACAAGCAAAATTGTCGCATTTGGGGCACAGAAAACCCGCACGCATACATTGAAAAGCCGGTACACCCAAAATGAGTCACTGTTTGGTGCGAATTTTGGTCCAGAGGCATAATTGGGCCATTTTTCTTCGAAAATGAGCAAGGAGTGGCCGTTACAGTCAATGGCGATCGTTATCGGGCCATGTTGAACGAATTTTTGTTCACAAAAATTGAAGAGGAGGATATTGGCAACATTTGGTTTCAACAGGACGGCGCTATGTGCCACACAGCCGAAGCTACACTCGATGTTTTGCGCCCTGTTTTTGAAGATCGCATTATCAGCCGCAGAGCTCATGTCGTTTGGCCACCTCGGAGCTGCGATTTGACACCGCTGGACTATTATATGTGGGTGTGCCCTCAAAGATAAGTGTTACGCCGACAAGCCAGAGACAATTGACGCTTTAAAGGACAATATTCGTGAAGCCATTGGTGAAATACAGCTGCACACAATCGATAATGTGCTTAAAAATTGGACCGATCGTGTAGGCTACTGCATGACCAGCCGCGGCAGCCATTTGAATGAAATTATTTTCCATTATTAACCGGAAGGATTGTACTTTCAAATAAAAAAATAAATTTGAGAAAATATTCAGTGGTTTTTTTTAAGCATTTTCAAAAAAAAAAGTTATTTGACGGACCCTTTATATACAAGAAACGTTTCATTTCATTACTACAGTTAAAAATAGAGATTAAAAATATTAGGACCAAGATTAGTTCCCTGAGGTACACCTAAGTGATACAACTACATATTTTATTTAATGTTAAAAGTTAATTGAATTTGAACAGCTGTATGAGTTGTGCCTTATTGTGATCCATAATTATCTAGATCTAAGTGAGTAGACATATATCTAATCTGAAGTATAAGGGGGACGTACTAGTCGGAGTACCAAGGATTTCCTTTCTAGAGTACACCTGGTTCCCCGGCCACTGGTACCCGAGACGGCGTGCGGTTTTTGGTCGGTTCGAGTCCGACATAATCACCCCGATAGGTGATATCCGAGAGGTTTTCCGCACAGGAAAAAAAAGGAGGACGTACTAATCAACACAGTCAAAAGCTTTTCTTAGATCGCTAACCATAAATACACCCACAGCGTCATGATATTGCACAGGTGCTGAAAACAGCAGAATTTAGAAAACTGTCCACCATTAATCACGATATAAATATAATAAAATAAAAATGACTCATATACCCCAGAGACTGTGTCTATTCTCTGCATCTTAGTGCTATCATAATTCTTAAACAGATGGATTAATTTTGTTTTAGTCACAAAAATAACTCAAAGGCAATCTTTACCTATATTTAAAAAAATCTTTTCGAAGTTCTTTCGAATTATTTTTATTTTTAGTATGTGATTTTTTAAATCGACTGCACGGATGGCGTAGTGGTTTAAACGGTCGCCACGCCGCTTACTATTACGCAGAGTGTTGTGGGTCCGATCCCCACATGAGACGACACTTTGTGTGATCCACAAATTGTTGTTTTGGTGTTTTTGTGTCCGTTTCATGTACGTTTGTAAAGTCGCGGAGGACACATTATATACTTATACCTAATGCGGGAGTTGTCTTTTTTTAAATAAATAAAATTCTCGCTACATACCTGCGGGCACAGTGCCTCAATATGCTCGGCAGCGTGACGCACCATCTTCACGCCATCTTCGTTATTCGACATGGAGCAGACGAGGTTCGCCACCTAAACAGTACAAGAAAAGATGTTCAGGCAAATAAACAATACACTCATATCTCTCCCAAAGGGGTAGGCAGAGTATTTTGGCCCTCTTACGTTGCATAGTTACCCCTCCCCCCTTACGTTGTCCGCGTGGTGACGGATTAAGAATACAGACTGTCACCACCCCTATTCGTCCCGTGGGTGTCGTAAGAGCCGACTAAAAGAACAAACTACGCAGGACAACAGCACTGCGGAGAGAAGGAAAACTTGACACAAACCCTATACCAGCCCGTCTGGCCAACGTGGTATAGTAGGCCAAAACCTCCTTTCTAAGGAGAGGCCTATGTCCAACAGTGGATTATTAAAGGCTGATGATGATGATGACGTTTTATAGCAAGCTTATGGCTGTCAACCGGACACATATATTAAGCATACTTATATTTTTCTAAACACATACATCCATTCTTATATATAGATAAGAAATTGAGTTTGTTTGTTTGTCGTTTTTACGCCTAAACTACTGAATCAATTTTATAAATTCTTTCACCAATGGAAAGCGAGTAGCATAGGCGACTCACTCACGCGGGTGGAGCGGGAGAAGCCACCAGGTTAGGTACATCAATTGGTCAAATACAGGTTCCAAGACAATTTCAATTCTGCTGGTGATCATAATTGGTGTCTTCTAAATTTGATCCTGGTGTACAAGAGTCTCAGCAGTGGGAATGTAAGTGGGATTGGTATATACGAACCTCTACAAGCTTGTTGGCGTGTTCAGTGAAAACGAGAGCGTATTCTTCCACTTCCTTCTCGTTTCCATTGCGAGCTGCTTCCATCAGCACCAGTAAAGGTACGTTGGTTTCTAAGAAACTGTGAACAATACATATACACATTTTTTTAATATTTTTTTTATGTAGGTAACATCTTTCGACTCGTTTTCCTGCAAACAATGGGAATGATTACGTAAAAAGGGACGAAAATGTGTAACAGAAAGCTATATCTTTTTATTGAAGTGAAACTTCTTTAGAACTGTTGTGATTTGAAACTCGATGAAACGAAAATGCGTCACGATAAAGTAACAAACACATAAATGTATAGGATTAAGTCGGCGAGAGTATTTTTAATATAATATTTTGACAGTGTGAATATTTTTATCTTTTTATTTAATACTAGCTGGTATCCGCAAATTCGAATTTGAAAAACGCTTCCTTAGTGGGTTCGATTCCCGGGCCAGGACAAAATTTTATAGGGTTTTTCTGATAAAAAAAAAATCGGAAGTTTCCCTTCTGCAGTGTGTGAATTGCACACACACACACAGACACACACACACACACCACACACACACTTTTTTAAATTGTTTTTGTATTTCACAAGTACCAGGCGCGCAGAACAGCTAAAGAGTTGCACAGTTACCTGTCAGAGACGTGATCGACGACCGCCTTCCTGAGCTGCCTCCTCAGGTCGCGAGTTTTACGGCACATGTTCTCTATGGCGCGCTCCAGTCCAGCCGACTGCTCAGGTTTGCCGGTCTGTTAACAAATTGAGAGGAGACTTAGGATCTGACAGAATTTCTTGTTAATAAACGGGGAGTCATTTATCGGCACATATCGCACTCTCAGAATAAAAGTGACGGAATTCAACCTAGTCCGTGTGGTGACGGATTAAGAATACAAATTGTCACCACCCCAATTCATCCCGTGGGTGTCGTAAGAGCCGACTAAGGGAGCAAACTAAGCAGGACAACAGCACTGCAAAGAGAAGGAAAACTTGAAACAAACCCTATACCAACCCGTCTGGCCAGCGTGGTATAGTAGGCCAAAACCTCCTTTCTAAGGAGAGGCCTATGTCCAGCAGTGGACTATTACAGGCTGTTGATGTGATGTGAATTAAAAATCATTTTTTTGGTAAAAAAAGAAGCAATTCTTCAAAAAGAAGATTGCGTAAATGAATAATGAAATAATAATAATAATACGTATATTTCACAAAAGCATACAGGGTTGCAAATTATAGATAGGCTGATATTTCTTAAGTACAAGTAAATGAAGTTAGCATCTGTTACCGAACTAGGCAAAGCCTGTATTTCGGCTATCAGCGCCAATCCTCTCGGATATAATATTGTCTAATTATCTTAGCCATTTACATAGGGGTAATAAAATTTGTATACACATTATTTTAATTTAACAGAAGTGTGTGTGTGTGTATGTATGTGTGTGTGTGTGTATGTATGTGTGTGTGTGTGTGTGTGTGTGCCTTCAAGTGTATATGTTTGGTTATTTGGTTAGACATAAGCCTTTAATGTCAGTCAATTTTTATTTACTTAGCTATATATAGGAGTAGTTCCGTTTCTTCATAATTCAGCTTTAGTAAGTATTCACATACCTGTTTCTTTAGAAGCACTTTTGTCAAGGGATATATGTTTATAGCTCTATTAATTCTATTGTATATAAAAGGGGCAATGAAATTAGCGAAACGTTGGGCAAATTTTGTTTTACAAGTTGCTAATCGGGGACAAACTATATCTTTTCTTCGTTTTTCCAAAAGTTGTGGGTCAAAGGTCTGCTTTCTATGTTGTAGCAGACAAGCGCTTAGGATAAATAGTTGACGAACTGTCAGAACTCCAGCTATCTGGTACAGCATTGTAGTAGGGAAGAATATGGGCTGAAAGGAACAGACTTTTAATATCGCACGCTGTGCGATCTCGATCGGTTTCATTACTGTTTTTAGGGCTCCACCCCAGGTAGAGATGCAGTACGTCAAGAGCGACTGACAAAGAGAATAGTATATCTGTTTCAACAATCCGGGGTCAGCAACATGCCTGAGATTTTTAAAGACATATATCAATTTTCTTACTCTTCCACACATTACCTTTATGTGTTCTTTAAAGTTAAGATTGCTGTCCATGATAACGCCCAAATATTTTATTGCATGTACACGTTCCACTGTGGGGCATGAGCAGTCACAGCCGGATTGACATTGATGTAATACGATTTTACGATTATTAAAATTCTCCTTGACACCCTTAATACTGAAGCAGATATATTTCGTCTTATCTACGTTAAGGGTAAGGATGTTTCTATCAAGCCAGTCCCCAACAGCACCAAAACCCGCCTGTGCAGCAACAAAAACCTCATTCCAAGTGTTGGCGCTAAAGGAAAGTGCAGTATCATCCGCGAAAGATATGATTATGCCTTTGGAGAGTCTTAAGCTTGTAAGTTCGTTTATGTACACGAGGAAAAGCGTAGGGCCAAGTAAAAGCGGCTAATGTATAGGGTTAACAGGATTTGAAGTGAGTTTTTTAAGTTTAGAGAAGAATTAGAAGTGACAGAAATAGGGAATATGCAAGTGTTTTTTTTTTGTTTCTTTTTATCTATAATACTTTTTTTTTTGTTGACGGGATGGAAAATCCCTTCGGATCTCCGGTATGTGGTGTTTCCAGTAAAAACCACCCCGACGGCCGAACTCAGGCCCTACTCCGAGGAGAATCCGGACCATGTTATTTCAGGTCCCCCCGGATCGACGCTGCGCTTAGCCAGGCCCTATCCCGGGGAAACCCAAGGACCAGGCCGCCATCCTATCGCCTACCGATGATACTTTTGGTCCTAACATGAAAATAATAGTTTACGTTTGATACTTATGGTCCTAATATTCAACATAAACTATTATTTTCTTATTTAGTTTATATATAATTGTTGAAAACTTGGCGAAATTAAACGATATTTTATTTTAAAAATTCATTAGTACTCTTTCAACTATATTTACCTATATGTTTTATTATATCAAAACTAAGTGAAAAATGAATTAAACAAATAAAAAAAATATGCATATTATGAACAGAAGTTTTATTCCACAAAAAAAGCAACGAAATAAGCGGGGAAACATTTGCCTGACGTTTAGAACAGGTTCCAATGACCGTGGTCAATGGCCAACTCAGATAGAACCAGCCTGTTATCCATACTTGATGGACTTAAAGTACCAGGCTCACAGAACTAGTGGAGATGTCATACAATAATGAATTATGATCGAAATTCGACCTTAAAGGCAAGTAATATTAGGTTCAAAATCAACTCACATTGGCCATATACTCGTGGAGTAAATCTTGGAGAGCTTGGCGTACTGCGTTGCATTCAGCCACGATGCGTTCGCGACGTTCATCCCTGGAGAAGAAAAACATAGGAAAAACATATATCTCGTTTGTGTGGTGACGGATTAAGAATACGGAATGTCACCACCCCTATTGATCCCGTGGGTGTCGTAAGAGCCGACTAAGGGAGCAAACTACGCAGGACAACAGCACTGCAGAGAGAAGGAAAACTTGAAACAAACCGTATACCAACCCGTCTGGCCAGCGTGGCACAGTAGGCCAAAACCTCCTTTCTAAGGAGAGGCCTATGTCCAGCAGTGGACTATTAAAGGCTGTTGATGATTGATGATGATATCTTCTACTGTAAGGTCTAGATTATGGAAAAAGGACAAAAAAAGTGGGAGAGCATTGCAAATGAACAAATGGGGCTTCTCGACGGGAGTGAAAGCACGGTCTTACAAAACCTGTGCTGTTCCTGTACCAAAATTGCTGTGCCCTATAGTTAAACCGCCGTAAGCTTGGCCCTCCTGATGGTTTGCGGGACGCGGGGCGGGTGATGCGCTCGGCTATACATGACACGATGTACTAACTCGATATCTTCAGATTTATTTGTTTGAGATTTAATCTACACACGATGTAATAAAAATCGAATTTGTATTATAATGTCAGTGTATTGTAAGTTTTTATGATTAATTGTTAAATTTAATACGGTAAAATAATTTTAATAAAGTCACCTTATCTTCATCATGTAAATTATATTCAGATACAATTTAAAAATTAAGTAAAATAATAAATATTCTTTGTTAGAACTTTAACAGTAGAACCTCTGTAAGCTGAACTTCAAGTTTTTAAATCTTTTTGTGACGCAGAGTCGGCAGATTATCTATGTTGCAAAATAACCGTGTGTAGCAGTCTTAAGAAAAATAACACGTACAGCCATGCTTTCACGTCAGTCACTGCCGGCGGACAGCGACGCACTAGCTAATTGGTTGAATGCACCCCCGCCCCGCGTCCCCCAAACCATCAGGAAGGCCAAGCTTACGGCGGTTTAACTATAGCAGGGTTTCATGTCTTTAGAACCAAAATTGAAATGAACACCTTATGTATACATGAACGCAATAAAAACTTTGACTTCGAAACAGTGGTGGGCAATTGGGTGAGGATTTCAGGATTTGAGTTGCCGTTCAATGGGTGGCGTGAGTAAAGAGGGAAGTGTTACCTGGTGCAGGAGCTGTCCGCCATGAGGGCGGCTCCAGAGATGATGGACTCCAAGCGCTCCTCCAGCGAGGGACGCGTGCGGAGCTCGGAGTAGGCCAGCGGCTCCATCACCATGCGCTCCTGGGTATATGTAGGATATTCTTAACCTTTTACTAATATTATAAAACTGAAGCGTTAGTTTGGTTGAACGAGCTAATCTCGGGAACTGTTAGTTCGAATTTGAAAAATATCTTTTAGTGTTGGATAGCCCATTTTTAAGGAAGGCTATATAACATCACGCTAAAATCAATAGGAGTCGAGTATCAATGAAAAATTCCGAAAAAACTATTTTATTTTGTTTAACTATTTTTATTCTTAAAACTAAACTAAACTCAAATAAAATAAAATATTGAAGAATGGTCTGGAAAAATAAAGATGTTCGAGAAACTCAAAATAGAACTCAAATGAAGAGGGGTGTAGGCAGGTAAACAGGGGGGGGGTTTGAAAGGTAAATAGGGGGGTGTGTGTGTAGAAAGGTAAATGGGGGGGGTGTAGAAAGATAAATGGGGGGGGGTGTAGAAAAGTAAATGGGGGGGGGTGTAGAAAGGTAAATGGGGGGGGTGGTGTAGAAAGGTAAATGGGTGGGAGTGGGGGTTGTGTCTCACGTCGAAGTCGTCGAGCGCCTGCGCCAGCTCGCCGGGCCCGTCGGAGAGCCTCGCGGCGGGCGCGGGCTGCCCCTTGGCCACGCACGAGATGGTGTCCACGGCCGAGCACACGGCGCGCAGCACGTAGTCGCGGTTGGCCTTCGCCGCCGCCAGCTCCGGGTGCCGCACGTACACCTGAGCACCGTACCATCTTACCTCAACAAGAAGATATAGCCAAATTTCGATTTTCGCGAATACTTGTGAGTATAAAAAATTTACCTTGATTTTCAATTTTTTTTTTTTTATTTTTTTTTTTTTTTTTTTCAGTATTTGCTCTTTACTTGCACTATAAGACCTTGCTTTTAACCAAAATTGTCAATTCTAGGTCAACCGGAAGTACCCTATAGGTTTTGGGTCGAAAACCTATATGGTAGTTCCCGTTGACCTAGAATCACGAAATTTGGCAAAAAGATGCGTCTTACAGCACAAATAAAGAAATAATTCCAAAAAATAAAAAAAAGTTGAAAATTAAGATAAATTTTAGTACTTACAAATTTTCGCGAAAATCTACGTAAAATTTGGGTAGGTACGGAACCCTCGGCGCACGAATTCGACTCGTACCTGACAGGTTTTTTTAATTAAAAAAGACCACTAGTAGTAAATCCTGTGTCGCGGAGGACGTTACAAACATACATATAGAAACGGACACAAAGAACACCCAGACTCAGAACAACAATTTGTGGATCACACAAAGTATCGTCCATGTGGGGATCGAACCCACAACACTCAGCGTAGTAGTGAGCAGCGTGGCGACCGCTTAAACCACTACGCCATCCGTGCAGACAGTGCATACATTTCCGGATAGCAATAATAATATGCCATACAACTTAAGTTTTGCTGTTAGCTCTTCCCAATTATGCTCCCCTAGTATCACATATAAACCCAGGTGCATAATTGTAGCACCAGGGACTTCCTTTCTAGGGTACCTGGTTCCATGGCTATTAGTACCCGAGACGACGTGCGGTTTTAGTCGATAGGTGGTATCCGAGGGGATTTCCGCAAGGAAAAAAGAAAAAGGTGCAGAATTCTAGCAATACATCTCCGGTACTAAGATAGCATAACTCGCAGGAGTTAACAGCAGAACGTTTAATATACATAAAAACCTAGGAACATTATTGTTACGGTACATTCCCAGTTTTTTGTTATGGAATAGGGGACAAACGAACATACAGGTCACCTGATGGAAAGCGACTACCGCAATGTTGAGTTGTTGCTGTGCAATGTTACAGCATTGCAATACCTTTTTTTTTCTGTGCGGAAATCCCCTCGGATACCACTTACCGGTGGCAATGTTGGACTCGAATCGACTAAAACAGCACGCCGTCTCAGGTACCAGTAGTCGGGGAACCAGGTGTACCCAAGAAAGGAAATCCCTGGTGGCCGCACGTATACCTAACTTTCTGCTCTTAGCTCCTACCAGTTTTGCTGTCCTAGTACGTTAAACATGCAAACCCAGGCACATTCTTGTTGCGATACATCTCCTCACATATTAACGTTCTGCTGTCAGCTCCAAATAGTTATACTACCCTAGTACCTATGAGGTACATAATTGTCATATTGTGGCGTTATATCTCCGGGTGTCGTCGCACTTCATCATCTTAGCCTTTAATAGTCCACTGCTGGACATAGGCCTCTCCTTAGAAAGGAGGTTTTGGCCTACTATACCACGCTGGCCAGACGGGTTGGTATAGGGTTTGTTTCAAGTTTTCCTTCTCTCTGCAGTGCTGTTGTCCTGCTTAGTGTGCTCCCTTAGTCGGCTCTTACGACACCCACGGGATGAATAGGGGTGGTGACACTCTGTATTCTAAAATCCGTCACCACATAGACCAATACATATTTTCGTCGCACTTACACATATATATTAACGTTCTCTTTCTCTCTTTTTATAAAAAGTAACTCCAATATATCCTGTGTCTCAGGGGCTTTACAAACATACATGAAACGGACACAAAACACACCCAGACACAGAAGAACAATTTGTGGATCACACACAAAGTTATACCATGTAGGGATCGAACCCACTACACTCAGCGCAGTAGGAAGCGATGTGTTCCGCTAAAACCACTACACCATGTGTGCAGTCAACATTACAATAAACCAGATACTGCACATATCGTTCTGGCTCCTGTCAGTTGTACTACCCTAGTACTTCTCACATACAAATGCTTCATGAGTGCTGTTCTCTGCTTGCCAGCAGACACAGTACAAATATCATTAAAAGCGAAGAGCAATCAACCATCTATCAATCATAAAAAGCTGACATTGGATTCATGACTTTGACGTCATAGACCATTGTTTATTTATTGGTGCATTTGGTGCATTGGCGGACTTAATGCCTAAGGCATCTACCAGTCAACCATTGGGTGATGCAGAGAAAACAGGAAGTAGGTGCATGGAGTTACAGTTAATTTAGACATTTAATATCTATACAAATAAATAAAATTGGAGTGTCTGTTTGTAATATTAAAATAACCGCTTTTTACTAAATGCATGTGTATGTTTACACGGTACATATGCCAAAATAACATTTTTTACAATTTTTGTCTGTCCGTCTGTCTGTTTGTTCCTTGTAATCTCTGGAACGGCTGGACCGATTTCGACGGGACTTTCACTGGCAGATAGCTGATGACATAAGGAGTAACTTAGGCTACTTTTTTTAGACTAGCTTCGCCCCGCGGCGTTGCCCGCGGTTATAACAACAAACGCGGGTAACACCGCGGGTCTCAGCTAGTATAATACAAATCTGTCATATACTACACATATACATATTAATATATATACACATACACATATACATATTATTATACACATAAGTACATACCTTATAATACATAAATACTGTATAAAAGTATATAAATACATACACACACACGCAAGTAGATACTGATAACAATTTTGTTGATAACAAAATGTTTGACCAGATACTGCTGTTTAGTATCGCACAAACCAGTGACCAACCTTGGAGGCAGTAAGCAGCATAGTGGAATGCTTCTTCAGCACGGCCCTGGCTGCGGCCAGCTCATCCTTCATCCGCGGTTCTTTTAGCTCCTTCTGCCTCTTGGCGGCCTGAGCGGCGAGCTCGGAGGCCGAGCGGCCAAACTGGCGCGCTGACTCCAGAAGTTCCGATTGGGACGAGGCAGATTTTAACTTGTCCAGGTCGTTTTCCACCTGATGAATAAGTTTACTTAATATTCTACGTTAAAAAGCTATCTATTTGTATTAAAGAATCCCCGTTTTCCTCATGGACCAACTATGTACGCACAACTAGTTGTACCATCCAAGAACATATTCTTAATGACACAACTATGCACAACTAAGCTCAACTGATTTACTATAACCATTCCTTTTAGCACAACTACAGGAGGAAATAAATAATATTATTATTTTTCTTCAGATATTGATGATTATGTTGGCCACTTCTGTCATATCTTTGTATATTTCTTTTTTTCTTTTTTTTCTTTTTTAAAAAGACAACGCCCGCATTAGGAATAAATCCTGTGTCGCGGGGGACTTTACAAACATACATGAAACGGACACAAAGAACACTCAGACTCAGAACAACAATTTGTGGATCACACAAAGTGTCGTCCCATGTGTAGTAGGAAGCGGCGTGGCGACCGCTTAAACCACTACGCCATCCGTGCAGTAAAACACGCCATCCGTGCAGTTAACAAATAGAAAATTATAAATGCCATTTCATGTCATTTATTATCAGTAATTATTAAAAAAATATTGATATATTATTTTCGTGCATACGCTGGCGTATATCCTGACTGTAAGCATGTCTAAGTCTACGCCAGAAGACGAAGAACTTATAACCATATCGATGAACCTTTGTACACCGATTGTAATCAGTTGTGTATCTAGGAACAAATATTAATTGAAAATTATTTAGTTGTGCCAATAGGAATAATTTAAAAAAAATATTCCTCATGACACAACTAGTTGTGCATACATAGTTGGTCCATGAGGAAACAACGAAAGCATCGATATATCTAACGTGGAAATGTAACGTTTCTGCACTAACGGGCCCTCTCGACCAGAGTAATCACGGCCTCATAGAATGTTTAGTAATTCTTCTGTGGCTTTTCACCGAGTGAGAGAAGTTACCCGGAACCCCTACAGTACGAGGAGGAGGAGGAGGTACTCAAACGCAGCGAATTTTTCTCTAGAGTTGCAGGTGACCACTAACCAGCAGGTGGGTCTGCTCTTTTGTCCCTTACATCATAAGAAAAGAACTAGGAACAATTCTTTACAAAGAGTGTACAGATTTTGGCATTTTGTACAGTTTACTACCTTCATAGGGAATGTAATTTCATGGTATATTTTATAATGACAGACATTATCATCTCAGTAGCCACAAAATAATGGGTCATATCACAACAACAGCCTTAAATAGTCCACAGCTGGACATAGGCCTCTCTTTAGAACGAAGGTTGTTTTGGTTTCCACGCTGGCCGATAGGAATGCGTTTAAAGATCTTTATTTCTCAAAAAGACAAATACAGGGTTTGTGTCAAGTTTTCCTTCTCTCTGCAGTGCTGTTTGCTCCCTTAGTCGGCTCTTACAACACCCACGGGATGCATAGGGGTGGTGACACTCCGTATTCTTCTTAATCCGTCATAAAACGGATGATGATGTGTACAATCTGACACCTCATCCACCATCTGAAGGACAACACTAGCGTCGCGCGCTCATTGGTCAAATCAAATAGCGCGCACATAGTCGACTTCCTGTTACACATTTCCGTCCCTTTTTACGAAATTACAGCCGCAGACTGCAAAAAAGCGATTGGAAAGACGCTGCACATCAATATATGCTTACAGTATTCAGTTTGGTGAGCAGCAAATGGACATCGACCATGTCAGCCAGGATGAGCAGTCTGGTCACAGCTGACAGTAGCCCTCTGGAAACCAAAAAAATATATAAATCGGTGATCGCATCGTTAGACAAGGATGAAGTTTTTACCACTCTTTTTACCCACGACGCCACGCAGAAGGTTTACTGCCATCTCTGTTTCAAATTTCAACTAAAATGAAGATATCCTGTGTAACGTTATGGCGTCGTAACACATTTTCAATAATTATATCCACGTATTATAGAAGTGCAAAATTTTATTATAGTTCATTTAATGGCGGCCCCGGCAGATATTTTTTGGTTGTTTATTAAGTTCATAGGTATTTGAATATGTTATTTTTTATTGCCACATTTAAGTATATAGACTGCCTCGGTGGTGCAGTGGTAGCGTATGCGTCTGCTGCGCTGAGGTCTCGGGTTCGATTCCCGGGTCGGACCAAATGTTTGTATGATCTGCAAGATTTGTTTCGAAGTTTGGGTGTTTTCTATGTATATTATGTATGTATTTACAAAAAAAAAAGTATATAAATATTCTATCTGTCAATCTAGCTTTCTTAGTACAAGCTCTGCATAGTTTGAAACTAGATGGCGTTGTGTGGCAGATGTCCGAAGAAAAAAAAAAAATCTTCTAGAAACCAATAGGCACTTAAGGAAGTGCTATGGAGACTGATACTGGGTATCGGACCCGCAACACTCAGCGTAGTAATGAACGACGTGGCGACCGCTTAAACCACTACGCCATCCGTGCAGTCCGCGAGATCAACTCTGTTATAAAAGGTTTTTTACGTTTATTATCTTTCGTTACATAATCTGGTTAAGTTCGGGGTTTTTTAATTATTTTAATGAATTTCAAAAATAATAATTTTGCTTTTTATATTTCACAACTTGTACTTGTCGGTGTAGTGGTGACACTGACGGACAAGCCACTTGTTTCTTTCTTGAGTTGGATCGGTATTCTCCCATCATCCATCCCCCCTCCCGCTGACTCGGGGGGAGGGACTCCAAGGGCAGCCACGCACTTGTGACTTTTGAGCTGCAGGTGTCCATGGGCGGCGGTAGTTGCTTACCATCAGGTGACACGTCTGCTCGTTTGCATCCTTTTACCATAAAAAAAAACCATAATGTATGTCTTTTCGTTTATCCCTTAAAAAAGAACAGAACAGACTCACCTGGCTGCGCGGACCATTCCAGAACGTACTGACGAGGCGCAAGGCTCCGAAGAGAACTCACGGGCACACACAGACATACAAGCACCTGAAACGAAACGAATATATTAGAAAAATAAAACCATAGGTTATTTGCGTTAAGAAAATAGTAACGCATAGATCTATCCCCGCCCCCTGTCCAATCAGATTCCAAGAAATTATTGTTTTGTGTGAAATCAAATATAAACTATAGGTCATTTGCGTTAAAAAAATAGTGACGTATCTGTCAAGCCCCGCCCCATGACCAATTAGGGTCTAAGAAATTATCGTTTCGTACGAAAGCTTTGCATATTGCCTGGCAAATGAATTTCGAACTGTCTTGAATGTCTTGTTTCATTTCAGTGAACAGGTGTGTCTTTCCATCTTTCCCAGAACCAGTGGAGGGAAGGGGTGGGAAGGGTTTTGGCTGCGGTAACTTAACTCACTTGGTGAAAAGCAACAAACAATTTGCTTACCAAACAAACACTTTTTTAATTTTACTAAATTATAATTGGCCTGTTGGCCTAGCCAGAGATATTGGGTTCGATTTCCACCCAGGACAAATATTGTGTGATGAGCACGATCATTTGTTCTGTGTCTGGGTGTAATTTATCTATATTATGTATGTATTTAGAAATATATAAGTATGTTTATCAGCAGTCTGATTACCATAGTACAGGCTCTGCCTAGTTTGGGTTCAGACGGCCGTGTGTGAGATGTGTGAGGTTAAACAAAAAATAATTAAGACTTTTTCAGATATCTTTTACCTTGACTTTACTAGATTTTATCCGTAGCTTCACTACCGTTAATGTTCATTTTGGTGCCTATGTGCTATTCCAAATAATAATCTATCTTTGTGACAAATTCCATATAAATAACTTCAGCTATTATTACATGATTAAGTAATGTAATTCATCAATATGTATTAATTTATAATGAATAATAATATTTTCTGACATCTGACACACAACGCCATCTAGTTTCAAACTAGACAAAGAGAGCTTGTACTATGAAACCTAGATTGACTAATTGACTTTTCTATTGGGAACCTCCTTATTTCGAAGTCCTTCTATGATATTAATCAGAAAATTAATGTTTTTACAAGAGAGTCACTCACCAGCTTTCCTGACTTCCTCAACGGCTTGCAGCATCTGTTGGGTGATCTCTGGGTTCTCGTACGCGATCGTCTGACCTCTCTCGATGAAGATCTCCGTGGCTCGCTCCACGGTAGCCACCAGAGCACTGGCGCGTTTCGACTTACCAGCTGCAAAGTAAATAAAAATGGTTATATAGTCGACCGGGTGGCGTAGTGGTTTGTGTAACGGACTGCTATTGCAAAGGTCGCGGGTTCGTATCTCGCTCAAGTTTAACATTCGATTTGTTTTTTTTTTTTTACGTTAGAGGGGGCAGACGAGCAGACGGGTCACCTGATGGAAAGTGACTATCGCCGCCCATGAACGTCTGCAACTCACGAGTAACAAACGCGTTGCCGGCCTTTTAGGAAGGAGTACGCTCTTTTCTTGAAGGTTTGAAGGTCGTATCGGTCCGGAAATACCGCAGACGCACAGATTGGACACAAAAATATGGACTCACGTCGTTTCTTCTTGGCGTCCCGATCCTTGCTGTTAACCAGGGTGGTCACTTGCAGCACGAGCGGTTCCAGGGTCCGCTCCACGGACATGGTCCGTATCTCTAAATTTCGAGGGTCCCACTTCAGAGTGAGAGTCCCTGTGGTGCCGTACTGGTCTGTCATGGTAGCCATGATGCTGGAAAGTAAAGAGAAAGATTAAGTACAGTGTTAAATTTTGTAATATATAGATCTGCTAAAGAATTGTCAACTGAGACACCACCTACATCACCTCTAGTGATTAGTGACCATGACTCCTAAGCAAGATGTTGTAGGTTTGATTTCCACCCAGGACAAATATGTAATTGTAAGGTAATCCCAATTATATGTTCTGTGCCTGGGTGTAATTTATCTATGAACTAGCTGAACTATGCAACTTCTGCATCTCTCAAAAGGATTCAATTTTTCTCGTCGTAACGTCTATTTTACCCTCTACGATAAGTGGACTATCCAACACTAAAATAATTTTTCTATATGAACTAGTGGTTCCTGAGCGCTTGTTTTGTTGAACGAAACAAACAAAGAAATTCTTCAGCTCTATAATATAGTATGGATGTTTATCAGCAGTCAGGTTACCATAGGACAGGCTCTGACTAGTTTGGGATCAGACAGCCCTGTGTGAGATGTGTGAAATTACAATTATTATTATTCAGATTTTGAGGATCTCATTTAAGCTAATGATTACTCATTGTCAACATATAATTTAATAGTCCACTGCTGAAAAAGACCTCTCCTTAGAAAGGAGGTTTTGGCTTAACTATACCATGCTGGCCAGATGGATTGGTTAAAGGTTTGTTTCAAGTCTTTGCAGTGCTGTAGTCCTGCGTAGTTTGTTCCCTTCGTCAACTCTTACTACACCCACGGTGTGAACATGCAGGGTGGTGACACTCCTTATTCTTAATCCGTCACCACACGGATGGTTACTGTCACTTGAGTACACGATGGCTATCACCCAAACAGGTGTCTTGCTACTTAAAAAGTCAAGACTGATTACCTATCATGATATTAAATGGCTGAGTCTCTAAATATAGTCAAAGACAGAACAACACCTACTAAATCTATGGAAATAAATTAAATTGAAGTGTCTGTTTGTAATGTCAAAATAATAGGTGTTTTTCATGCTCGCTCATAGTTATTTGCAGGATACCTATGCCTAAAAGCCAGTTCTTTGTCCGTCTGTCTTTCTGTTTGGGTAATCTTCTAAACGGCTGGACCGATTTAATATAATTCTACTAGGTGGCTGTCTATATAAGGAGTATTTTAGGCTATTTTTCCTATCAGAAAAACCTTTGCCCGGTCGGGGAATCGAACCCACTAAGGCAGCGCTCTTCAAATTCCACGCGAAGTCGCAGGTCCGACCTAGTATTATATAATAGCAGTAATAAAACTTAATTATGCAACAATAGAATAGGCATTACATTAGTAATAATGACATCTAAATTTCAAATTATGTAAGTAGGAAAGAAATAACTTAATCACAGTACATCATCAACAGCCTTTCATAGTCCACTGTTAGATATATGCCTCTCCTTACAAAGGAAGTTTTAGCTTACTATACCACGCTGGCCAGACAGGTTGGTATAGGGTTTTTATCAAGATTTCCTTCTCTTTGCAGTGTTGTTCTTCTGCGTATTTTGCTCTTTTTTATGACATTCATGGGATATAAAGGGGTGGAGACACTCTGTATTCTTGCTATGCAGGCTACAGGTACTGCAGGTCTCACGTATCAGACAGGCTGCACTGGTCATTATTACTGGCTGAGTTAGCTGACCAAATGTGATCCTATTAATCTTTGCGAACATGTTAAAAACTAAATTCTTGGTCAGTTTACAAAGTAACTGTGATAATCTATACAAATAAATAGAATTGGAGTGTCTGCTTGTAATATTAAAAAAACCGCTTTTTACTAAATGCATATGTATGTTTACATGGTACATATGCCAAAATATATTTTTTTACAATTTTTGTCTGTCTGTCTGTTTGTTCCGGGTAATGACATAAGGAGTAACTTAGGCTACTTTTTTTAAACTAGCTTCGCCCCGCGGCGTTGCCCGCGGTTATAACAACAAACGTGGGTAACACCATGGGTCTCAGTTAGTTATTAACTATAATAGGGAGTTAAAAATTCTCTATAACAGCTAACTTTTTCCTGTTACTAGCTGGTACCCACGACTTCTTTCACGTGGTATTTTAAAAGCCCTGACTTAGTGGTGTAGTACAGTACACAACTGCAGTCTCAGGTTCGATACTCATACGGGGCAAAAATTTATAGGGTTGCTCTTTCTCTCCTTATATAGATAACTACCTGGTAGTAAAATATTACCATAATCTGTGAAGTTGTTTTGAAGATTGCCCGGAACAAACAGACAGGTAAAAAATATTGATACTAGATTTTAGGCATAGGAAACAGACACTTCAATTTTTTTATTTGAAAAATGATGATGATTTGAAAAAGTTAAAGATTTTAATTTTTAACTTTTCTACGACCACTTTACAACTAATTATTTCATGATTCCATTAGTTAAAAGTGTTTGACTCATGTCCTTCTACTGAAGAGTTAAATTGAATTACCAATTTTTGTACTATTTTTGAGCCTTTTATTGATCTATACTAATATTATAAAGCTGAAGAGTTTGTTTGTTTGTTTGTTTGTTTGAACGCGATAATCTCAGGAACTACTGGTCCGATTTGAAAAATTCTTTCAGTGTTAGATAGCCCATTTATCGAGGAAGGCTATAGGCTATATATCATCACGCTAAGACCAATAGGAGCGGAGCATCAATAAAGAATGTTTCAAAAACGGAGAAAATTTATTACCATTGAGAGACGCAGACGAAGTTGCGCCGGTCAGCTAGTCTTTTATATATCATGAAAGGACTACAGTGTTTTTTTTTTATTTTGTTAAAAAATCCTAATTACCTCAATACCTACGTCATTTAATAATTATATTCAATGAAATAAACATATTTGGAATCCCTGATATATATTCTTCTAAATGTTGTGACAGAGACGCTACCGCGTAAAAATTTGGTGTCACAACTGTTGTGACGGCGACGCGTCGGAGGTTAATAATAATAACTTCACACAACACACACACTGCAGTCTGATCCCAAACTAGGCAGACTCTGTACGATGGTTACCAGACTGCTGATAAACATACTTATATATTTTTAAATACATACATATTATAGATAAATTACACCCAAACACAGAACAAATCTACAGATCAGAATCATAGATATACAGAATCACAGAACTATCAGAAGCTCACAATGTACACAGCGGAGTGCCTCAGGGATCTGTGATCGGACCTGTCTTGTTTGGTATCTTCATTACTGACCTCAGAAGTGCTATTAGATCAGACTTATCTGTGTTTGCTGACGATACCAAAATATTGGGAAACCCCCTCATCAGTCATTGCGTTATACAACAGGACTTGGATCGTATTGTACAGTGGACACAGGACTGGCTCATCCCATTAAATGCAACGAAGTGTACCGTTTTACATATGGGCCACAACAACCCGAAGTTGAAATACAAGATTGGTTGGGTGGAACTGAAACCTGTAAGTTCCCAAAGAGATCTAGGGGTAACCATCACACATAACCTCAAGTGGGATGTACATATCACAAATATAGTGAAGAGGGCTAATTCCATGCTGTATGTGGTTAGAAAAGCATTTAACATCATAACAAAAGACTTGTTTATTAAGATCTACAAAACATACATCCGCCCGCTCTTGGAGTACACATTTCAAATATGGAATCCATACTTCAAGAAAGACATAGAAATGCTCGAAAAAGTACAACGGAGGGCTACAAAAATGGTTATATCATTAAAAAACATGTCATATGAGGAACGCCTTATTGAACTAGACTTAACTACACTGGAGCAACGCAGGCAACGGGGAGATCTGATTGAAACATATAAAATATTAACTGGACACTACAATGTGAAAGACATCGGAAACCTCTACACTATGAATTCTAATACCCGATTGAGAGGACACCCATTGAAGCTCACCAGGTCTCCGTCTGTTAGCAACCCTAGAAGACACTTTCTACCAAATCGCGTGGTGACCATTTGGAATAGTTTACCGGAAAGTGTAATTAGTGCTGGATCAGTGAACATTTTTAAAAACAGACTAGACAAACATTTAAAAACAACAAAATGAACACAAGTGCAGTGATATGTACGCATCAGATCTGTGATCTGCTAGTGCATTATAGAATAATAATAATAATAATAAATGACCGTGCTCATGACACAATATTTGTCCTGGGTGGGAATCGAACCCACAATGTCTGGCTTAGCAGTCAGGGTCACTAACCACTAGACCAACAGGCACGTCATATATTCAATTGATGAAATTATTTGTTTTTGTAACTGTGATTTCACGTGTGATAAACCATTATAGATAGTTCAACTCAGTTGTGCGCGCGGCCCAGTGACCCGGAAGTCGGACGACGACTGCCACACTAATGAAAGTTGTATATTTACAAGCCCATGCACACATAGGGCCGCGCGCACAACTCAGTTGAACTATCTATACTTAAAATTGGTCATTGACATAGACAAGATGTGTGAGATATATATGAGGATGAGAGGCGATCTTATTGAAACCTATAAAATACTAAGCTCAAGATATAATCTTCCAAATATCAAGGATATGTTCCTCCTCCAGCGCAAGGCGTACTCATCACGGGGACACAGCTTCGCAATAGATCGCTCACACTCACAGTCGCTGGTAGCCTATCACACTTTGAACAATCGTGTTGTTGCGATATGGAACAAGCTTCCGGAAAATGTTGTGACCGTAAAGTCAGTGAACAGTTTTAAGTGCCAACTAGATATATGGTTAGAAAAGCACAACCCATTGGACTAAACAACCGTTTAATCATGTACACGGGAACTCTTACATCACAAACTTACTCCAGTGCAGTGATGTGGACACATCAGCAAGTTTGCTGCTCGTCCATAATACCCTAATAATAATAATAATAATATAGCAATAACACCCATGTCTAGTTTACAGAGACAAACTTAATGTCAAAGACTTTATCTTCCAGTCTACCTTAGGGTAATATTGATATCAGTGAAGTTGATGCATTAAAAAGAATACAAAGGAGTGTTGTGTTAAGAATAGAACAGAGAAAATTTGTACATAGATATTTATATGATTATAAATACACATTTCAGATACATTTCTGTTGTTTTTAATGTTGTAATGACTCAGAGGAGTCTTAAGATACAATTTACTAGAGTAATACCTATTAGAGGTCGTGTGAAACGGGTATGTTTATTTATTGGTAGAAAACCCGATAATTTATCAATGAATGACTCATGGTTGAACAATGCTACTAAGAAATTATACTCGTGATTATGTTGGGTCTTTCTCGCCAAAATATTTCTAAACCTGGTTATTTAAACACCATATTGTTATTAATGATCCAGTCAGAAGCAAATAATTCCACGTTACTTTTAAAATATACAAATTATATACAGTATTAAACGGCTAATTGCAAAATACATGTCCATTTAAGCAAAGTGTTTACATAAACACTCATTAAAAATGGTAGCGTAATACATTGACATTTAAGAGTGAAAGTTTTACCTTTATAATTGCAGGGAATTCTATCCAAAACACACTTTACGTTATTTATATACAATAACAGAATCGCTAAATAACTATTTCACTCAGGGTATGTAAAATAACACACGAATACACAAGGTATTGCAATAAAAACAGTAGAAAATTCACCTAGGCGTGTCAAAAAATATCTACTGTGTTGTCAGCCTTGGGAAAGACGGCCATCAAAAACTGCTCGTTTTTTTAACTGGTCATACTGACCTCCTATCAAAATGGGAACAGGCGGGTTATTTTAAGCCATAATAATCAGTACACAGACATTGCAATTGGCTTTATTCTTCATGCAGGTTGAGTTTAAAAAAAAATAAACTGTAAAACTGTTTTATAATATTTTTACAGGCCTGAGCCAAATATTAGGTATTCGTGTTCCAGTGTTCATCATTGTGGCTCCGTAGCCAATCTTTAACGATCAAATCATATTAGCTACATAACATTAGTTATGCGTGTTTGTAAAACACGCATTCAAAACAACTATACATAAAAATATACAAATATAAATTTACAGTTAAAATGTATTAGCTATTTAATTATCATAAATTTTATTTGTAGATATGTTATTTTATTTTTGTTTTATTCCCGCATTCCGCCAATAACCAATCCTTTAACATTTAGTTTTTGAATTATATGTTCCGAATGAGCAAGAAAATAATAGAAATTTGTATTGGTTGATAAGAAATGGAGCATAAAAATAATATTTGTTTTTTAAGACGTAAAATAGTCAAGTCATAAAATGAAAAGAATCGTATGGATTTTTGTTAGTGGAATATTTTTCACTGCAGGTATGTTCTATTGCAATACAACCTTTTGAAAGCGGTCTCCATAAACGGATCTGCGAATGGTTACTGCTCTGTTCTTCTCTGTATCTAAGGGAGAGGGGGAGGGGAAAACCGGGGCCTCAGCCCCGGGCTGCAGTTTCAGGGGGCACCAAAATAAAAATATATATAGTATGATTGAAAATAAAAATACTTGCCCCACAAAGCGCCTAGCATACGGAAGCCTGGTTGGCTCACCGTGGACTTGTAAGAAAAAGGCCCACACTACAAGTGAATTTATATATTTGTTAGTTTTTTACGTAACTTATCTCAAACGCTAGGGAGAGGGGCGCCACTAAGAAGTTTCTGCCCCGGTTCGAAAAAATCGTAGATGCTCGTCTGCCCCCTCTAAAATAAAAAAGATGAAAAATAAGATGATGACAACACATATTTACATATGTTTAATATTTTCCCAAATCTTTTATTGAGTGTTTCTTTCTATTCATACTCATACTGTCTGTCTGTCTATTCCGGATAATCTTCAAAACGGCTGGACTGGTTTAAATAATATTTTACTACTAAGTAGCTGTCTATATAATAATAATAATAATAACTTCACACACTCACACACGGCCGTCTGATTCCAAACTAGGCAGAGCCTGTGCTATAAGGAGTAACTTAGGCTATTTTTCCTCTTGCAGACTATACGGATACCAGCTAGTATATTACTTAAAACATACATATTATATATATATACTATCTCTCGTGAAATTTGAAAAGCGCTACCTAAGTTAATCTTTTTATGGACAGCTACCTGGTAGTAAAATATACATAGATCAATTAGAAAGAATCTATATACTAATATTATAAAGCTGAAGAGTTTGTTTGTTTGTTTGTTTGAACGCGCTAATCTTAGGAACTACTGGTCCGATTTGAAAAATTCTTTCAGTGTTAGATATCCCATTTATCGAGGAAGGCTACAGGCTATATATCATCACGCTAAGACCAATAGGAGCGGAGTACCAATGAAGAATGTTTCAAAAACGGAGAAAATTTATTACTATTGAGAGACGCAGACGAAGTTGCGCGGGTCAGCTAGTCCAAAATAAATTGAAGAAACATATTGCATGGAAAGTTAAATGTGAAAACTACGATAAAATACCTGATTTGCCATCACTTGGGACGCGACGAAACGAACGCGACCTGATATTCTTGTTTAAAATTATTAGAAATCAAGTCGACTCATCTTATCTCTTAAGCAAAGTTGGTTTTAGTTGCCCGCGTATCAATGCACGTAAAATACAATTATTTTCTGTACGTATTGCTAAACCGAATTATAGGCGGAATGCCTTTATATTGAGATCTTGCCGCTCATTTAATAGTCTCTTTAGTTTGCATAATGATGATTCCGTAGATATATTCCATACTAGCTGAACCGCGCAACTTCGTCTGCGGCTCTCAATAGTAATAAATTTTCTCCGTTTTTGAAACATTCTTCATTGGAGCTCCGCTCCTATTGGTCTTAGCGTGATGATATATAGCCTATAGCCTTCCTCGATAAATGGGCTATCTAACACTAAAAGAATTTTTCAAATCGGACCAGTAGTTCCTGAGATTAGCTCGTTCAAACAAATAAACAAACAAACTCTTCAGCTTTATAATATTAGTATAGATTTCGTTACCCAAATTTAAGAAATCTGTCCATGACTGTCTTGTTCCTCCTAGTAATAGCTAAAATAACTAAAGGTACTATCTGTAAAATTACTATATATTGTGTCTTTCCTAAGATGTTTTTGCTGCTTGTTGAGATGTGCATATGTCTTCTTACTGTGCATTTGTAATTTTAGTTTTTAAGTTTAACATGGTTGTAGCGCTAATATATATTTATATGTGGAAACTGTTTTGGATTGTGTTTAGATTACCTGTATATTTATTTTGGTTTAATTTGTATCTGTTTGTTTCCTAATAAAATAAAATAAAATAATAAAAATCAAAATAGGCCCAGACGCTTTTAAAATTACCCGGAACAAACAGATAGACAGATAAAAAATATTTAAACTGGTTTTTTAGGCATTTGCAAATAACCGTGCAGCATGCAAAAAAAACCTATTATTTTGACATTACAAACAGACCCTTTATTTGTCCTGTTAGGTATGTAGGTACATATTGATATGTTCATATGAGTTAGTTTAAATTAATTTCTTTATTTACAGCAACTGATATAACAATAGCAGAACTAGAAAAAACGAATAATAGTGTAAAAATTGCACTTGGAGCAGCTCTAGGACTGAACAACACTAACAATACTGATAATATCCAGTTTTTAGACAAAGTTCAAAAAGTAATTGGCAAAATAAAGACTGTTATGGAACATAATAGTAATAAACGACGGAACTATGGCGGTGTTAACGATAAAAAGTTTACTGATTTCGTTCAAGAAATAATCAAAAAGCTAAGTCAATTTGATGACTCAGATTTAGAAATGTTCTGCAGCATTTTCAACGACGAAATCACTAAATATCATTATAGAGGTTGCAAATTTTATGAAATAACAGAAAACAACAATTTCAGATCATTATTGTCTAATCTGTTGCATGAAATTAAAATCCAGCCTATAAATAAAACTAAACGCATTTTAAAAACAGTAGCTAATAAATTAGAAAAGAAAAGTTATAATGAAAATGAAAGAGAACTCGTTGATACTATCAATTCGTTGTACAGACAAGATTCGTTAGAAAAACTTGAAAACTTTTTAGTAAACATTGACGCTTTTAGATTGAAAACTAGAAAAAATTTAGATCTCGTGAATATAGTCAGAAATGGATTAAGAACCAGTATATTTGATCATTACACTAATTTAAATAGGAATGCGAGAAAGGCACTAAAGGTGCAAATTAATGAATACTTTAAAGAATTTTCACCTCAAACGACAACTAAATTCATTGATAGCATTAAATATTCTAAAGTACAGAAACTGGCTCTTACTACAAAGAAACCACCAATAGTTAAAGAAACAAAGAAATATATAATCAAAGATTTAAAACATAATAACACCGATTACGCTAGAAGTGATTTGAACGAATATACTAAAAGTAGTTTGTATCTAAACACACCACTAATAATTAGTAAACTAAACAGTAACAAAAGTTTAATATCTAATGAACACATAAAAAAAGCTTATGGAGATACAAGAAAAGATGCACACGGCAAACGACAGATCTCAAGAAACAGTTCGAATAATACAACTCACTCTCAAAACAAAACCATCGGACCTGTAAAAACCACTCAAAGCTTTCGTACAAAGAATAATCCTTACATGAAATATGAAACGGATGCTTATGAATATATATTGACAGAAAATAAACGAAAGAAACTCACGTTTAGAACTTTATACCCAAAGTTTGTGTATGAGGTGACTGAATCTAAACCTCAGTTGGCAGGAAGACGTTCGTTCCGCGAAACAACAGTTCGCACGTCAGAATATTCTTGGGAAGAAGATGAAATTAACACCAGCATCCAGAGACCAAGGCGCGAGAGACCCATACATTTAGTTAAAGAGTTAGGTGGATCTATTAAAATTGGTATAAAGAGTTCTCCAAAGCGCAAGATGGACTCAAAGTACCGCAAACTTAGTAGGTGATTGATTTATTTTATGTAAATGATATTTATTTCTGTAAGTAAATCTTTTCAGATATTTTTACAAGTCGGACTTTATAGCTAGAAGGAGCCGGCATTTCCTAAGACTCACTCTGGGAAGAAACGCCGAAACAAACCACAGAGGTGTCTTTTTTTTAAAGTCCGTAAACAAAGTTAAATAAAACTGTGCGAGTACAGTATAGGGTCTGGATAGGCCCAGGAATCATAGGAAAGGATCATAGTTTTGAGTCAGCCTGTCCATACAGACGGCATACAGGCTCCAAAACTCTGTAGAAAACTCATTGTATCTGAAATGCGACCAATTAAAAATCGGAATATGCAATAACCGTTCCACTTTTAGGTTTAAAGTAAGCAAGCTCCATAGACTTGTAAACGAAGTTATCAGTATAACACTTTATGAGTGTCTTTATTATTTCTGTATGTGTATGTATGTACATGTTTATACTATTCTAGTTATATATTAATTAGGTGTACACCTTTTTTTTTCCTCTTTTTTGTCTTTGCGGAAATCCCTTCGTATACCAAAAACCTCACGCCGTCTCGGGTACTAGTAGTCGGGGAACCAGGTGTATCCTAGGAAAATCCCTGAAACCCCGACGGACCCCGGGCCATCTACGGCTTGTAGATGACCCCCACGTGTGTGGGAACCACGGTGTTCCCCTTCTGCGCCTAAAGGGCGTGCGCGCTCCACAGCGCGTAACGCCGCCACCCCGGCTTGCTTCTGCTAGGGTGACAGATGGCCTCACCTGTCACCCCCAGGCCTGCGATTATGGAGGACGGAGGTCGTTTTGTGTCCTCCGGCGCCTGAGTCTCCTGCGGTACCTGGCCGTTACTTAAATCATGTGTCGCACAGCGCACGCCCTTCTCCAAACAGTAATATGTGGGGTGCAAATCGTGGTAAGGGTCTTTATGACCGTGCTACTGATGATAAAGAACGTCCTTGGAATGGTCCTGAAGACTATGCACAATTAGGTGTACACCTATTATATGTATGTGTGAAGGCTAATTTTATTACACTCCAAGATAGACTGGAAAATACTGAAAAAAGGTCTTCTGTGTCAGTTGTGTACGCGTGATTAAAATCATTTATTCTTTATCATTCTTTATGATCATTAGTAGTTCGTGTTTGTCCAAGTTTTTGAGAGTTTAATTTCGCCTCTTACATAGAACTACAGCTCAAAGTCCGCCGTACTCTTGGGAAGAAGACGACATAAACAACAGCATCGAAAAAGTAAAGCGAATGAAAGCTATACGGATAGTTAAAGATTTAGGAGCCACCGTTAAGATTGGGATGAAAGGGGAAGAACCTATGCGAAGATCTAACGCAAAATGTCAGAATTCAAAGTAAGTAAGAATTTTAAATACATATTTTACGTTATAGGGGCAGAAGAATAGAGGGGTTACCCGATTGTAAGTGACTACTGTTTTTTACTGACTTTACTGACTAGAGTCAGAAGTTTCGAAAGAAGATTTTCGAAATTCTTTTTTTGTTCGAAACGGGTTTATTCCGAAATGGTCCCATTACAAATTCATATTATTATAGATCTGATGATGAGTTTTGGAGACAGACAATGACACTTCAAAAAACGACAGCATTGCAATCGCGATTGCTGCTAGGCTCTTTGTTAGTATTGTTTGATTGAAGTCAGTTCAACTATTTTTAAGTGGTAAGTATGGATGGGTACAAGAGCAGAAGCAACAGGAAATATGAATGAATTGCGTAAGAGAGGATATGCGTGGAAAGGAATGAAGTAGAAGAATGAAGCAAAGGATGATGAATGATAGGGTTTAACCATTGACTAAAGAAACACATCACATTGATTCAAAACACTTTCAAAGGACGATTATATTTCAATTATATATTATTTCTGCATATTGATTTCAAATACCTTGTTAATAAAGTTCAAATTAAATTATTTATTTCAGAAAGAAAGTTGAAAATTATCATGAATCTTTATGGAATTCTATTAGACGTTCAATAGCGGAAGTGACGTCATTGGAAAGAAAGATACGATTGAGAGAACCATTTAAATCGAATCTAACTAGAAGGTCAAACAGACGGAGTAATATTCAATCAGCGCCTGCTTCGACAGGTAAAAATTTCAAAATGTATAACTGGAGAAATGCTATACATAATTCTGATTTAAATAATTCTCTACCCGCCACGACTAACACCACAAAAGTCCAAGTATCACCTGTTGGAAAAGGTATAAGCGTTCAAATGAACAATGACACGATACTTGAAAGTATAAAAAATGAAACAAATTCAGAAAGAAATGAATATCAAAATAAAATTTCTAGCAATAATAAGAACTATGATAAAGTTGAATATACCAATTTAGTACACGATAACACACCAAAGGATAACAATAAAGAATATTTAGAAATCCCAAAAAATACTCAAGTTGGCGAAGAAATAAAATATATTAAAGATTCCCATGAATATAAAAGTACTCCCGAAATATATAAACACCCTGTAAACGTGACTAATGTTGAAGAAAACAAAGAAAAGCAACTAGTTACACTTTTGAATCTACAAAAAGACAAAAAAGTCACACCGAAACTTTATGCAAAAGAAAATATAAAAAATTATGCTCCACAAAAATTTGACCCTAACAATACAGAGGGTGAATATAATTATAAAATACGTTCACCTATAGAAGGTGGGACTAAAGCAAACAATTTTGATTTGAGTAGGCAGAAAATGGATAATAATAATAACCTTGAACACGCAGTTGATTCTAAGTATGAATTAAAAACTGATGAGGTTGAAGTTGAAACTAAAAAAGACGAGCAAGTAGCAAATTACGATGAAAATGATTCAGAACAAGACCTCGAGCCGTGGGTACCACAAAGAGATAACGATTTAAAAAAAGAAATTGAAGATTACGAAAATGATTATGCTGAACAAGAACGTAAAAAACAAGAACGTAAAGACAACATCGTTTTTCGTTCATTCGATTCAAAGCCACAATCTACAAATAAAAATATAGTTACAATTAAAGGTAAATTAATAACAAAACTTTAAAAATAAAAGACAACTCCCGCTCTAGGAATTTATATCCTGTGTCGCGGGGACTTGGGGACAAAGAACACCCAGACTCAGAACAACAATTTGTGGATCACACAAAGTGTCGTCCCATGTGGGGATCGAACCCACAAAACTCATTGTAGTAGTAAGTGGCGCGGCGACCGCTTAAACCACTACGCCATCCGTGCAGTAGTTTAAGTTTTTTTAATAGATATAAAAAAATACATTAAAATTACAATTATTTTTATCCACAGATAACAACATGGAAGCTATCACCACAAATCAAATTATAACTGTTACAATTAAACCTAGAATTAGTCTAACTACAGCAGCAATTACAAATCCAAAGAAGAATTTTGCCAATATTGCTCCATTCGCATACGTAGATAACAAAAAAATTTTCGCAGACATAGACAAGCTTACAACAAAACAAACAAATGTAAAAAAATCACAAGCCCAACATGTAATAAAGAATTTCCCCATTAAAGACAGCATGGAGAAACTAAAAAGAGAAGTACTTAATTCTGGGGAAATTAATTTTGGGGATGATATGCATTATGGCAGTGATAGAGAAAACCCAAAGAAGGATGATATAACAGGCGACGTATTCCCAGAAGCTGATCAAGCTTTGGGAAAGATTGCAGTTAGAATTTAATCTCAGAAGAAAACTTTTTATCTATACTAATATTATAAAGCTGAAGAGTTTGTTTGTTTGTTTGTTTGAACGCGCTAATCTCAGGAACTACTGGTCCGATTTGAAAAATTCTTTCAGTGTTAGATAGCCCATTTATCGAGGAAGGCTATAGGCTATATATCATCACGCTAAGAGCAATAGGAGCGGAGCACCAATGAATAATGTTTAAAAAACGGATAAAATGTATTACTTGAGAGACGCAGACGAAGTTGCGCGGGTCAGCTAGTGTTTAATATACATAGAAATAATATAATAGAGGGAGGGAACTAAATTCCTCAGCAAGTGGTATCGTACGGCCATTAGACGGAGAAAGAATATTGTTTTGCTCTTGGATCTCTTTCTTCTCTCTGCACTGATTGGCTGATACTGAAGAGGGCATTTAAATATTACAATATTCTACCACATTCATACAACGCCATCTAGTCCCAAACTAAGCAAAGCTTGTACTGTGGCTACTAGACAACTGAAATAATTACATATATACTTTTTTTTTGTAAATACATAATTATTATACATAGAAACACCCAGACCAAATCAAACAGTAAATGTTCATGCACACAACTGTTTGACTTGAGCGGGAATCGAACCCGCGACCTTTGGAATAACAGTCCGTTACACAAACCACTACCCCATTCGGTCGTCAATTTAAAATAGCCAATCAGTGAAAAAGCAGAGAGAGATGTAAGACCAAAACAACTCTCTCACTCTCTCTACCAACTGTATGCGATAGCGCCTTGTTCGCTTCCTCTATATTTATAAGTTCTTTGTTAATATAACAAAAGAATCAGTGTATCACTTATATTGTTATTTGTCCCGTTTTTTAGTCCCTGTCTCCCATGAGTCAGTATAAGCTGTACCATACACAATAATTTATTGTGGAACAAATAAAAGAAATACAAAAGAAAACTCATCAAAATCCGTAGGCTATACTTGTATAGGTTGAATTCTACTAAAAAATGTGATACATGTCTTATCTTCATAAGCGCTCGCGCAGTACTGAGTTTGAACTCCAACAGAGTAAATTGTTTATTTAATTTTGACAGTTTTATTTATGTTTAATCTGGCTTATCTTTATTAGTACTAAGAACAGCTAGGTCGTTGTACTAGTAGTGGTCACAGCATAATGGCTAAGCCGTCAGATTTGCGTTTAAGTGATACAGTACCATTGGGGTCATCGGCGAGGAATGTGTTGGCATCGAACCGACTAAAACCACACGGTGAAGCCATACTGACTCTAAATCAAGAAGGATCTGGGAACGGCACTTCCACTGTTGCAAAGTCAGCATGAGGAGCCTCCAGTTGGGAGAACCCTACTCTAAGCAGTTGGAGATTGTAGAACATAATTCTTGCCCGACCTTTGCCATAGTACCTAAACTTCGCCCTCTGCATGCAATCTTTTTTTTTATGTTAGAGGGAGCAGACGAGCAGACGGGTCACCTGATGGAAAGTGACTATCGCCGCCCATGAACGTCTGCTAAGAAAAGAGCGTACTCCATCCTAAAAGGCCGGCAACGCGTTTGTGACTATTGAGTAATAGTCACAAACGCGTTGCCGGCCTTTTAGGATGGAGTACGCTCTTTTCTTGAAGGTTTGAAGGTCGTATCGGTCCGGAAATACCGCAGACGATAACCCGTTCCACAGATTGGTTGTGCGGGGCAAAAAGTCTATCTGACTATCAAACTATCTTCCTCAGGTGGTTTTTCCTTACTGTATTTTTTTTAAACTAATGCTTTGAACAATTACAGAAAGTCTGACAGTACTGAAACAGAAGATATTTCAAAGGAAGATATGTCAGAAGTAACCAACAGTATATCTGAAAGAAGAGTCAAAAGAGATGATAGTGGTTCTGCGATAACCGAACCTAATAAAGACTTAACCAATTTAGTTCATGAACAACAGAGAAATTTAATTAAAAATCGCAGAATATATAAACACATCACAGATGACACTAGCATGAGTTATCTGAAAGTTATAGAAGACGAAGATAAAGCAGTGACAGATGATGATTTTAATGAGATCGTAGAAGATTATGACGGTGAAATAGATCTTAGGTTGGGTGCCGAAAAGGAAAATGATAACACAGGTAAATTAAAAGCATTCCTCGCTTTTTTTTTATTTCATCTGTCTACTTGTTTGTCTATGTATCTGTCAAGTCCTTAGTCTTAAGGAAACAAATTTAAATTAACTTCAAAGATAATTTTGTCTGTGAAGAAAACGGTCAATAATCTTTGAGGATTGATTAGCGACTTAATCGAACTTACATACAATTTTATTTTCTTATGGAAACCTCGGTGTCGAAATTAGGCTAAAATTTAGGCTTTCTTAAATAAACTATATTGTTACGAGCGGGCTATATAATAAATAAAAGATGTCGGTTCATTACTTTATTGTACTGTATTTCCAAACACTCAATATACTAAACTAGAAATTCACTCCGATGTTAATTCGCTGTGTCGTAAAACGATACTGTCTCGAACAGCCAAAACGCTCCGCTTTTATAGCGCTATCGAGTTTACTAGAAAGATCCCTAGTATTCGATAGTCCGTGCCAGACAAACAAGAATATTTCAGAATCGTCACTTGCAGCGCCGTCTAGCGCTGTAAGAATCAACTATTAACCACAATCTTAATAGATGTACTTTAGTCGATACTAGACGGCGCTGTCCTCCACATTTCATACAATCGAACCATTTAATCCTATGGCGCAACAATATTATATTTTACAATTATATTGTGACCCGCAGATAAAAATAAAACTGCTGAGACGAAAACTCCTACTTCAAAAACAACTTCTGCAATCACAAGACGACCTAACATCACCAAGCCAACATTTACAATAACAAAATCTATTCTTGCCAGCACTGGAACAAACAGAAGAGACGTAGAAACTCCATATTTCAACTCGAAGTTATTACAAAGATACAAGGACAGGCTTTCTGTGTATAAACAGAAGGCAAGAGATCAAGAAGCAACTGAAATAACAGATAAACAAGAAATAATAACAAAAAGACAAGATAACACAAGAACGGCAATAATATTTAAAAATAATACAATAGACTCCACTGAGAAAAATTCTCTTATTTTTGATGAAAACATGTATTCAGAGTTAGAAGAGTTTTTTTAATAGAAAGGTTTTTAAGATTTTATACAAATGATTATTATATTATTAAAAAAAGTTTTACGATGGGAGAGTCCTGCTTCGGCTCAAAAGGGCAGGCTTGACTGGAGTGATACTGGGTTCCCAGAAAAAGCCGGGCAATCGCGAGGCGGGCCCGGGCCTGCGCTTATGGAGGACGGAGGTCGTTCTGCGACCTCAGGCTTAGCAGTCAGGGTCACTAACCACTAGACCAACAGGACCGGTAATGTTATAAGTGTAATTGTGCCTTGATGATTGATTACGTGTTTTAAGATATTACTTGTAGTATAAGACGATATTACTTAATAAATTTATAATAGGTAAAATGCCTTTGAAGAGTTTGTTGCCTCCCGTCCAGCTGAGTTTTACAAGATCAATAAACAGCACCAGGGACTTCCTTTCTAGGGTATACCTGGTTCCCCGGCTATTAGTACCCGAGACGGCGTGCGGTTTTAGTCGGTTCGAGTCCGACATGCCACCGACAGGTGGTATCCGAGGGGATATCCGCACGGAAAAAAAAAAAAAGAAAGGGCATCAATAAACTGCCAATGCGTTGGCAAAGATGCGTCTATTGCATGGGTGATTACTTCGAATAACAGAAATAAAAATGTTTGAAAAAATAAGTACTTTCACTTATTGCATACAAAACGGCAATTTCATAGGTAAAGACCTATTAGTTCAAGGCTAACGGGAAGTGCCCTATAAATTTTTATTCCCTTGAGAGATAAATAAACGATAAATGATATTTATTTCTGTGAGTAAATCCTTTCTGACATTTTTACAAGTCGGTAAGAAGAAGACGGAGTATCGAAATATGCGGTGTAGTCGTATATTTTTACTCGCTTTATATTAGTTTCACTTGTATGTTTGTTTGTATGTTTGTTTGTAACCGACTAGTTTGGGCGTGATTTTAACTGACTTTATACGGTCAGAATTCGTTCAAACTTTGTATATTTATCGAGGACCGATGAAATTACACTAATTTAAAATATATATATATTTTTTTTATTAAAAGTAATAGTTTTAAATAGTTTTAAAAACAAACTGAAGAAAATAAATTTTAATAAAAGCGTTGGATGCCCGTTGTCAATAGTAAAAAGCACCCCACGCTTTTTTTTAAATTTATAAAAAAATAAATATATATTGTTAACATTAACTTAGAAGTTTGATTTTTTACAGCTTCAAGGGACTGTAGACCTGGGTTTATGGTTTTAATTTCAACTCGATACCTCCTGACATAAAGGGTCTTGACTATAGATGTAAAGCCGGTTTAAAACAAATTAAACCACACCGTTTAAAACTAAAACAAAACGTTTAAAACCAAAATAAACCATTTTTTTCGATTTAAAACGGTGTTGATGACTATGTTTCTTTTTTATTATAACTACATTTCCTTGATTTTACTGAGGCAGGGATATAACGGAGTACCTGTAGTAAACTGTGTTAAGATGTTTTATACTCGTATGTGTGATATACTTAGCAGGTTTAGTTCTAGTTGGTCCGTCCGACCAAGCGTAGATATTACCTACCTAACTTATAAAAACTCTATATTGGTAAATAAACATTTTATTCATTGTTTTCAAACGATATAAATAATCAATTTGATTCGGTTTAAAACCAAACTTACGCTCTCGTTGAGACCGTCGGCACCGGCGCGCCGGCCTTGAAGACAAAACGTTCTCTCTTTTATGCACAAGTAAATCTAGTGTGTTTAATAATATATAATAAATAAGTATAGGTAGGTACATACTTAAGTTTCGTATAGTAGGTAATATAGTTAGGTACTTTCTATTCATTGTCTATAAACTAATCAAAATTAAACATGACGTCAAGTGACCAAAAATTGCCTACAATGAAGTGTAAAACACAGTTCTTTTAATTTGGAGGCCTAAAAACCATGTTAAGTAATTCTTGCGTTTCTTGTCACCCATGAATGAGGTTACCGGAACCCAAACTCCGCCACCCCTTGACTCTGTTACAGATAAAAATTGGTCTTTACAGCATATCATTAAAATTAATATCATAGAAGATATCAAATGTTTAAAATGCACCCGTGCAAAGCCGGGGCCTGTCGCTAGTATTCTATAATATATTCTATAATAGACGTAATTTAGTTCCAGTTTTATTTATATTTTATAAATATACGACTCATAAATTCCCACACATTAAAATATATATCTTAAACTAACCTAGTTTCAGATTTTTACACTTTTAATATGTTTTTCACCCACAATGAATGATACACATTTAAATAGTAATTGTAAAGATACAATGTTTTTGTTACTTATATTAATTGTTACACCAATAGATCCTGCTTTTGCAAAGCAAATTGGTAAGTCTTATTTATAGTGGAGAGCCCAGACTTTCAAGCAATAGGCATGTTAGTCGTAGCAGAGCTTCAATTCTACTATTTTATTTTAACGTATAAGCCAATGTCATTAAATTAACACGTTATTAAGATGCCATTGGCATCGGTCAAAACATTGGTATTCTACTAACATAAATTGTCACACAGTGTTACACACAGTGTCAATAGAATGTCGATGGAGTGGCAATGGCTCATCAATAGTGAACACATCTAGAAAATTAAATAAATCATTTCATTACACATTTAAAATGTAATTTTAAATTTATTTTAAAATGTAAGTCATTGGGAGGCTATTGGTCTTACATACTTAGTAGAATACGAAAAATGCAAAACTATTCCGACATACACGGTGATTTTATAGGCGTTTTGGAAACGAAACATTTTAATTTGGAATCATCTATAGTACCAATAAAAATGATTAAATCAATTGTAATGTTGTCTAAAAAAAAGTTTCAGTTTTAATATTCATTTTTACTCGATCGACTTGGAAAGTAGTAATGGACTGATCATTCATTCATTATCTTATATGAATGAAACACGTCCGTGGGCGTTTCGGCGGCCGCTGCGCACCGCTGACGCTAACAGCAGCTGATAAAAGTATACCTATAGGCGAGAGCTAGCGAGTACTTACGTAGATAGACTCCAATTTGTCCTTCATACTTTACACGGGCTTAGGACCGTCGGAAATACCTATTTAATTTAAACTTCTTTCGATTATTAACCACGATTGTTCTTTTCACACCAAATCAATTTATCAACGGACTGTAGGTATAAATATTTCAGGCGTATTTAAAAAATCGGAGCTATCTACAGAATGATTAACTTACATACCTATTTACACTATTTACACTTCTCTGTATCGAAGCAACTGCTCAAAATGGAGTCCGCTGCATTCAATACACAAACGTCCACGTTTAATGCAATTGTTTTTTAATTTTCTTAATGTGTCTCCATCACTTTTCACTTTATCAAAAGCGTCCACTATCGCAATGCGTAAATTATCACGGCTTTCATATTCCCTTCTATAAACAAGTATTTTTATATCCGACCTTAAGAAAAAATCCAGGGGCGTTAAGTCCGGGCTTCTAGGTGGCCAAGGCACTGGCCCTCCTCGACCTATCCACCGATCACTAAACTCATTGTCCATGTATGCACGCACTACACTCCGGCGAATAATAATTTAAACGTCCCTGACCTTGCGCGTGAGTAGGCGCACGAAATTGTCCGTGGTCGAGAAGACGATGGGTTGCAGCCAAGATGGTAGGTGTGGAGGGAATTTGAGGGCTTTCAATTCCACGTAGCCGTAGTGCATTTAAATGCCGGCTGGGAATACAAACGCCGAGCCTCTTCCAAGTTGTAGTTGGCAGTAGCGTACAGCTGTACAATTGCCAAGAAGTATTCCACGTTTGAAAATTCATACTGTCGTCTCATTTTAGCGTAGCAATGTAGCGTGCCGTCACGATGTTATGGTATTACTGACCGACTGAAAGCGAAGGACGCCTCACGATTACAGGTGAGTCCCGCGCATGCGCCTACGGGGCAGACGTCATTGGTTGGACGACTCCGGCGCAACTCGGTAGCTTTGTTCTTATTGGCGAATACAATTTTATGTGACTCGATATTAAAACGCATAGTATTTCTATTCGTAGTATTTACCTACGTGTGATTGAATAGCCCTACTACTGGTTCTCACTTTTTCTCTGTAAAAGATATGAATATCGACTTTGATGATAAAAAATATATATATATTATTAAATTAACGTTATATATAGCTTCTGTTACTGATAAATAATTCAAAATTTTCTTTTCCAAAACGCTTTCAAAATCACCGTGTATATGTAATTTTTAAAATAATAGAATTGAGGCCCTTATCTCTTGATGGAAAGTAATAATAGTAATACGCTTGGACAATTTGTTTCACAAATTGGTTGTGCGGAACAAAAAGTTTCTTGAAAAGCTTACAGTGTGGGAGTGCTAATTATCCAAGAAATAGGGATGGATTGTTAATATGCGTATATCGTTGCATCATTATGATTACAAATGTGTAATGCAGACTTATAATACACATTATTTAAGCCTATTCTTATTTTCAGCTCAGTCTAACAGCAAACCTTCACAGGGACAGGCGCATCGATCTCTTGGGAATGATTCATACTTCCAGAAAAATGTAGAAAAAGCTGAAAAGCTTTTAGAAGAACTCACACTACCAACTACTGAGCCTCCTGATATCTTCGACAATAACCCCAGTTTCCTAACCAAACCTGAATCATCAAACAATTATCCAAGTCCTAACGAAAAATTTTTCGCGTACAGTTCTTCTGTTATAGAAAAGTTACCTTCCCTACAATTTGGTTCTAAATTCACATATGCTATAACCAACCTACCAAAATATACATACAGTTCACGTACCACTGGAAAGATGTTAAACTGGCCACTGGACGAAGGCAAGGGTACGTGGTTCACGTGGATCACCATGTTCCCTACCACAACGTATGCCACGAAGAGTACCAGAAGGACCCTCGGTCCAGGTGAGCTTTTTTTCCATCAAAAGACTCGAGTGAATTGACACTTTTTTGAGTGCCTCTCCTCCTTCACCTCCCACAAATAAAAAAGGCGTTTGGAGCTTTGATAGCCTTTTTTTTTACGTGTGGTAATCACCTCGCCGGGGTTCTTTATTCGGCGGGGCTGTGTGTCGGACTCGAACCGACTAAAACCACACGGTGTGCCATCTTTGCGCTTCTATTTCTTCTTCTGGACCCCTCCCAGCGCCGGCCCGCTCCTGGTGCGGGCTCCGTCTCCAGAGCTTTGATAGCTTCACTCAACCCCCATCCTCCATAACTATACTGTAGGGGTAAATTGCTTAATACAGGCTCTACGTAAGGCCGTAGAATCACTCCAATTGTGCATGCCTCTACGTTTCGATTTCAAGGCATGTACATTGTTATTAACATGACCTATGTTTTACCCAAGTTTTTTTAAGAAATAAAACTAGCTATGTCAGTCCGTCAACATCAGTAATCTTGTGACTCTTCTAAAAGTCATGGTGTGCTGTTAAATTGCCCTAAAAAATCTATAACTTGCAGACCCCCTCACCGCTTCTATGACTACGCAAATCACCTCAGAAGAGACGGAGTACAATCCCGTGAAGGCTTGGTACGAAAAACAAAAAACTAAAAACAAATATGGTCGATACACACATTTGAGTAAGTACAGCTTCTGTTCCCTCAAACTCCCCTCATTGGTATGCGAGCCTGAGTTCTTGAGCTATTTGTTCATCATCAACAGCCTTTAATAGTCCACTGCTTTACATGGGTCTCTCCTTAGAAATTAGGTTTTGGCCTACTATACCACGCTGGCCAGTCGGGCCATACGGTTTGTGTCAAGTTTTCCTTGTCTTTGAAGTGCTTTTGTCCTATATAGTTTGCTCCCTTAGTCGGATAAGACATCCACGGGATGAATAGGGCTTGTGTGCGTGTTGTGTGATTTATCATCACTGCTAAAACTTTGGGGCATATGGATGGATATTATATGTCTCCGGATACCGGATTGATGGATCTTAATAAATAGCATGGCGCACCGTGTAGTTTCTATATTCTTGCAGCGACGGCACGACGCCGAGACAGCTCAGATCTTGAGACTCCAGTAACTGCACTCGGCCCTGGATCAACAAAGAGGATTGAACAAGATAAAAATACTAATATCAGCGAGAAAGCGTCCTAACATGCAAAGATTCTGTTTGGAAAAGATGAAAAAAGTAGTTATATGTCAGATTACACAACCTAAGTTGGGAAATAAAGAATAAAAAACCTAATGTTTTATATTCAATAGTTCTGATAGTATGCCTGTAAAAAAATGAATTAGTAAAAATGCTATTTTTTTTGTAAATACTCGTAGGTAATAAACCGCAGACAATAACAATTTCATTTATTAAATGTTTCATTCAATCCTTCTCATTTACTGGCCCACATTCATATTTACAACATTTTATTCATCCCTTATTTGTCCACTCCTTTTCCAGTGCCAACTTCTTCAATGCTCTGCTTTTCTTCTATAAGTTCTTTTCTTTTCTTCTTTCAATGTAAGGCTAGGTTCTTGAAAAATTTTTGATTGTTGGACTTGTTTATGTTCTTTACAGTTCCCAGGAGAGTTACCTAGAGTTACCGGTTACCGGTCGATCCCGAACTTAGGAGACGTTGGCGGCAATATCAGTCGCTGGAGAGTGGGAACTTCTGTTGGAGGTAGAGGATAGCTAGGCGGACAGATCGCATCAAGATCGAGGCCGTGCTGTCACACAGTGCGAGACAGAACAAATGAATATGCTCATCAAATAATATATTTCCTGGGTGGGAATGGAACCCTGCCTCTAGGCTCCAAAGGATAAAGAAGTAATTTTGAGGTTAATGTGTCCAATTTTATAATAAAATCCCAATTACAACACAAGACTAAAGTATAAACAAATTTAAATCCACAGTGAAGCGTAGGCTGTGACAGAAGGCTTATTACTGGATTCTGGATTAAATAGAAGACAAGAATGCTTGGAATTAATTAGCACAGACTATTTCTTAAGTGGAGATGTAGTGTAGTTTGTAGTTTTTATTTCTTTTTCTCATTTTTTCTGTTTTACTTCACTTTTAATTCTATTCCTCCTTATTTCAATATCTTATTTTCTCTTCATTGCTTTTATCTTTAAGTACTTAATAACTGACATAGTGGCGCACACATCAAAACAATGTTTTGATTTATTTGTGAAATATTATTAAAAGGAGTGGCCGTGAGTTTATTTGACCTTTCTTCTCATAAACGTATGTGTGGATCTATGACTTTAGAGTCTAAGAAGATTTCAAATATATTTTTTTTTTATGGTAAGTATTTCTAAATTAATAAAATTAAAATCGGACGATATTTAATCATAAATGGCAAGGCAATCTGCAAATGAGGCCAACTGAAACTATAGCACAGATTATAGTTTTCTGTGATGACCCCGCTCAGTAGGTCATCAAGGTAACTTGTTAAAAAAAACTCTTCCACGTTCATGAAAACATTTTTAAAGTATGTCAATTTTTTTAATGGTATACAAAATCAATTTTTATTCCTTCATTTTATAGGAAAATGTAAGTTATAATATAGATCGCATTTTTCATAACAGTTTTATTGCAGAAACATAAACAGTATTCCTTTATGATGATAGTATGCGGTTGGTTCTTTGCGTATTTTGCATTTACTGGTATGTGTATTATTATTTTTCATTTTAAAGGATTCAAATAAGCAGACGGGTCACCTTATGGTAAGTGGTCACCTACGTCAGTGTGTTGCCACCCTTAGAGTTGAGTCGTGCCTCTCGTAACCTCACTCACTCGATTAAAGATTTTCTTCAAAATGCAGAACCGACCCCTATGTGCAGAAGTATGGTTCTCCCTCGAAATTATCCACCTGAGAAAGATTTATACCACAATTTAAAACGCATTGAAACCTTTTCGCCGAGGCTCCCTTCTAAATCTAACAGAAGACAAATGTATGATTGTACTGAAGCCTATTCTCACCGAATCTCAATAGTATAAGTATAAGTTTTGGGCTTAACATATGGTATAAATAATAATAATGTTTTCGGACATCTGACAAACAACGCCATCTGGTTCCAAACTAAGCAGGGCTAGTACTATGAAAGCTAGATTGACTGATAGAATACTTAGATCCTTTTTTCCCGTAAATACATACATATTATAAAAATTAATCAGATTTTTCAAGTAAATTAATAATAATTTACTCTTCAGCTGCTGCTAATGCTCAAGACAAAACTACAATTATAAAATTACAAAATGCAGTTAAAGAATCTAGCCAAAATTTGACTACAATAGCCGAAAAGGAATCGCAACCAACACCAAAAACCTTGTACACCCAATCAGCGTTACCTTCGAGCACTCCAAATGCCATTAGGAAAAGTTTCACATTCAACACTGATGGAATTCTAAAGTTAAATCAGAAAAAGAAAAAAAAAACAGTCAGAAATAAAAGACGGTCACAAAAAAATTCGCCAACAGTAAGAAGGTTTTACGTTCCAATGATCGAGAACTTGAAAACTAATGCCTCCAAGATAATGGCATTTAACAAAAGTACGAAACAGTCTAAAAGGACAAGCCCACAACATAAAAAGGTGGTAAAGACAAGGAGACCCTTGAAAAAAAAGAAAAGTGTGAGTTCTAACAAGAGAATCAAGAAGAAGAAGGTAACTACGAGGTATAAAAGTGCTGTTAGGGATCTGAAGAGGATCAGAAATGGACAAAAGTATGTATAAATCTGTAAAACGCAAAAGTTTAGAATATTGACCTGCTCTGATATTCCTCACTTATTTTTAGGGTTCCGTACCTCAAAAGGTAAAAAAGGAACCCTTATCAGATCACTTTCTTGTCCGTCTGTCCGTGTGTCCGTGTGTCACCACCGATTTTCTCAGGCACGGGTAGATCTAGCAAGTTGAAATTTATACCAGATACAGAAGTCTATGGTCCCTATTAGGTGTATAAAAATCAAGGTCCTAAGTCAACATGATAAAAAGATATTTCTATTTTTGCGAAAGCTTGTAACTGCCAAAATTTATCATAATTTTCAACTTTTTTTATTTTTCAGAATTTTCTCTATACTTGTGCTGTAAGACCTTGCTTTTAACCAAAATTGACATTTCTAGGTCAACCGAAGTACCCTATAGGTTTTGGGTCGAATACCTATATGATAGTTCCCGTTGACCTAAAATCACGAAATTTGGCAAAAACAAACGTCTTACAGCACAAATAAAGGAATAATTCCAAAAAATCAAAAAAGTTGAAAATTAAGATAAATTTTTGTACATACAAATTTTCGCGAAAATCTAAATCTGGGTAAGTAGGAACTACGGAACTCTCGGCGCACGAGTTCGACTCGTACCTGACCAGTTTTTTTTTATATTTTCAAAACTAAAACCAATCCATACTGATATCAGATTGTGTTAAAATTAAAATTATTTTATTATTTTAGCAAAGGTAAAGAATTGAAGTTAAGGCTACCTAGACCTAGAGTCAAACCTAAGACACGTCAATCAACCTTGAAAAGACCAAAAGACATGTCACGAGGTGGAAAGAAACCCATTCGTAGAATCTTGGAAACTGTAAGCAGTTCGATGAATGAGAATACCATGACAACAATGTCATTGGTGTATATCAGAACGTTGTCGAGGTAGCTCAAAACAAAGAAAACTTATTAAAATAATACAAAATCAGAACAACAGATCTTTTTTTAGGCATTCGTGTTGCAACAAAAACCAGTTTGATTTACAAGTATGCGATCAGCTCCCGTTAATCCGTCACCACACGGAAAGTGTTTGATTAGTAGTTTTTTTTATTAGTACAGTTACATAATGCTAGTCGTGAGTAATTTTTAATCCACAAAATATACTGTACAGAGAGACACTTAAATTGATTTACAAGATCGTGGTAGGATTTATTGGCGACTTAGTATAAAAAACTTTATCATCCGTCGTACCCTCTACAATCTCAGAGTTAAAACCAAATTCAAAAGTACTAGGGCAGTAGTAAAGTAAAGGAGTTTTAATTACGCTTGCACTCAGATCGATATTTTGGAGAGCGCCTACATACTCAGGCAGTCAGAAGACCTGGCAATACATCAACAGCCCATAATAGTAAACTACTGGATATAGGCCTCCCCCCACGCTGGCCAGACGGGTCGGTATAGGGTTTGTATCAAGTTTTCTTTCATTTCGCAGTGATGTCATTCTACGTAGTTTGCTCCCTTAGTCGGTTTTTACGAAACCCACGGGATGACTACGTGACACCTCGTATTCTTAATCCGTCACCACACGGACATCCGTCAAAACACTTTTCATTTCTGTTTCGGATATATCATTAGGTATGATCCTGCTTTTTCAAATTTTTGGGGAATTGTACGTTGTTGCCTCCTTTACCACAATGCGATTAATTTAATAAATGTTTTATATAAAGTATTCTAATATACTTGTACCAGACGTTTGACGGATTAAGAATACAGACTTGTCACCACCCCTATTCATCCCGTGGGTGTCGTAAGAGCCGACTAATGGAGCAAACTACGCAGAACAACAGCACTGCAGAACTTGACACAAACATAAGGAAAACTTGACACAAACCCTATACCAACCCGTCTGGCCAGCGTGGTATGGTAGGCCAAAACCTCCTTTCTAAGGAGAGGCCTATGTAAAGCAGTGGATTATTCAAGGCTGTTGATGATGATGATGTGATGATGAGAAATGAAAAGCAGAATTAAGCAAGAAAGGTATATTCTTTTGCTCAAGGCCTTTGCGTGGTACTCTTCCTTGAAAGTATATCAGGTATCCGAGTCTGGGAGTCTTCACCATGACGACGTCGATCGTAAGCATCATCAGGTTCTGACGGTGGTTTACCGTCAGTAACTATTGGCAATTTATACGTTAAGGATGTGTTTCTTGTTCTTTTTCCACGCGTAGTTCTAGATCTGGTGGTTAATTCTGGGTACGGAAAAATGATATGGTTATTTTCATGGCTTAAGACTCCTGGTGGTAAGCAACTACCGTCGTCCATGGAAATCTGCAACTCAAAAGTCACATGTGCGTTGGTGCTTTGAGCCTCCCTTCCCCCTCCAGGAATATGAGAATTTTGTTCTATGGTAACCTTATTCAACAAAAGAATTGCTTTGGACCGAGCGAGGGAGGTAAACGGAATCTAAACTTTTCACTCTCCTTGTTTTGAGGGGGGGGGGGGGGTGCAAAAAACAAGGAGAGTGGAAAGTGTCTTAAAAAAAAGGTTCTTGAAACCTGTTACTCTGCAGTTGCAGCTGTCAATGGGTGACGGTAGTCACTTACCATCAGGTGGCCGGTCTGCTCGCTTGTCCTCCTACACCAAAAAACCTTTAGTCTTGAGCTTCAGCATAATAAGATTCGACTGGCCTGTATGCCTATTTGGTAATCCTGACTGCTAATCCAGAATGTAGTGGGTTCTATTCCTATTCAGGACAAATCATTCTGTGATGAACAGGTTCATTTGTTCTGTGTCTTTGTGTAAATAAGTATGTTTATCAGCAGTCTAGTTACCATAGTATAGGCTCCGTTTAGTTTGGGATCAGACAGCCGTGTGTGAGATGTGTAAATTTATTATTATAACTATTTATAACCAGAAGTTAGGAGGGGCTGGTGGCTAAGTAGTTTATCACATTGCAAAGTTAAGCAATCCTAGCAAGGCCAGTCTATGGATGGGTGACCATTCTTAATACATTGAGACGTTGGTTCCGGTTGCCATACGAACATCAATGACAATCGTCACGAGTAGTTGAGGTCCTAATAAATCCGATAACAGTCTATCTACAGAACTTCGATATCGCCTAGTGCTTATGTGGCGGAGGGCTGATGGCAATCAAAGTTTGGGAAAAGTCTCCCATAATAGGGAATATGCATGTATTTTTTTTATTTTTTTAAACGATTCTACTAGTTATTACATTACCAAAAATAAATATAACACATCCGAAATATAAACCGTTAAGCAAAAAAAAAAAATTTTGGGGCAATTTGAACACGTCCATTTTGGCGCGCTTTTTTTGTGACGTCAGATTACACTTTCAGACGAATTCGATGTCAACAATGAAGTGAAGTTCACAAAGTTTGTGAAAGTTAAAAAGTGAGTAATGAAAATTAACTTATTACCATGGAAAAGCCAATAAAAACTTATTATAAATATTGTGCCGTTCCTTTGTGCCCAAATAATATCAAAACTGCACCTGACAAAGTATATTCAGTCATTGTGTTGAGTCTTTCTACGCGGGAATTTAATAATTTAACGCTGAAAACGTATTAGTTATTAACTTAAAATGAAACAAGTAATCACCAGAAACCAAATATTACAAATACACACAACTTGTTGACACTCTTGACAGTGTAGGTTGACGTCACATTTTATTCAACCAATAGCGTTGCGTTTCAGAAATTTGCGAGGAAATCTTAAAAAAGCCAATTTTTGATGATTAAATTTCACTATTAAATTATAATAAATTTCAAAAATAATTGTATGGGTATCTTTTTTTAGCAATAAAAATTACAAATAAAAATATTTTGTCCATTTTGGTGTCACGTGCATATTCCCTATTATGATATCTAGAACTTACTTGTCGCATATGTACTTGTGCGATTAGAATTTTTCCAATAAGAAATGGTTAGGTATGAATCTAAATGGCTCCAATGACCGTGAGTGGCTACATCAGCCCAAAACGCTGCAGGATCTTTAGCCATTAATTGGTCCTGGACCTTCGGAGGTTTTTTTACTTTCCTCGTTGTTTGTTTAGAAATGGCTTGCAATGTTACAAAAAAATTGGTATTTCCGTTTGTTTCCTCTTTATCCATATTCGTTGTATACACATCAATAACAGGACTTGAAAAGCTGGTGCTTTTTTTAGTGGGCAAGCTGAACCCAGTATATTTATTGTCCATAAAATCTGGCGGTTCTGACGTTGGGAGGGCAAGCTGTTTCAATATGTCGTCAGGTTTTCTGGCTGTTCTAAGGTCAATTTTTATATCATCGTTTGCTGATCGTAGTATAGGAGTCTTCTTTGCCACTGCGTTAAAATGAAATGATATTTATTTCTGCAAGTAATCTTTGCAGATATTTTTACAAGTCAGTCTTTACAACTAGGATACGCCGTCATTTCCTAAGACTCACTCTGGGAAGAAACGCCGAAGCAAACCACAGAGGTGTCTTTTTTTTAACTCTGTGAGTGCAGTGAAACCCTGGTATCACTCCGGTCTAGCTAACCTATTTAACTAGCATGACTCTTATACGTTTTTTTTTTTTTTAACATTACCCTCACTAGGAATATATCCTGTCGCGGGGGAATTTAGAATCATACATGGAACGGACACGAACACCCAGATTCAGAACGACAATTTGTGGATTACACAAAGTATCGTCCCATGTGGGTACCGGACCCACAACACTCGGCGTAGTAGAGAGTGGCGTGGCGACCGCTTAAACCACTACGACATCCATGCAGTCAATTCAATCAGATCTGATCATAACTCCTGCACCCTGGACAAGAGAATCATACTCACCAATTTCAATTGATCTACACTCATCTCTTAACAATATAGTTATTACCAATAAAAAGTACATTTTGATTTTTCTTCTTATTTTATTACTGTGTTTTTCATTTCGTTTTATGGGTAATAAAATTAAGATTTCGAAATATATGCTATTTAAAATATTGTGATAATATCTCAACACATTTATGACACTATTATATAAAATACCTGTATACATTTATGTAGTTGATTTAAAAAAAGCCGTGTGGTGCGTGGGACACCCGGTAGGAACGAAGTTGTGACGATCGAGTAAAACTGATTCGACACGATTTTAATTACAACGCCATCTATGAAAGCGGCTATTACCTACATATTTTTCAGTTGGTTTCTAATTAAAACAATTTATACATTGGTAAAATCTCCTTGAGAAATGATGTCGAATACAATATTTTTTGCTCAACCTAAGAACATAAATTTTAATTTTACTGAGAGGAAAAGTAATGATTTCCTATCTATTCGATAGACGGCGCTGAATGACTGACAAGTGACAATTCAAAATAAAAAGTGTCGTTACAACTTTTCGTGAGATTTTTTTCCGTCTAGCCCCCTTTCACAACGCGCGATAAGGAACTTCGTTCCAAAAGGACACAAAATAATGTGCTCTGCAACCCTTTGTAACCTTTGTAAACCATATATTCCTCGAATCAAGATTCCTTGCTCATTATAAACACTCCTCTTACGTGTGGAAATCCCTTCTGACCGTCATAAAACCAGAGGGTGTGCCACTCTGCGCCTGAAATAGGAGGGATCCGAGAACTGCTGTTATTGAGACATCTGAACCACTATGTACACAACCTTAACACTTTGCACGATCATCACTGTGTCACTTGGCGTGCTCTTTCCTCAAAGGCCTGTCAAAGCGCTTTGGACTCTTGAGTTGCAGCCATTCATGGGCCGCAGTAGTTTCTTTCTCTGGTTCCTCTTCCTTAAAAAACTACCTTACCTGTTACACACATAGAATACTGTTAATATTTTCACATATCTATCGGTATTATGCAGCTAGTTAGACCAAAAGATTCTGTGACAAGATTTATTTTGTTTTCATCTGCTGTGCATCTAGTGCCTCTGGGCAGTCAATTTTTTTACGTGACTATAATGTGTGTGTAATATTTGGGATAGTAATAGATACTATAATATCACTTGAAATAATGTTCAGATCACATAATTTTCATGATATAAAAACAAATAACAAAGTTTAAGAATTGTATGTATCTTGATTATTTGGTTACGTATTAAGGCATAACGTGAAACATTCACGTTATGCCTTAATACGTAACGTACGTACGTAAAAAAAAAATCATTTCCTCAAAAAAAGTAATATATTTTCAACTACCATATTTATACCGATGCCAATGGCCACTCGATGGCATCTCAATAGCGTGTCAGTGGTATGACACTGGCTTGGCGTAAATAGCAGAATTGAGGCTCAGATTCAACGACAGCTGAACTAGTCCAGAGAAAGTAATTAAGAAACATATGAGTCATGCTAGTTATCGCACCTATTCCTTCAGTAACAATTTTGTAGGAAACACTGACTAATCCTTCAGCCTTAAGTAAGTTAGTTTCTTTATATTTACATTAGGTACATTTTGTATCCGTTCATTGCGAATAATCGTATAATCGTAAAATCTTTCCCTAGAATGGAAGTTGCAATTGTAAAGTAAAAATCAAACTAAAAACTGGTATATATTTTTAACCGACTTCCAAAACACAAAAGAGGAGGTTCTCAATTCGTCTGTATTTTTTTTTTTATGTATGTTTGTTACGCGATTTCTCCGTCAATTGTGGACCGATTTTCAAAATTATTTTTGTAATCGAAAGGGTATGCCCGAATTGGTCCCATTATCACCAATTCAGGATCTGATGATGGGATCCTAGAGAAATCGATTGAAACCCTCACAATTATTGGGAATTTGACAGCCCCGACAACGTGGTTTAGCTACGAGTATTTCTTTAGCCAAACAAACAATGGCAATCGTCAGAGACTGCGCGATGTGATGCGCAGAGAACTTGCAGTATTTATGTCACCACAGTAATTTTCGTTGTATTAAGAAGAAAAGGTTGAAATTTTGTATTCTATCTTGTTAAAATAATTCGGATAGACGTTTAGTTGCTATGGATGGCATCGCATTTCGTTTGTAAGTAATTTTATACTTAATTTATTAAAATAGTTCTGGAAAAAACTCTTAAATTTTGTGTGGGTCAACTAGGTTAATTTCTAACACACCAGTATTAACCCTTCTAGTTGGAACTCCTTCTATAAAATATTGAGCATATTTGTTGAGTAGTCTCACTTAAGCTTCCCTATCTTCACCTTCGAGATCAGTGTCAATTGAATCGGAAGTTATTTTGTTCGGTTGCAACTCACAAGAATTTGACTGTTTCTTAGAAAAGAATTTAAGCTGATCTTGATCAGTTTGTACGCCAATGTCATTTTCTAAGATATCCCTAACTATGATGATAGGTTCTGATAGGCAAGAATCCGGTACTACATGAAAGAGTAAGGTCTGAGTTATTTCACCTACTTGTACTTCATTTAAAATTTGAGTATCACACCTTACATCATCACCCCCAATTCCAGTTAGGTAACTACAGTTTGTTACTATACATTACGGTACGTAGTGTTTTAAATATCGTACTTATCTACTCATTACAAACATATCTTACACTAAAAATGGTAAAATAAACCCTTTTAAAAAAAAAGTTGAACCGACTTCAAACAACACCGACAAAGAGCACTAAAAATTAAAAAATAATTACAAATCTAAGTAAAAAACTATAATAAGTACCCTCAATGTAACAGGTAACATTATAATACCAATAGTCCCTTCTAGTCTGTTTGAAGTCGGTGCCAAGCTCGATGCACAATAAGCAATACTGGTCTATGCCAGCTTTATATTAGCACAATGAAAAATTAAGAATTCAAAATAATTCTAATGAAACATCGAAGATTTTGTTAATTAATAAAGAACAACCAGATCAATTACATGCGCAAACTTATCAACTACTTATTAAAGCATTCAAAATAATAATATAATTGGAGATGTGCGTCCACTTTAGCTCGTTCAACATGTTTTGCGCAGCATGAAGCAGCTGCCGCGCTACATTCTACCATGCCTATCAAGCACCTATTTGGCTTGGCACCGACTTCAAACAGACTAGAAGGGACTATTGGTATTGTAATGTTACCTGTTACATTGAGGGAACTTATTATAGTTTTTTACTTAGATTTGTAATTATTTTTTAATTTTTAGTGCTCTTTGTTAGTGTTGTTTGAAGTCGGTTCAACTTTTTTTTAATAGGGTTTATCTGTCTTTCTTGTTTGGAAAGACCACCAAGGTAGGTATATCTACTGATCATTTAAATACTAAAATAATTAAATAAAACCATATGAATTAGTTTTATTTTATTACGGTTCTATTTTATCTCATAAGTATTCCTGGTTTTATATAGGTAAGGCCTCGCCTTAACACAGTTGCGTATTGGGAAGAGCGCTTTCTTGTATGTAAATGTTTATTTGAAGGTGTTGTCTTTTTGGTAGCGCTTTTGTGTTTATGTCTTAAAGGGCTTTGATCTTTTAAGACATGTTCTTCTTCCCCTTCTGTAGGATTGCTGGAAGAGTGTTTCTTTTTGGTAGGATGTTCAAGCCTGGAAGAATGTTTGTGTTTGGCATGGCGTTTATCTTTTAAAAGATGCTTGACTTTGGGCTGGCGTTCATCTTTCAAAGGCTCCTTGTCTATGGACGGGAGTTTGTTTTGAGATGGATGTTTATCTTTGGAGGGGTGTTTATCCCTGGAGTGATGTTTGATAGCTTGTGTAGTGTTCCGTAATTTCGTAACAGTCAGAACTTTTGGTGAATGTACGATATTCTGTGGCATCCTTTGTTTTAAAGATGGCTTTAAACCTGTTAGTGATGACCCTCCGGTAGGATGGTCTTTAGCTGAAAAAAATTTAGTTAAATGAAGATTGTATGGGTCCAAGACCTTTTCAAAGCATTTAAGAAAGCGAGTCTAAGGGATTTTTTAAAATAATAATCTCACACACGATCGTCAGATCCCAAACTAGACAGAGCCCGTATTGACGATGATCATTTGTTCTATCATCATCATCAGCTGCTGCTGCTGCTGGATAAAGGTCTCTGCCATTGCACGCTACTGAAATTTGTTTTCGGCTTCTCGCATCCAGCTCCTGCCTGCCATCTTGCGCAGACCGTCACTCCAACTCCTACACTACGTTTGCCGAGACGCCGTCTCCACTCAAGAACTCATTTTCCCCAACGGTTGTTGATCCTGCGGCTACTATGGCCACCCCACTGCCACTTCAGCTTCCTAATCCGATGGACTTTGTTGATGACCTTGGTTCTCTCCTGAATCATCTTATTTGTTCTATGTCTGGGCGTAATTTATTTGTAACATGTAGTATTTAGAGATTTATAAGTATGTTTATCAGCAGTCTGGTTGCCATAGTACAGGCTCCGCCTAGTTTAGGATCAGACAGCCTTGTTAAATGTTTCAAGTTATTATTATAGCATACATACCTTGTCTTAAATCGCTGTATTGCTGGAAACGATCTGCAAAAGCTTTGTTGGCTTTCTTCACCATATGCTCCAGGTCTTTGGTGCCGCTCAGGTGGAAGAACGGTGTTTCAAATGCTTCGATAATTTCTTTGCATAACTCCTTTCCATTTTTATTCACTAGAGAAAAGTAAAAAAAACGACGATATAGACGAGTATGACTCTTATTTTTATAACATAGATGGATAATACTTTATTTGTATACCAGGATTTTATAGACATTATAAAGTAATTAAATGTAAGATGTGTGCAGTCACAGTCATATTTCTTTTTTAAATAAGACAACTCCCGCCCTAGGAATAAATCCTGTGTCGCGGGGGACTTTGCAAACATACATGAAACGGACACAAAGGACACCCAGACTCAAGACAACAATTTGTGAATCACACAAAGTGTCGTCCCATGTGGGGATCGGACCCACAGCACTCAGTAGTGAGCGGCGTGGCGACCGCTTAAACCACTACGATGGCGTAAAGTCGCCACGCCGCTCACTCACACGCTCACACGCTCACGCACGGATGGCCGTGCAGTCATACTTAGAGCCTGATTATTGTAGCGACAGATAACAATATTTAAACACTCAGAATACACACTTAGTTATATATATAAAAGAAAGTCGTGTTAGTTACACTACTTATAACTCAAGAACGGCTTTACCGATATGGCTGAAAATTGGTGAGGAGGTAGCTTATAGCCAGGAGACGGACATAGGATACTATTTATTCCGTTTTTTTTTTTGTATCGGCGTCGATCACCAGATGACAACGGTGGAACTGTCACAACAAAAGTGAAAAGAATGGATTTCGTTGTCGACAACAGTTGGATTGTTCCATATTCGCCACTTATTTCTAAAACGTTATTTAAAGACACATTGCAACGTTGAGTATTGGTCGGAAGATCATCTACGTAGTTTGTTTTTGCGCCTGATAAGAAAACAAAAAATGTGGTGTATCACAAGGTACTTAAGTGAAGAGCAACCTATGTACTGAAATGCAGAAACAATAATAAATGATTAATGTACTTCATTTTTTTTTCTAAGAAATAAATTAACTTACTAAATTCGAAAATCAGCTTATTTATTGCCTTTAAGGCGGAACAGAGTTCGCCGGGTCAGCTAGTTTATTATAAAGAGACATACCATTAGGATATTGTTTAACATCTTGAATAACAGTGAGCAAGTGTTCGCCATGTTTTTTTGAGATTAAACTGTCAGCATAATCTAGGACCTCGTTGACATCTGTTCCAACAATCTTCCGTCTCTGCTGCATCAGGGATTTGAGGATCATAGCGCGAACTGACCACAAAGAAGATTTATAATGAGTTTATTATCTGTACTAATAACATAAAGCTGAAGAGTGTGTTTGTTTGGTTAAACACGCAAATCTCAGGAACTAATGGTTCGAATTAAAAAAATCTTAGTGTTGGATAAAGATATAGTAACGAATTAAGAATACGGAGTGTTACCACCCCTATTCATCCTCTGGGTGTCGTAAGAGCTGATAAAGTGCAACACAAGAAAACAGCACTGCAAAGAGAAGGAAAACTTACGTACATAACAAAGCTCACACCAACCAGCGTAGTGTAGTAGGTCAAAACTTCCTTTCTATGAGAATCTTATGTCCAGCAGTGGACTTTGAAAGGCTGTTGATGTGATATGCTATATAATATCACGCTACGACTTATAGGAGTAGAGCATCAACGAAAAATTTTGCAAAAACGGGCCAAATTTATTACTTTTAAGAGACGCAGAAAAAATTGTACGGGTCAGCAAGTTAAAAATAGCGCTTGAAAAGTTTTCTGATTACTATATCGGTCTGCATCGCGCTGAGCTGGAAAAATTACTTTATTTTTAATGGGACTAATCCTTCCCGCACACCCAATACTATAACTTCTTTACACCAAGATCAACAGCAATGACCCATGAACACACCGAGTTTTGATTCTCGGGAAGTCCCAGGAAAAGCTTTAACGATCTTGGCACCCGCAGCGAACTTAATAAGAACTAGGGGAGAGTAAACAATATTGAACGGGCGCTTAATATGGAACACTTATGTATTTCTACCAAAATGGCCCTATTTGGTATAGTTTATTGGCACAAAAAAGAGCGCTGAGAAATGGCGGAGTATTAGTGACGCTGCTAGCGCTCCTTTTTTTGTTGCTAGTGTAAAAAAAATAGTGCTATTTTGTTAGAAATCCAGAAGTGGTCCAATTTAAGCGCCGGTTCAATATTGTTTACTCTCCCCTAAATTGGAAGAGTTGGAAATATAATAAATCTACTTAGCATTCTATTAAACAGGGAAGCATCACGAGGAATGACACTCAGGAAGTCTATAAAGATGTTTACATGACATAATATTGTTCAGAATTTATAAATGACAAGCTGACCCGCGCAACTTCGTCTGCGTCTCTCAAGTAATAATTTTTCTCCGTTTTTGAAACATTCTTCATTGGTGCTCCGCTCCTATTGCTCTTAGCGTGATGATATATAACCTATAGCCTTCCTCGATAAATGGGCTATCTAACACTGAAAGAATTTTTCAAATCGGACCAGTAGTTCCTGAGAAACAAACAAACAAACTCTTCAGCTTTATAATATTAGTATAGATATTACCTTGCAGCACATCTGCGGAATCAGTTGCTAATAGAATAGATAGGTCCCGTAGAATAGTAGTCATTGGCTCCCCAAGCCATAGAAGACGCCCGGTATTCTGCAACCTAAATAAATAAATATTTAGGCCATCTAAAAAACAACGCCATCAACTTTCAAACTAAGCAGAGCTTGTACTATGAAAGCTAGATTGACTGATAGAATACTTATATACCGTTTTATTTTTTGTACACACATTATATATAGATAACATCTAAACTGTGAAACAAATATTTACAGATCATACAATCATTTCTTCTGACACGGAAATTGAAACGAGACCTCAGCTCAGCAGTTGCATACGCTATCTACTGCAAAATATACCGCTGTTCTTTTGTCAATTATGTACGGAAGTACCGACATTAAACGATAAGGTTCTTTTGACGTGACAACGTCTTATAATTCGATGGAGCCGGCTGCACGCACGAAAAAACATGACTCATGCGGCGTTACCTCGCTCTGAGGCGTTGCATTTAAGGCGTGAAGTGCAAGCGAGAGCGCGGAACGAGTGACAAAGAGGCACAATTGGCCTCCGCGTTCGGCAGCGTTCGACATCTGTCTCTCTCCTACTTGAGTGAGCGATGCGTCCGCGTGGACAGCTACTACTCGTATATAATAATACATTTTTGAAAAATGCAACCATTCCATCAGTATTTTCTTATGACGTTGTCACGTTCAACTATCGTCAGTAAACCGACTTTACAGACAACCGATTTTTTTATGGTAAATTGGGGCAAACAAACGAACGAGTGCATTACCACCCTTCGCACCTGGTACTTTCATTACCCAATGAACAGCAACGAATTGGACGCATGTTTTCTGTGAGGCCATGTCACCGCTCTGGTCGAGCTTGCCCATTTGTGCCAAAACCTCTCCCACGTCTTTTAATGGTTACAGACATAGCTTCAGTTGCAAGTGGTATAAATATTCAAGTTGATCTATAGGTCAGTGATTCTATTTTGTGAAACAGAGGTCGTAGGATCGATTTCTACTCAATACAGATGACTGTGTGATTAGCACAATAATTATGTTCTGTTTCTTGGTATAATTTATCTATAACATCATCAACAGCCTATACTAGTCCACTGCTGGACAAAGGCCTCTCCTTGGAAAGGAGGTTTTGGCCTACTATACCACGCTGGCCAGACGGGTTGGTATAGGGTTTGTTTCAAGTTTTCCTTCTCTTTGCAGTGCTGTTGTCCTGCTTAGTTTGCTCCCTTAGTCGGCTCTTACGACACCCACGGGATGAATTGGGGTGGTGACAATTTGTATTCTTAATCCACGTCACCACGCGGACATATCTATAACATGTATGTATTTAGTATGTTTAGTTCAGCAGTCTGGTTGCCGTAGTACAGGCTCTGTATAATTTAGGATCACGCTTTTTTAACTTACTCTTCAACAATAAATTCGGTATGTTTCACTATTTCCGTCACATGTTCTTGTTTCTTGGATGCCATATGTTCACACAGACCTTCAAACGCCACGCTCAGGTACCCTATATTATTTGCCTCCATTTTCTGATAGTAAGCTTCTATTTGTGGCTCTTTTGTAGATTGTTCTGCCAACACTGCAAGGAGAACGATTACCGTACTACTATTATATGTAAATGCGAAAGTTTGGATGAATATTTGTGAATAAATCAAGATAGAACGAAGCGTCTCGGCAAACGTAGTGTAGGACGCCCACAGGCCAGGTGGAGTGACGATTTGCTCAAGATGGCTGGCAGGAGCTGGATGCGAGAATCCCAAAATCGATCAAGTGGCGTGCAATGGGAGAGGCCTATGTCCAGCAGTGGACTGCGATAGGATGATGATGATGATGTAGCTAGAACGTATGAACGGATCTGTATGAAACGAGAGTAGGTAACAAATGTCTCTCGGGTCTGAGCCCACCCTTCAATAGTTACATTTGATATGCCGTGGGTAGGACTTTTTAAGCGGAACATTAGTTACGAATTAAACTATGGTCAACTGTTAGTGCTTTACGGCGTCTTAAAGTCGCCTCAGAATAACGTTTAGAATGAAAACAAAAAAGATTTATTGTCGGTCCTGGATATCAATGACTTTGAGTTTGGTTGATAGCTCACTGTTCGTGTGGTGACGGATTAAGAATACAGAGTGCCACCACCCCTATTCATCCCGTGGGTGTCGTAAAAGGCGACTAAGGGAGCAAACTACGCAGGGCAACAGCACTGCAGAGAGAAGGAAAACTTGATACAAACCCTATACCAACCCGTCTGGCCAGCGTGGTGTAGTAGGCCATAACCTCCTTTCTAAGGAGAGGCTTATGTCCAGCAGTGGACTAGTAAAGACTGTTGATGATGATGATTAGGTAGCAAATCAAAGATATGATATGAGCACAAGTTTCTACAGATTATCGTCCTGTCAAGCAAGAACGATAATATTGTGTTATCGCGTTTCTTCCAACTTGGTTTCGATAAATTTAGGAGGGGAGGTATATTTCCCATTTGGTCCCTTTCAAATTTGAATAAAAATTACCACTTGTAAGAGGCGAAAACACCAAAACAAAGAATACAGTATATTTCAATTCATAAATTATTTTTTTATGGTATAAGGGGGCAAACGAGCAGACGGTTCACCTGATGGTGAGCAACTACCGCCGCCCATAGACACCTGCAGCTCAAATGTCATAAGGGCGTTACCGCCCTTAGAGTCCCCCCCCGCTCAAGTCAGCGGGATTTGGACTCCGGTAACCTTACTCACTCAGTGCTTAACACCGGTTCTCTGTGAGGCCGTGGTACCACTCAGATCGAGCCGGCCATTTGCCGAAGCATGGCTCTCCCACGACTCTCTCATAATGCTAGGTTTATTGTAGTCAGACACAATTTTTTCAAAGGTAATTTTTTCTGATTAATTCAATACATTTCCACTTTCTGTCATACAAATCAGCCTCGTTCAGAGAAGACCATCCAAACGCAATAAGCGCATTTAAGCCTAACTAGTATCACAAACAGAACAATTTAAATTTCTTTAATCAAGATAAGGAGAAAAATATACATCTTACCGAAACCATACAGGACATCTCCTGGCGCCAAAGACGACGATCTCATGATATTTGGCGATGCACTGAACTCTTTTTCTGAAGATTCCTCCTGCTCACCATACGTAGCAGGAACTGGTTGAGTCACATCTTGTAATGCTTCTGTAAAATTAAATTTAATTGGAGGATTAATCCGTCCGCTATCATGTCAAATTTTAGCAGGTGCTCCAGTAGGTCGACAGCAGTGTTATCACAGAAAAAAACACCTAAACTTCATATTCGTAACTTCTTAGAAACTCATGGATTATGCATAACATAACCAAGCTGGCCAGACGGGTTGGTATAGAGCTTGTGTCAAGTTTTCTTTTTCTTTGTAGTGTTCTTGTCCTGCGTAGTCTGCTCCTCAGTCGGCTCTTCCACCCACGGGATGAGGAGAGGTAAGAGCTCAAATAATGTAGATTGACGACTCACCGTCCCCTTGTAGAATATTTATTGCTGCAAATGTTGATTCTTGCCGCAATGGTTCATGAAATCTTTTTCTTAATCCAGATTTTTGAGACACAGGACTTTTATCCGATGTATTAACTGTACTCTCTGGAACAATAAAGCCATAATTTACTACAAGTGCAATAATTAACTTTGAAAAAGTTGTTACCGACTTAAGTGTGACTACATCAGGATAAATTGAAATAAACTGTAATCTTTGTTCTTTAATTTTCACTCTTACGGATTGTAATTTTGGTTCAAATGCGAATGGAATGAAACTAGAATTATACTCTTTTAAATAAATGAAAAGAAAACCAAATTGAATGTCATAAATTGAAATTGAAAAACCGGTGTTAAGCAAGTCTTTCGTTTCTTTTCAGCAAATGAGTAGGGTCACATGAGGATCAATTCCCTCCTCAAGAGCGGTCGTAGTCACATAACATCCAGTAACCCGTCTGCTCATTTGCTTCCTATACTATAAAAAAATATCGATAATGCTAGGGAGAGGGAAGGGCCTTTGAAACTTAAAAAATAACGATAGTTAAAAAAACAAGAAAAAACATAATAAACGGCGTGAGAGATCTATGGATGGACCCCTGTTCAGAACGAAGTTCCTTTCTCTTTTTAGTAGACGTTTGCTATAGTGTCGAAAAAAAAGTCTTGTTACCCTTTTTACGGTCGCGCCGACTTTATATACACTTTATATCTTATTCATTGGTAGTGAGGGGGGTGTTTGAATGAGATAGGTGGATGAAACAAACGTTTTTTTTTACGCTTTGATGCACCGTTTCAGAGATATAGCGAAAAAGATGCAATGGCAGGTTCAACTATCTTACAGGTATCTTGACTAACAAAGCGAGGTGCCACGGCAGCAGCCGGCGAGTACCAAAACCGACCGAACTGCTAGCGTTTTAGTATTTAAACCAATTCCACTAGCTTGTAGAAAATGCAACGGTAGGTTAGGATAGTATTGCCACCAACAAAGAACCGAATACAAGTAAAAAACTGAAAAAAGAAAAAATATCTTTTGCGATTACATTGTTACTGTCATTGGATAAGAAAATTATAACCACCCAGATTTCTTCGTGCCATTTTATGTCTGTGTAAAATAAGCATTCATTAAAAAAGATGACTGTTTTGATTTTTTTGAATAATTGATGCTATTTTCTAGCGATAATAAATTCATTGTTAAGTAAACTTCTTTGTTGTTTGATTCAACTTTGGTGATACTTTTATTATTTTGAAATCCAATACAATTATTTCATGTCTGATATATATATATCCGTGTGGTGACGGATTAAGAATACGGAATGTCACTACCCCCAATTCATCCCGTGGGTGTCGTAAGAGCCGACTAAGGGCGCAATACAACGCAGGACACCAGCACTGCAAAAAGAAGGTAAACTTGACACCAACCCTGTACCAAACGGTCTGGCCAGCGTGGTATAGTAGGCCAAAACCCCCTTTTATAAGGAGAGGCCTATGTCCAGTAGTGGACTATTAAAGGCTGATGGTGATGATGATTATTTCCAAGTAATAGTTATCATTTTGATATTAATTGGTGATTCAGTTTTGGTGACAGATCTACTATTTCAGGAACAAATTTTATAATTTTTTTTTTTGGCGATTAGTAAAATCATACCCTTTTTTTCCGTGTGGAACTCCCTTTGGATACCACCCACCAGTGGAGTGGTTATGTCGGACTCAAACCGACTAAAAATCGCACGCCGTCTCCAGGCACCAGTATCCGTCGCATCAGGTATGCCCTAGAAACGAAAGCCCTGGTACCCCGACGTACCTCGGGCCATCTCCGGCTTATGGTTGACCCCCTCCTCTGTGGGGGAACCCCCATTTTCCCTTTCTGAGCCCGAAGGACTATGCTGACAGATAGCCTCGCCTGTCTTACCCTGGCCTGCACTTCTGGAGGACAGAGGTCGTTCTGCGACCTCCTGGTGTGCGGACTGGGAGAGTTTTCAACCTCTCCTGGTCCCTCTCCGCCATCTCCTTCGCAAGCATAACTTGCTCGCAGAAGGAGTCAGCTTAGTTACACGGACTCTCGCTCCGTACCATGTCCTCAATCATGTTACCGAGCGAGAGTATTCCCACTCCGATGGCCGCCATGTAAAATCATAAGCTCAAAAAATTGCATCTTACGATTTAAGTTAATTTGTAGAACATCCACCAGTGAGGACGCTTTTTTTGTGACCGTCGGCGATATCCAAATGTGTTTCTTTGATATTGTCCGGTTCCTTCGATAGCCTTCGTCTCCCTGAGCTCGATTGTGAAAAATATCTAAAAAGAATACGCACATTTAAATATGTAAATGTCTGTACATTTTTAAAGCGCCGCGTGTTACCTTTATGGTCACCGCTGAAAACCAGCGCTGTTTCGCCAAACAGATATCAGCTGCTAGCGTGACACCATCAATGCTCTGCCTGACCAGTGTCTTTTAACTCCCGCACTAGGAATACATCCTGTATAGCGGGGAACTTTAAAACATGACATGAAACGGGCATAAAGAACACCCACACTCAGAACAACAATCTGTGGACCACAAAAAGTGCCCTACCATCCGGGCATCGATCCTACAACACTCAGCCCTAAAGGTAACCGCTTAACCCACTACGCCATCCGTGCTGTCAAAGTCAAGTAGTATTTTTTTTAAAGAAAATGAAACAAGGATGTCCACTTATCGATCCATTTTTAAGTTTCAAGTACGCAAGCTTTTTTTATGGAAGAGGAGGCAAACGAGCAGACGGGTCACCTCATGGAAAGCGACTACCGCTACCCATGAACGTCAGCAACTCAGGAGTCACAAGTGGGTTGGAGGCCTTTGAGAAAGGAATACGCTCTTTTCTTGAAGGTTTGTAGGTCGAATAACATTTATATTAGTAAATAATATACATGTTATTCGACACTAAAATAACTACAGTACGTCGGTTGCTAAGCCAAGATTTCTTTCTCCCTTTCTTGTAATTGAGTGATAGCATATGTGTAAATAATATAATACATACATTGGCCGCACGAAATTATGTAAAATAGTGCTTATCTGTGAAGACCTTTAATTGGCTAAATCTATACTAATATTATAAAGCTGAAGAGTTTGTTTGTTTGTACGCGCTAATCTCAGAAACTACTGGTCCGATTTGAAAAATTCTTTTAGTGTTAGATAGCCCATTTATCGAGGAAGGCTATAGGCTATATATCATCACGCTAAGACCAATAGGAGCGGAGCACCAATGAAGAATGTTTCAAAAACGGAGAAAATTTATTACTATTGAGAGACGCAGACGAAGTTGCGCGGGTCAGCTAGTGTTTTATATTATTGTCACTATCTCAATGTTAAAGCTGTTGGTTTTCCTTCAAATAAATAAATAAATAAATATTGGATTTTAATTGCGACTTAGATGTCAATGTTAATAACAGAGTCGCACTGACTGGCTCTTCTGACCGAGGGAGTTCTTGGTCAACTGAGGAGTCGGGTAAATACACCGATTTGCGAGCGAGTGCGGTCAAATCCCCTTGGCCCTAATCCTGGATGGGGTCACTCAAAGAGCTGCTTCCAGGAGTCCAAGGACAGGACATCAAGAACCGCATACTCTTTAGCCCCTCTTTTTCTCCGAGCCTTTTCCCCAAACTAGGTTGGTGTCGGCTGTAACTCTACTACGATACTGCCATCAGACCTCAACGACCCAAGTACTAGGCAGAAAGACTACAGTTCTGTAGAAAGACTGTTATCGGACTTTTTAGGAGTCCAACTACCCGTAACGACTGCCACAGATGTAACGAACACCCCCCTATGCCATGAAAAAATACTCACTGTATTTCCGTGGAATATATCTTGGTACCTTCGTTCTTTGCGTGATATGTTTCTCAATTCCATATTGCTTCTTTAATATTGCATTACTGTCTACCCCAAGGACTACTGGAGGGGTATTATAGTAGACATCTGAAAGAAGAATAATTGTTTGATGATATAGTTACAGTAGCGCCACTGGATGAAAAGTTAAGAAGGAATAGGTTATCTTGGTATGGACATGTCATGCGGAGGGATGAGGAAAATGTGGCGAAGAAAGTATTAGATATGGGAGTTGAAGGGTACAAGAGAAGAGGAAGGCCATTGAAAAGGCTGATCATCAACAGCCTTTAATAGTCCACTGTTAGATATAGGCCTCTCCTTAGAAAGGAGGTTTTGGCCCACTATACCACGCTGGCCAGACGGGTTGGTATAGGGTTTGTTTCAAGTTTTCCTTCTCTTTGCAGTGCTATTGTTCTGCCTAGTTTGTTCCCTTAGTTGGCTCTTACGACACCCACGGGATGAATTTGGGTGGTGACACTTTGTATTCTTAATCCGTCACCACACGGATTAGCTGTGTGAATGAGGATATGACTAGGAAGGGAGTAAACAGTGAGATGATGAATGATGGAGTAGAATGGAAGAATCAAATGCGCCGACCTCAAATAAACTTTGGATAAGGGTGACGATAAATATAATTATATTCACTAGCCTGATAGATGTGATATTTGATTGTTGAAGAGCTGCATCAGCACAAATGGGTTGGCTCGACCGGAGTGGTACCAGGACCTCGCAGAAGCAGGGAGTTAAGCAATCCTTTTTTTGCTTTTTACCGAGCGAGTAAGGTAAAAAGAGTAAAACTCTGGAACGGTATAAACGAGCAGACAGGTCACCTGATGGTAAGTGACTTCCGCAGCTCATTTGCCTTTTTTTCTTCTTTTAAAAAAGACATTAGGAATTATCGCGTCGCGGGGACTTTATAAACATATGTAAGACACAAAGAACGCCCAGACTCAGAACAACTATTTTTTGATCACACTGTTGTTCCATGTGATCGGACCCACAACACTCATCACCATCAACAGCCTTAATTTGTCCACTGCTGGACATAAGCCTCTCGTTAGAAAGAAAGTTTTGGCTTACTATACCACGCTAACCAGAGGGGTTGGTATAGCACAACACCCAGCGCAGTAGAAAGCAGCGTGACGACCGCTTAAACCACTACACCATCCGTGCAGTCATCGTGGACCCTTGTAACTCAGGAGACACAAGTGAACCCCCCATCTCCGTTAATCAGGTTAGCGGGGTGTTGACCTTTAGTAAGCTCATTAAATCGTCAAAAAAGAACAAAAGGAAAAGCTTCATACGGTCTTTTGGAAGGCTGTCTTATTACTCCAGTCGAACCAGCTCATTTGTGGCGGTAAAGTGTAACTTACTGTTACTTGGCGTCGTCTCCAAGTCTTCTGGTCGCATATAAGGCTTCGACATTTTCTTCTTGTGTTTCTGAAGCAGTTTCGGACGTTTTACAACACGAACTTGAGGTGGCGTGTTGTAATAAGCATCTAAAATCACAAAGATAAAAATGAGACTTCAAGAAGCGTTATTAATAAAGTTTAACAGTATAATGAAAAAACTAAAAATTTCTGCATATTGGATACTATTATAGAATATCACCTATTACTCTGACATAAAGTATCGATAATTTATACAAAACATAAATTGAAAGTGGTACTTCTCTGATACCTTGGGTAATGGATTTATAGTACTTGGTGTATTGTAGAAAATATCTAGAATAATGTAAGAAGAATATATTAGTTCTGCTAGAAAACTCGGATTTCAACAGTCAGTTCGAGTTACAGGTATACGCCTATATATATTCCTAATTTAATATATGTGAATTTATTGCATTCCACAACTGCAACTCTCTTAACAACTTACCATTGCCTTGTGGAATATTTCCTGGAGTCTTACTTTCTCTTATATTTGGCGGTGTACTAAATCGTTCATTTAATAGTCGCACTATTTGCTTCATATACTGTTTATCTGGTTTATTGCTCAACATTTCTAGAAGAAGAATCAGGACATTATTTAAACACGAAACATGTCATTTTCCTGCTTTTGCCCGGCCATTTGCCAGACGCCAATCCTCCGTGACACCATGGTTCAATTTGCTATATATTTTCAACCCTGGGAGCGTAGAGTGTTGACTGCACGGAAGGCATAGTGGTTTAAGCGGTTACCTCGCCGCTTCCTTCCTCCCCAGAGTGTTGTTGGTTCGATCCCCACATGGAACAACACTGTGGAACAACAAATCCTTGTTCCGAGTCTGGGTGTTCTTTGTCTGTTCCATGTATGTTTGTACTGTCCCTCGCTGAACAAGATATGTTTCTAGTGCGGGAGTTGTAATAAAAAGTACAATAATAAACTCGAATAGCGAAAACGCGAATAAGAGCATCGTGAATAAGATATTTTTTAATGTATCTTTGTAAGTGTGATACTCACTTTCGTTCTTCACGTCAAGCACGGCTGTTTTCATCGCTTCTGTGTCATTAAGTAATATATGAAATGATTTCTTAAATTCTCCGCCAATATTCACCGCACGAGATACAAGATCTGATACAATGAAAGGAATTACTAAAAAAGCAACTGCAAATTTTCTGCCATCCTTAAAAAGTAAACTAAAACGCACATAGACATGCTATATACATGCACTTTTATTCCCAAAGGGGTGAGCAGATAGTAACCTGGCACATCTCATACTCGGTCATCTCAAACTAGACAGAGCCTGTACTATGGTAACCAGACTGCTGATAAACATCGATACTTATATTAAATTGTGAAAGTTGGCGCTCCACTATAAATCACTTTTTGCCACGCACAACTAATCTGTGGAACGGGTTATCGTCTGCGGTATTTCCGGACCGATACGACCTTCAAACCTTCAATAAAAGAGCGTACTCCTTCCTCAAAGGCCGGCAACGCGTTTGTGACTCCTGAGTTGCAGACGTTCATGGGCGGAGATGGTCACTGTAAATCAGGTGACCCGTCTGCTAGACGAGCAGAAAATAAGTTTGTTTGTTTGTTACGCTTTGACGCCTAAACCACAAAACCGATTAAAAAAAATATTTTTTTCAATGTAAAGCCACATTATCAGCTAACTTATATAAAGCTACTTTTTACGGATGCATGGACGGCGTAGTGGTTTAAGCGGTCGCCACGCCGCTTCCTACTGCGCTGAGTGTTGTAGGTTCCATAAACATTTTGTGTGATCCACAAATTATTGTTCTGAGTCTGGGTGTTCTTTGTGTCCGTTTCATGTACGTTTGTAAAATCCCCCGCGACACTGGATATATTCCTATTGCGGGCGTTGTCTTTTTCAAGAAATAAAAAATAATACTTATAATATTACAAAGATTAGCTTTTGCTCTCTCCCCCTCTGTATCTTCAGGAAAAAGTATATTTGTTCTTACATTATCTTGTATATATGTGATTTCAAAGTATTCCACAAAGGTGCAACTTACTTAACAACTTACCAAAGCCTTGTGGAATATTTCCTGGACTCTTACTTTCTCTTATATTTGGTGTTGTACTAAATCGTTCATTTAATAGTCGTACTATTTGCTTAATATACTGTTTATCAGGTTTACTGCTCAACATTTCTAGAAGAAGAATTAAGACATTATTTAAACATGACACCATTACTTTTCATTTATTTTCATTTTGATGCTTTTTCACAGCTATTTGAAAGATGCTAATCCTGCTTGTGACACCATTATTGTTCAATTTCCAATAAATATACAGAAAATTGAACTTTCATGGTGTCACAAGGAGATTTAACCTTGGTAGAGTAGAGCATTGACTATGGGGAAGGCATAGTGTTTTAAGCGGTCACCTCACCACTTCCTATTGCGCTGAATGTTGTGGGTTCGACAACATGGGACAATACTTTGTGCGGTCACAAATTGTTGTTCTGAGTCTGGGTGTTCTTTGTCTGTTCTTCCCCTGCTACACAAGATATATTTCGAGTGCGGGAGTTGTATTAAAAAGTACAATAAATTGGTCGCTGTTAAACCGTAAATACGGGCACCGTGAATAAGGAAATTTTACTGTATCTTTGTAAGTGTGATACTCACTTTCGTTCTTTACATCAAGCCTGGCTGTTTCCATCGCTTCTGTGTCATTAAGTAATATATTAAATGATTTCTTAAATTCTCCTCCCATATTCACCGCACGAGATACAAGATCTGATACAATGAAAGGAATTAGTAAAAAAACAACTGTAGGTTTTCTGCCATCCTTCTAAAGGAAACTAAAACGCACATAGACATGCTATAGACATGAACTTTTATTCCCAAAGGGGTAAGCAGATAGTAACCTGGCACATCTCATACTCGGTCGTCTGATCCTAAACTAGACAGAGCCTGTACTATGGTAACCAGGCTGCTGATAAACATCAAACTTAAACTCTGTAGACTCTAAAGTCATAGATCAACACACACAAAAGCAACAATCTATGCTATGCCTGGGCTGATTTACAACCGCCCGGTTCCAAGGGGTTGAGCCTTATGCGAAGAAAGGGCTAACAAACTCATGGCCACTCTTTTGCAATTCACAGATAGATACAATGGCATTATTAAATACACCACAACATTGTTTTGATGTGTGCCAGTATGTCCGTTATTAGGGACTAAAAGGTAAAAGACAGACAGAGAAGAAGAGAAAACAAGTTTTTTTTTTTAATCGAATAAAAAAGAAAATGAAGTGGAACATACAAAATAATAATAATAATTAACACACTAGACCACTGGAGCCTAACTCCCCCAGAAATAGAGAGAGGGATAGACTCAAAGGGCGCCAAAGCGCCGATAGGGGGCGAAAGCCATGCCTTATATTTATCATCATCATCATCAACAGCCTTTAATAGTCCACTGCAAGACATAGGCCTCTCCTTAGAAAGATTTTGGCCTACTGTACCACGCTGGAAAGATGGGTTGGTATAAGATTGGTTTCAAGGTTTCCTTCTCTTTGCAGTGCTGTTGTCCTGCGTAGTTTGTTCCCTTAGTCGACAGCTCTTACGACACCCACGGGATGCCTCTTATGACGTAAGTGGAATTAAAATTATATTCAGCAACACCTAGGGCCCGAGTTCGGAGTCAATTTATTCTCCTATTTTTGGGGAAGGGGGAACTTCAAAGGATGACGACATTGTTGTTACTCTTGAGTTATAGCTATCCATTGGCCCCGGTAGTCGCTTACCATCAGATGACCCAGATGCTCGTTTGCCACTCTATGCCACAAAAAAGACCTTATCGCCTAATATCGGTACTTCCGTACAGAATAGACAATAAACAGTGACATATTGTAAATTTAGGTTGCAGGATAACGGCCGTCTTCGATGGCTTGGGGAGCTAATGACTTCTTCGGGACCTAGCTATTCTATTAGCAGCAGATTCTGCAGATGTGCTGCAAGGTAAGATTCTTTTTGAATTCTGAAGAATATTATGTCCTCTAAACAATCTCTCTTTAAAGACTTCCCGAGTGTCATTACTCGTGATGCTTCCTTGTTTAATAGTGTGTACACCTTTTTTTTTTTTTTTTTTTTTTTTCCCGTGCGGAAATCCCCTCGGATACCACCTGTCGGTGGCATGTCGGACTCGAACCGACTAAAACCGCACGCCGTCGCCGGGTACTAATAGCCGGGGAACCAGGTATACCCTAGAAAGGAACTCCCTGGTGCCCCGACATACCTCGGGTCATCTACAGACGAGTAGACGACCCCCCCCCCCCGTGTGGGAACCCCAATAGTGTGTACACCTATTTTTACTTTCTGTCTGCCCGTACCCTCTCTGTACTTTAGAAAAAATGTGAGAGCTTTATAGGTCTCTGCTAACCTCTTCGGAAATATAAGCATGAGTATATGTATTTAATATATCTGTAATACCTGGCTAGTAGGGATGAAATAAAATCACAATTACCTGTAATAAATCATATGAATTATAAATTATAAAATACTGACATATCTGTCAGTATTACAGCATGGCCGTCCTATAGGCCCTGGGGGGCAACACAATGACCTCTGGGTTTCGAATAGTTCGAAACAAATGGGGTTTCTCTCCAATGGATTAAATATACATTATCATAGCATAAAACATTATCATAAAACTTACCTGAAGTGCTATTACGATCACCTAGAAAACTTAACGTCAAAAGAATTAACATTTTAAATTTAACAATCTCCTTCAATTGTGAAATCTCCTTTCAGCTCCTTAAACATAACACTTAAATCTTATATAAGTCAAGGTATTTCGTCTACAGTTTGCAAAACAAACACTCTCATTTTTATTCCACTTTTGTTATTTAGATGATGTTTTTATGTACACTCACGGTATTAATGCCCATAATTATATAGTCAAGGAAATTTAAAGACGAAGGAAACGACAAATCAAAATCTGTTACATTAATGTTTGAATTTGTGGAATAATTCTAATTTCAAGTAAACAGTTATTAATTTGGCTCGGTGAAAAGGGGTATTTTTCTTATCGAATCACTTGTACACTAAGAAGAACTTCTTAAATTGGACTTGTGGTTTTTGAGATCACTGGAATTCGAACACAAATCGAACTTTTCAACTTTATTATATTCCAATGAATTTCTTATCAACACCTATAAAATACCTTTATATGCGGCGTAAAACAACGTCAAATACTAAATTACAAAGTTACATTGCTTAAAGTTTTATAAAAAAAATAACTCATGAACAACTCACTGTGATTTAAGTTACTATAAACATCTGTTCCCTCAGTTAATGAACTTAAAAACTGTATAAAATTCAAGATGACTTATTAAGTGAAATTCAAATGGTCTTTACATAGATTTTAATGTGATAATAAAGTAAATAACTGCAGGATTAAACAGTATATATGAAAAATATAAATTTATAATGTTAGTTCTGTATTTAATAAGTATTGTATCAACAGTTGAAAGCGGTTTGTTTAACTTGGGTGAGTATACTCTTGTTGGTTTTGGTATAGAGGGCAAGCAAGCAGAAAGTCACCTGATGGTAAGTGAGGACCGCTGCCCATGGGCACGTCAAATTCAAGAGTCTCAATTGGGTTGCTACCCGCTGAACATCTCCTCCAGAATCAAAGGTCGTTATGTTAGTTATGTCGTCTCGTCCGACTTCAGGTACAGTGATGACATAGACCTACACCTGGACCAGCTGGGGCGGGTCCTAGGCCACCTACGCGGTAGGAAGGTAATTTTTGCAGACACCAACGTCCCCTCCCCGATGTGGTTTTCCGAGTCACGGCAGTACAGGGGTAGAGGCCCTGACGTCACCATCCGCAAAGAGGCCATGGAGGCCTTCATTTTAGCGCGCAAACTCCGGTACCGCCGGTCAACCACACACTTTCAGCACCTCTAACAGGGAGTCTAACATCGACTTGACCTTACACACGAGGTGCTTACGGTAACCTCAATCCCTCGGTAAAAACCAAAAAATAAATTGCGTGAATTTAAACTTGTGAGAGCCTTTGGATCTCATTAATCCATCCCTGTTGCAAAATCTTCTTTTGTATTTTTTTCTCCCATTTAAATTTCTACCTTCCTGCATAAATTTAATCTCCATAAGTAGAGAGTTTTCGAATTTTTTTGGCTTCTATAGTCAATGACTATCCTCTAGCATTAGTACTAGAGATCGCCTATTGGTCAAATTTCAACCTTTTTGAACATCTATTGTTATTTCATTAACCAGTATGTCTTGATCTGTCAATGTATAGACTTTTATACTGTTACTGAATTATTGAATGTTCCATGTAGTCGTTTTATATATTTTTTAAATTTATACCACATATTCTTTAAAAATTTTAGCTTTGTACACTTCTTTTATATATAAACATTCATCATCATCATCAACACCCTGTACCTGATAGTCCACACGTGGACATAGGCCTCTCATTAGAAAGAAAGTTTTGGCCTACTATACCAGTTTTCCTTCTCTTTGCAGTGCTGTAGTCCATTGTATCTAGTTATATACTAGCTGAGACCCGCGGTGTGACCCGCGTTTGTTGTCATAACCGCGGGCAACGCCGCGGGGCGAAGCTAGTCTAAAAAAAGTAGCCTAAGTTAGTCCTTATGTCATCAGCTATCTGAAAGTGAAAGTCCCGTCGAAATCGGTCAACCCGGAACAAACAGACAGACAGACAGACATACAAACAAAAATTTAAAAAAAGGTTATTATGGCATATGTACCGTGTAAACATACATATGCATTTAGTAAAAAGCGGTTATTTTAATATTACAAACAGACACTCCAATTTGATTTATTTGTATAGATATAGAAGATGTCATGTTAACATTATTCCAATATTTTTTTAAATTAATGTTTATAATTCATGTTTTTTTTTAATTTGGGCATAGAACTTTTATTATTATCAAATGTAGAAATAGAAAGTTTATCATTCCTTTTCCAGCATCCCGCCACGGTGGTAGTGACCCATTATGGCAGCAAGTAAAGGCGTTAGAACGAATAAATTCCTTCCTGAGAGATGTTCAAGAAGAAATACAGGAAAGCCGGGACTTACTCAGACACATCAACTTCAAAAATTCCTTCAACAACCAATCTGTAACAGATGTAACACATGGCACAACTCCTTGGGTCACTCCAAAGTTATACACAAATCAATATTTCTCGCTGCTGGTATCTGATGTATTAAAAAAAAGTATGTTATTTAACCCGTTAATTCAATAGGCTTGTGTCCACTAATAACAAATTGCTTGGTTTATAGTTTCAAATTATAAATGAAGAGACATAGATGAAAAAAAAACAGTTTATGGGGTCTACCAATAAGAACGTCCTAAACGGTTTAAAAATTGAATAAAACACACATTTTTTTATGAAAAATGCATCCGATTGATTTATTTGATAGATAATTTTATGCAATTTATGTTTTAAATAATATATCGGCCAAATGAGCGCCGCGGCTCTTTTTGCAGACGGTCACCCGCTCACGCAATTTTCGATGACGCGGTGCACCATTTCGGCCGGTATGTCGGCTATGGCTCGTCGAATGTTGGTTTTTAGGTCACGAATTGTAGCTGGATTATTGCTGTACACTTTAGATTTAACGTAACCCCAAAGAAAATAATCTAAAGGTGTTAAATCACACGATCTTGGTGGCCAACTAATCGGTCCATTTCTCGAAATTAACGACTCACCAAACTTTCCACGGAAAATACCATGTTCACTCGAGTAATGTGAGGTGGTGCACCGTCTTGATGAAAATAAAGGTCGTCTGCATCAATATCATCAAATTCCGGAAAGAAATATTTGGTTAACATCGAGTTATAGCGCTCGCCATTCATAGTAACAGGGTTTCCTTCGTCACTTTCAAAGAAGTTTTGGAAAATTTCCAAGCGTTGGTTTAAAGTAAAACGTGACATGATAAAATGGCAAACCTTACTGAACACAAATGTCAAGAGACGTCAAAGATCCATCATCACACATGGCCACTATGAGCTGTCAAAACCAGGTCATCTCTATTGGTATACCCGTTATTTCTCATAAAAGTTAAAGATTATTAAAACTTAAAAAAAAAAATTGGGTAACTTTAAAATATGGGTTTTTTGGGCTTAAATAGATATTAAAGTATATAATTAACTAATTTTTCAAATTGAGTCAACTAGGCTATAATAATCTTACATGTATCAATATGTTAAGTGGGTTTGTGTACGCTGCAAAAACTCAGAAAGTTCTGCATCGATTGGTCTTAAATTTTAACACGATATACAACCTACTTCTAAGATTGTTTTAATCTGTGTTTCGCATCAGTTTTGTTCTTCATTTATCATCATTGCAACTACAATGTAGTGGCAGGGTACAGCTAGTATATCATATAATATTGAATCGTTTCAAATAAAAACTTGTATTCTTAACGGATTGTACTTTAGGGTGTCATCAAACCTCGCAGGTCAATAACATCTTAGCTCTGATAATAATTTAATATTTGGCTTTACTTGCCCTGAAATTTTATTTTGGCTGATTTCTTGGTTGCTGTCGGTCTGGCTGACTACTATCTTCCTTGGGACAAAAGGAATAGGTCAATTAGGGTAAAGAAAACAGATAGATTGAAAGAGTAAGGTAAGGGATACCGAACTCTGCAGCAGTCGGAAGGAGCTGGACTCACGATCTGTATCAAACAGGAACATCAACAGGTAGAAATGGTGTTCATGAACGTACATCTATTTTCCAGATCCTGCTACCACAAGTTCTCCTGCCACTCCAAGTTCTCCTGCTACCACAAGTTCTACCACTCCATCTACAAGAACGGAAATCACATCTTTGCCTCCATCGTTTGTCCGTCAAGGCCCTGAAATCCGCACTCCAGTCATCCCTGACGTAGAACCTGATTATAAGGAGATACTTCCCTACTTTCGCCATGAAGGTATATGTTTTATCGAATTCTGAAAAATAAGGAAATTTGTATTTTTTTCTCAGAAGGCCGTCATTTGCACAGGACGCTATGGGATAGTATATAGTTACCCGGTTACCCCCTTCCTGTTAGGTCATATTCCAATTTGAAGGAAAACTACCACTGCTATTGGTGGAAAATTAATTTTATTGCAATTCTACATTAATCAAATATTATTACATCAATGTATCAAATATTATTACATATCCATGAGGTATCAGTTTCTCAACAGTTTTAGAACCTGACAGCACGGATGGCGCAATGGTTAAAGCGCTGAGTGTTATGGGTCCGACCCCGACATGGCACAACACTTTGTGTTTTTTCTTTTTTTTTTTTAATAAAAGACAACTCCCGCAGTAGGAACATATATTTGTATCGCGGGGGACTTTACAACATACATGAAACAGACAACACCCAGATTCAGAACAACAATTTGTGGATCACACAAAGTATTGTCCCATGTGTCGTCACAACACGCGGCGTAGTAGGAAGCGGCGTGGCGACCGCTTAAACCACTACGCCATCCGTGCAGTCAAGTGTGTGTGATCCAGAAATATATTTTTTTAGTTCAAATTCAGGAAAGAAGGAGTTCCAAATCTAAAATATAAGTTATTTTGCTACATTACAGGCCGCCATGACCACCGGCATCCTAAACTAAATAAGACGAGGGATTTTGACAAAAAACATCATCAACATATTAGTCATCCAACGCCTATCTCCAAAAGAAAGGCTGGTCGGTTATTGAAGGCACCATCATACAGACATATCATAGCGGTTGATGAATACGTTAAATTAAACAATAATTTTGACGTAAAACCAACACATGAAAATAAAAACTACGACAGATTTAATAACAAAAATATAATTAGAAACAAAGTAGAATCGGACACAACGTACATGACAGAAACAATACATTATAACAGATTCAAAAATTTCGGTCAAAAGAGATTCAATATTGTCACTCAGCCAACAGATAATGATAATCAATTTTACTCTCAAAAGCGAACTACTGGCAGAACTATGAAATTTACAGAAATCAAGCTCGTTAAGCGTCCATTTGTTAAATATAAAAAAAGGGATTCAGATGAACCTTTAATAGAAAACAGAGCTAATCCAGATCTAGAGCATACTTCTGCTAAAGTTGTACAAAGACCAATTAATAAACATTTAAGAAGAGTTATTGAAGCTTCAAGTTATAGTGATGAGGAAACAGCTTTGGTTGTTAACTTAATGGATCAGTTTTATCATTATAATGAAACTAACAAACAGAACGCTGAGGACAAGGTACTATGAAACAATGAAACATTGTTTTAGAAGCTTCCGTGAGTATTGTTCATGAGTTCAAAGCGGCGAAACTTATCTGAGGTGTCAGACAAAGATGAATTCGAGTTTGAACTCCAAATAGTATCGAAGTCTCTCGCCCGGAATTAGAGGAAGACAGGGTTTGAGAGTCCGGTATCTCACTTGCTCAGTAAAAAGCAACGAGAGAATTGCTTGTGACCGGTTTTCTGTGAGTCCGTGGTATTACTCTAGTCGATCCTGCCCATACGTGGGGAGACATGGCTCTCTTAAGAAAAAGATATGCTTGGTTTGGATCTAGATATCACTATGTTATGTGTAGCAGAATATTTCATTTTTATCATAAGTGCCAAATAGTAACTGTACGCGATTTATTATAAGTTTATAGCTTTCATATGAATATAATTTTAGATTGTAAATAAAATTTGTATTTGTTACGAGAAATTTATTTAAAATATGGATTACAAACGAAATAAAATTACCGATTTCAGAAAATGTTGGAATGCAGTTGGTTTTTAATTTACATGACGTTACCTAGTAGTACAGGTAGGTTTTTAACCGACTTCGTTTGACGAAGTGTTGTGTTTTTCGGGTGTATATATGTATATTTCTTTGACACGCTCTGTAGGCTAAACGGCTTTATGGATTTTGGCGTTTGAGGTGTCGGTAGATTCGTCTTAATTGTGACGGTGACACACACTGGTTATATAAATATTATCAAAATGAAAATCGCAGACTTGTAAGTATAATTGTATGATGAGCATCGTTTGTTCTGTGTTTGGGTGTAATTCATCTATATTAGAAATATATAGGTATGTTCATCAGCAGTCTGGTTATCATAGTACAGGCTCTGCCTAGTTTACGATCAGACGGCCGTGTGTGAGATGTGTGAAGTTAATATTATTATTACCACCTTGCCTTCTTTATTGATTTATTTAAAGCATATTTATGCAGATTTCTTACGTTACATAAAAAAGTGTGATGTGTGTGTGTTAATTTAATTTGAATTTATTTTTTAAGAGCGTACTCCTTCCTAAAAGGCCGGCAACGCGTTTGTGACTCCTGAGTTGCAGACGTTCATGGACGGCGATGGTCACTTTCCATCAAGTGACCCGTCTGCTCGTCTCTCCTCACTGACATTTTTTGTTTTCAATTTCGCTCATGGCTTAAATTAAAGCGTTGTTGATCATTTCGAACACCATTTCCTTTGTGAAAATCAAGAATATTCCTCTCGATCCAGAGAAAGGTGCCGTCATTAAGATTCTAAGTAGTGAGAACGAAAGCCTAAGGATATGGCTGTTCACACCATGTCAATCCAACTCCAAATCCGATCCGAGATACTTCTCAAGCACTAGCTAGTTTACAGATATCACTTAAATAACCATTTTATTTGTCCCGTAGTATCTTATGTCACGCTCTTGGAACCTACAACGAGATTCAACAAAGTCAACATAGATTTAAAAACATACATTGATATTGACGAGGAAGAGAAAGATGTTGACCTTAAACTCTCAATCAAAAACCAAAAATTAAAAGGTGATGTAAAATTTATTATTGGCAACAATCGCAACCTTCGAAGAGAATTCGCTGGGAAAAGAAATAAAAGATTCACTGAGTTCATTCAAAATGCTGTCGTCACATTACAAAAATATAACGATAGGAATTTAAAATATTTTTGGACAATTTTCGATGAGGAAATCAAAAAATATCACTATAGAAACTGCAAGTTCTTTGAACTGACAGGAAATCCCGCTATTAATAAACTCATAGCGCACAAACTTCAAACAATGAAAGATGATTCTGCAGATACTATCAGAAGTAATTTAGCAGCAATATCTAATAATATAGAAAATTATAATCATGATAAAAGTAAAGAAAAACTTATCGATTTAATCAATGCATTGTATTCCAACACCGATGTGTCAAAATTCAAAAGGTTTTTACTTAATATTGAAACATTTTATATTTATAATGGGAAAGTAAATAATCTCAGAAAAATAATACAAGAAGGAATAAGAACTATAATATTTGATCATTATAGTGAACTGCACAAAGCAGCAAGACAAGAAGTAAAATATAGAATAGAAGAATATTTTCAAAATATTCTCAAGCCTTCAACCACTCTCTTGACGGAAATAACAAATTCAATGTTCTTAGATTTTCATGTAAGTGGAGAAAAAAATAAAAGAGAATTTACTACTAAATCTAAAAGAGAAAAACTAAGAGTCAACAAACATAATCATAAATATAATCAAACAAAATCTAGACAAACTAAGAAGGAGAATACAGAAAATGTAAAAAGAAAAACAAAGAATATAAAAACACATAAGATGGAACGGACAATAATAAAATCTGAACTCCAATTCGATGAAATGTTTTCTCTAGGAACAATTACACAAACTAAAAGACAGAATAATTTCAAACTACATACACCTAAAAATGAGCGTAAAAAGAAAGAACAAGATACAAGAATTCTGAAAAATACGAGGAGGAGCTCAGAAGAAAAGGAACTCACACATTCGAAATTGATAACTGACAGAACAAAAAGACAAACATCGAAATGGCATTTCACGCAGAGCCCCACCAAGAATATATTACGTACATTGTCAAATGAAAATATTAAGATTAAAACGACTTCTAAGAAAGCCAAAAAGAGTTCTTCGAAATTTGGTTTCATAGAAATTGTGACGATGAGACCATTTTCGCTCAAGAAGACAACGTCTTTTGGGAATATTCAGTAAGTAAACACATCATGATCATCTTCTTATCCTCTTCGCAAGTCTATTTGGGGTCGGTGCAATGAGTTTCTTCTTCCATTCTCCTGACATCTTCTTTCACGCACTCCTTTTAATTTATTGCGATATGGTTTACTTAAAAAGAAAAAAATACAATTCGTTTCAAGTACTAGGAGCACATGAAATATGGGGAGATTAATTTTGTAGTATCTAATAAGACTTCCGTAATATTTAAAAGAAAAGTAGTGTTCAACTTTTAATGGTTTTTCCTTCGTTGAAAATACCAGGCAAAAAAATTTGAACTGAGATGTTTTTATAATAACTATTTACACCTGGTCATGTATATGCTTACTAATATAAATATTGTGTTGACCCTTTTTGTTTTTATTTTCAGTTATATGATTGAATTAGACAAAAACACGGAAACTACAAGAGACTTGTCTGCACTCCGTGCTAAAGTAGTGAAGTACCAAACAAAAATACCAGGTATACTATTTGGAAAGATCGGCATACGAAAACGAGTGATTGATGTTATGAAAGAAGTTACTGTGAGATCCACACAACAAAATTTAGCATCTGTAAAACCCATATTTCGGTTTGCTGTACAAAAGGCACCAATCGTTAGAAACAAAAATATACAATTCGAAGATGAAAGTACTGTAGGGTTCTATAGGCGCAGAGTATTGAATCAGGGAAACGAAATCTCTGTGACTAAATTAACTACAGTTTCACCTTATACAAATGGAGTTAATCCTTCTGAAGAATCCAAAAATTTAAGAAATGGATACCATGACAGCAAAAGCACCAAAGAAACTGTATCCTTTTTGAGAAACACAGATTATATAAAAGAAACCACTCAAGAAAAAGAGAGGAATACCGTGAATTTAAGAATAAATGTCGATGATTACATCAAACGGATAAGTACTACACGCACTGAAATCAACGAAAATACAAAAAATATCCTTGAATCCATGAAATCTACATATGGTAAGAAAATTTTGAACGATAGACCTTATTACTCAGACAGCTTTATCAGAGGTAAAATGGACCCTGGAGCCGAGTACAGTGAATTTAAAATTACTAACATACTAAGTAGTTCTGTCAAGACACCTATAACTTATACAAATTTCATAAGACGTGAAAAAGATAGCAAAAGTACACACTATTCTACTCGTAATATAAAAGCAAGTGATATGCCTCATTTGAATTCAATAAACAATGAAAACACAAATATAGATGTTGAATTCGTAAAAAATAAAAAAACAGAAGTGAATTCTAATAATAAGAAAGCAGTAGAAAATGCGGCATCAAAACAAGGCAATTTAAATGAAAAAAAGGACAAATCTGAAATGATTAACTACAGAAAAGGTGCTAACCCAGGAAGTCATAATTATTATGAAAATTTAAATAACGGCAATGATTTTAAGAGGAAAGAAATTAATGAAATGTATGGGCTTGATACTGCCACTGACAAAACAGATAATGTAAGAAAACCTCATTTACCACCGAAAGGTCTACGTCAAAGTTTATCAGAGCAAGTTGAAGAAGAAACAGATAGAGTATTCAACAATGATAAGTTTAAAAACAAATCAGTAACTAAAAATTTAAACAAAAAAGAGATCGATCTAGAAGAATACCAAGCGAAAGAACTAAATTGTCAGGTAAAGAACACAGATGAAGAAGTATTACTAAATAATAATTCTCAGTTCACAATTGAATCTATAAAAAATAACACACTGCTCACAGCTTCTAATATGGCTGATATAGCTGAAGAAACTAAAATATCTACAAACCAGGATGTAACAACTCGTAAATCACAATGGAGCAAAATAAAAAATTATGCATTGAAAAATTTTACTGATGAATATGATAAAGCAAATACATTTGACGATGAAAGAAGTCATAGTAAAGAGCTTGATATTGATTCAGATAAGGTAAAACAACAAAATGACTTGGGTACAATAAAAATATTAAATCCTAGCAAGGAAGTAACAGCTTCAGACCTAGAGAAGATGGAACCTATTGCGAGAAAACAAGAAGAACTAACTATGCTCAAGGAAATGGAAAGAAAAACTAAAAGACAAGTTAAATTAGAACGCAATACCACCGTGGCGGGTACCTTTGGTTGGAGAAGGTTTTGGAACAACCCATATAAAGATCTCTTGGATGAGGAGCAGACGGAGACTACACGACAAATGGAAGACCACACGTACCAACTAGTGCCTCAACCAAAAGATCCTAATATCTATCTATATATGAAAAATTACTAAGACAATATTTATTATTACTGTTAGAAAAAGAACAATCATTTTACAAAGTAAAAGGACGAAAGAAATGATAAAGTAGAACGGATTAAAAATGAGATAAAAATGGATCGAATTGAATCTTATCGACTGACTGCACGTAGTGGTTTAAGCGGTCGCCACGCCGCTTCCTTCTACGCTGAGTATGGATTCGATCCCCACGAAGGACGACACTTTGTGTGATCCACAAATTGTTTTGCCAATTCTGGGTGTTCTTTGTGCCTGTTTCATATTTGTAAAGTCCCCCGTGACACAGGATATATTATTAATGTGAGAGTTGTCTATAAAAGAAAAAAAAAGTTTATCGATCGATGGATCACGAATCACGTGGAACTGGAAAGTATTGGCCAAGACGGTTCGGATCCAGCCGGATTAGATTTTAGAATTATTATTATATTGTCTTCTGTTAAGTGTACTGTAATAAACTTAGACATGATGAATTATGACATATTCATAATTATTGAATCTAATGTCACATCCTATTATACTTTAAGTGATACGAACTGTTTCCAGAAAAGAAAAGAAACAACAATTGCATTTTTTTCTTTTGTTGCATGCACCCGCCATCGCAGGGTGTTACTGCCTTCCCTAGCACCTCCAATATTTATAATTATATTCGCATTTCTTATACTTTCATCCTTGTTCTTTTCTCTCTCTCTCTCTCTCTCTCTCATTCCTTGCACGTGGGGTATCTGCTGTTTGCTACAAGTTTTCTTTATTACTTATTCATATTTTACATATTTTTTTAGGTTTACATTTGTTTATATATTATACAATTTTGTAGCTACTTACATAATTAATTTACTTATAGCTAATTTATATATATATACTTTTACAAGGGAAGTGGGTTTCAAACTCTTATTTCTAATTATTTCTAACACTATTTTACGCATTTTCGTATTTTTTAAGCTATTGAATATTTTAGTTTTATACTGCACTACTTTCTATCTATGTATTTGATTTTGTTATCATTTTTATTAATCTACCTTATTCCTATTATTGAGTATTCTAACAATTTCTGTACAATATTATAAAAATATGTTTCTGTTCTCACCAGTTATTATTTGACTAAGATTTTCTCATCTAATTTCTACATTGAGTTCTGTTATACCTTCTAGAGTTGAAGGCAGGGCAGTCCACAATTAGGTGAGGGACAGCTTCCTGCGCATCTGGGTCACAGATGCACGATGAACTCACATTGCACTTGAATCGTGTCAAGTATTCAGAGAACCCAGCGTGCCCCGTCAGTAGCTGTGTGGTTTCTTGCTGGCTTTGTATTAGGAAAGAAGAGCTTTGTTACTGAAACACTCTCAGCAGACACTTACCTCCGGTTCCATTCCTCAAGCGAATCCATGCGGATTCTTCGCTTTACAAAGGAGACCGGGCATCGATCATAATCTGGGGCCCACTTCAATCAAACCAAATCAAACTTCTTTTGCCAGCTGGTCGGCTCTCTTATTTCCCTCCATCTCTGCATGTGCTTTGATCCAATACACATTCACAGTTTTGTTTTGGTGAAAACAAGATTTTAGGTATTTCCTAGTTTCCACTGCTAAGGGATGGAGACAACTGGGTTTTCCACAACAGCAATTGTTTGCACCGAGTGAGTGAGTTTACCATAGGCTCAAACCCCTCTTCCTAACTCCCTCCTCCTCCCGCTTGTGGTAATCCCCCCATCAGGTAACTCGTCCGCTCGTTTGTTACCAAAACTATGAAAAAATGTTGTTGTTCTGCGTAGTTTGCTGCCTTAGTCGGCTCTTATGACACTCACTGGATGAATATGCACGGATGGCGTAGTGGTTTAAGCGGTCGCCACGCCGCTTCCTACTACACCGAGTGTTGTGGGTTCAAACCCCACATGGGACGACACTTTGTGTGATCAACAAATTGTTGTTCTGAGTCTGGGTGTTCTTTGTGTCCGTTTCATGTATGTTTGTAAAGTCCCCCGCGACACAAGATATTTTCCTAATGCGGGAGTTGTCTTTTTAAAAACAAAAAAAAAAAGAAAAAAAAATAGAGATCGTGAGACTCCGTATTCTTAATCAGTCAGCACATCCTAAAGTGCCCGGTTGACGTCACTAGACTTGTCCCCTAGTACGTGAGTCAGATAAAAACTACAGTCGGCAAAATTAGGAAGTTTAGTGATTCTCTGCTCGCCCCTTCAGGATGGAACCGTGAGCGTATATCTCTATGTAACCAAGATTACATGCTCCATCTAAAAATCACAAAGGAGAAATTCTGCAATTTGATTTTATTACAAATAAATGTAGAATTATAAATGGTACGATAAAAATTCTATTGGCGTTTGAAAATATTAAGTCATCAAATAAAATGATACGTTACGGCGTGTTTTATATTTACGGAATAATTTATGTTGCAGGTACATTCATTTATTATTTATTTTTATTAATATTAAATTGTTGAAAGTGTATTTTACTCGTGACTGGTGGTGTTGATATTATTTTCTCACGTAATAAAGTTTCAGACCATCGATTTGATTTATCTTTACCGTAGGAGAGTAATGTTTCGTCATATATGGGCCGACTTGACCGGACTGGACCGCAGAAATCCAATGATAACCCAGTGTTACCTGCCGGCCAATCCTCGTCTCCTAATTCTAGTGGTATCACTGTGTAGCAACCTATATGTGGCTAAGCTTGACACTCCCATGGTAAATTTATTTGAGAATGCCACAGAACTATAAAGCTGGGGTATCAGAGAAAAAGAAGACGAGAATTCATTATAAACTTTTTCTTTTATTACATACAGCAGTGGATCTTAAAATTTCAAAGCATGAAGGTAACGATCAAAGCGTCAACTTAGCCCTTGATACGATCGTAGAATTTGATAATAAAAACAATGGAGAAGACATTAAGTTCCTGGATAATGTGCAGAAGTTCATCGGTAAAGTTAAAACAGTCATTGTAAAGAAAAATATGCGACGCAATTTTAATGGTGTCGATAGTAAAAAGTTAACTGACTTCATTTTAAGTCTTATTCAAATGCTGATAAAATTTGAAGACAAAAATTTAGAAGATTTCCTTACTATAGCCGGTAAAGAATTTAAAAAATATCATTACAAAGGTTGCAAATTCTATGAATTAATAGAAAATTATAATTTAAGAAGGTTCTTGGCTAAAAAACTCGATGTAATGAAACATACACCAGCTGATGTGATGAGACGCAGTTTAAAAGCTTTTGCCAGTAAAATTGAGGAGGAAAAGTACGATACGAATGAAAAAGAACTAATTGAGTACATTAATTCGTTATATGGACAAAGATCTATTGAATTATTTAACAATATTTTAGGTAGTCTTGATGACTACGGACTAAAAGCGAACAAAAATATGAATTTATCAAAAATAATCAGTGCAGGTATAAGATCCATAGTGTTTGATTATTATACTGAATTAAATCGTAATGCCAGAATGGCACTAAAGACTAAATTAATTGAGTTTTTTGAGAGAACTATGGGAATTTCTACATATGCAACAAAATCTGTTGAAGCAACTAAAAAAAATATTATTACTACACAAGAATCGACATCTAAACAAAAGTATGTACAACAATATCTAGATTCAAGAAATTTTGCATTTAGATATAGTCGAGGGAAGCCGTTGTTTTCTAGTGTAAGTGTAAGTTATAATTCAAAAAAAGTTAGCAATTTCTATAATATTGAGTCACATAATCAGAAAAATGAAAATGACGAGGAAATAGTAAAACCTAGCAAAAAGCAAAAAGTTTCAAACTCTAAACCCATAAATGGTTATAAATATTTTACAGAGCCGTACTATGAAAAAGAAAAAAATAGAATTAATTATCCGATCAGCTACAAACATGTAAAGATAGATAAAAAAAATAAACGACAAACTTACAGAACTATGCATCCTGTCAAAGCGTCTATTATGGATCAAACTGATAAATTACACAGTCATAAATTAAAAAAAAATAGAGAACATAGTATTGTGACACCCAAAGAACCCAAAATTAAAAATAGTAACTTAGATAGTACTGAATTTATCTCACATGAACATGCAATGACAACTTTAAAACGAGCAGAAGAAAGCAATATGCACGAACACACAAAGGAACACCTTAAACACAAATATAGTAATAATATTACTAGTAGTAGATTATTACGCGGCAAACCATTGTCTGATTCTGAGACTGGCTCAAAATATGATGTAGAACCGTCGATGAATCACATCTTTAATCAACAGCCTAAAACTCGCAAGATTAAATTAAAAACATCACAAAAATTAACTAAGGTTTACGATACTGATAATTCACTTAGCGATGATAAAATAGTCAGTAATATAGTAAAAATTCCGGATGATAAGTTAAGAACTGTTGATGAACTTCAAATAAATCAAAGTGTTGTTAAAAAACCTAAATCGCAAAAGAGTAAAGATATAATTTTGATAGAACCAACCAAAACAACAGAACCTGAAAGTATCCAAATTATAGCATTTGATGACTTACAGTTTATACAAAAAAGAACAACTGCTGTTCAAAAATCTGCAAAAAAGTTACCGAATAAAATCAAAATCAAATCTTTATTTGAAATAAACAATGACAAACTAACTAATACACAACGAATGACATTCAATAAGTTGACTTTCATGACTTTGTATCCTGAGTTCATACAGAAGTGGAGTGCTTCAGGCGCACTTACAAAGAAACAACGCAACGACAGTATCAATCTGAAACAAACCATTAGATTTATAATCAGAAACACTCAAACACCATACAGACAAAAGACAAAAACTGTAAGGTAAAGTATTTATTTTTATCCTTTTGTAACGTGACCACTCTATAATTATCTACTTGAACAATATGTGTTAAAGATGGAGATTAAGTAAAAACGGCCATATAATCCCATCTCTGGTGGTTGGGCGCATTTCTATTAATTTTTGTTTTAAATGTCTTTTTCGTTCTCCCGATCTTCCCTCACTAGAAATATATCCAGTGTCACAGGACTTTACCAACATATAAATAGGAATCACACAAAGTGTTGTCCCATGTGGGGATCGGACCCACAACACTCAGCGCAGTAGAAAGCGGCGAGGTAACAAAACCACTACACCATCCGTGCGTTTTGCAACCGCATCCGTTTGAATTGGGACAACGAGCTTTTGCCCCATCAGACGACCCATCTGATTATTTGCCTCGTATACCATAAAAAAGTAGCGTATGTGCAATTTTAGACTCTATTCTATTAATTATAATTAAGTAAGAAATATCCATGCAAAGTTACGCATTTATTATTGTATTAAGATAATTATATTTATATATATATATATGTGTTTACAGTTACAACATACGGGCAAAAAATACCGTAACACCGTCAAAAACTCTTAACAGACAGTTTACAAAACCTAGTTGGAATAGAAAGGCGATAACCAAAAAGAATAATATGTTTAGGCCAGAAGTAAGTGAAGCAAAACTTATAAGACAGCTTATCGTGCGTGAAAAATTAAAAGGCTTCAGACATCCTGTAGATGTAACGTCTAAAGTTAACAATAAAAGCAGGAGTGATTTATCCACTGACTTATTTAATTCAGAAGAAACTATGCCAACAAGGGAAATCACGGAAGAATTGGAAACCAAAACACCGTATAAAAACAGTACAAACAATGCTAGAAGAGATTTTTTTATTGATTTAAACAGTGCCCAAAGTCCAACTGGCAAAGAATTGAAAGTTTTTACTAATGGACGAAGATACGAGGCTAACATTTATAAGTATAAAAAAAGCAAACCTCAGAAATTAATTAAAAATATTAACGATATTAGTAATGAAAAACTGCGAGAAAAAAAAATAACTTCCATTGAAAGCAATGATTCGAAACATGATACTGATGTTTCTAGTTACAAAAAATCACCAACTATTAAAAATGTAGTTTTTCAAAAAACTCAAGACTTCAATGATGTTGAAAGTGATAACAATGATTTCAAAAATAAGGTTAAAGATGAAAATTTGAATTTAAATAGATTCAGTAGAGCTGACAATAAATTTAAAAAGTATATGGATCAAAAATTTAAATTTGACACAAATAAATATAAACACAACTTGACTAGAAAACTTTTCATTGATCTTCAAAATACTGAAGTGAAAAATTTAAGCGTGGTTGGGACAAGTAATGAGAAAAATAAAAATATTAGAAGGTCAAATAAAAGCAGTATGTCAGATGTTAAAAAAGATACAAGAAGAATGATAAACGAACAAGACATACAAACAAAGGCTAATGCTGAGACTGATAAAAAATTAAACAAATTGGATTTCATTCAAAATAACAGAGACTCTTTCAATGAATATACAAGTACAGTAAGAAAAAAGAAAATTTATTTTTCATACTTAAATGATGATGGCAAAACTGATGGATATGATTTATTTTATAAACAAAGGATAGCAAGAGGTTCTAAAGAGAACAGCAGCGCAATCAAAAATCAAGATGATCAGTATAATTCAGAATATATTCCAGTAACACGTGAACCTGAAAAAGTAACCCAATTCTTAGAAGGTCGGAAAAACGATAAAAAATATTTTAAAGATACATTTAATATTGGTGACAAGAACGTCTTAAATAAAATAATTAATCCGACGAAAAAAAACATAAAAATTAATGAACTAAATAACGATATTATTAAAAAAGATGAAAGCAATAATTTTGAAAATGAGATTGATAAAAAAGAAAAAAACACCAAAACATTCATGGCAGATAGAATGAATGATCCTGGAACAAATTCTGATAAAAAGTTACAGACAAGTAATTTTAACGAAAATGTTGATTCTCTTCAAACAAGTGAAGATCCAATTGAAATTTCGAACAGTATAAACATTGATGATGGCAAATTAAGATTAGAAGATGATGCCAATAAATTAAAAGACATGGGACAAAGCGTAGTATCTACTGAAGTGACTGAAACTATTCTCAATATACAACGGAGAGCACCTGCAAACCCTAACGTCAAAGAGGCAAATATTAATATATCTGATTTTAAAGAGAGACAAGAAGCCTCGGAGAGTAATATTAAATCTTCAACAATTTACTTTAAGCCCATAGCAGTAACTATAACTACAGAAAAAATACCTTTAAAAACACTTAATGTTGATACAAAACAGAGCATAACACATGTTACAAATACAATCAAAAGCCAAGAAATCAATGCTATAAAAAATTCAATATCCAGTGATCTAACTACAAAAAATACATTTAGAAATGACCAAAATGATCATAAAACAAATACATTTAATCAAGTAACAGATAAAAATGATTTACAATTAAATCAGAAACATATTACTGATATGCCTAAAATTGTTCATCATATCAAAGCTACTAATACAACATTAAGTTATTTTAACGTTACTAGTGATAAAGTTAGTAAATTAATTTAAGAATATAAAACTGTCGATTTTATGGTCTTTTCTCTTCTTTAATGTATTACGTCCCCTGGATTTGGTGAGGGTGTCCCCAGCAAGTCTCCATCTCGACCGGTTCCGAGCTTCATACTTAATTTCTACCCACGTCTTGCCGATGCTCATCGCCTCATCTGCCACTGTTTGTTTTTGCTTTGGGAAATCACGCTTGCGCTTAACCTCAGGGTCCCCTTCAGATCCTTTCCTCTAAAGATCCTTTGGTAGATTAATATGCCAATTGCGGTGACTTTCACAAACAATGTGTATTCATCCATTCATTTAACAAAGACACACATCACTGTTTCTATTATTGAAAACCACATTAAATTCCGTTCTTTACTTTAAAAAAATCTAAAGGTACAAGAAAAAAAAGCGACCTTACGAGTATTTTAAACTATGTCTTCATCATCATCATCATCAAAAGCCCCTAACAGTCCACTGCTGGACAAAGGACGTCTCCTAACAATGGAGGTTTTAACCTACTATACCACGCTGGACAGGCGGGTTGGTATAGCGTTTGTTTCAAGCTTTCCTTCTTTTTGAAGTGCTGTTGTTTTGCACAGTTAGCTCCCATACTCAGTTCTTACGACACTCACGGGAATAGGGGTGGTGACACTCTGTATTCTTAATCCGTCACCACACGGTTAATGGACCACACGATCACACGGATAATACTATGTAGAGATAATAAATTTAGTTCAGATTGTACAGCCAATAAATATTAGTTTTAATCTTTGTTGGTTTGTTTAAATTGTCAAGCTTTTATTATAATGATACAACTGATCTAGCAGATTGACTTTTAAATAGGTTTCTTCATCACTTAAGCTATAACTTGAGGCGGCGATTATTTTACGTAACTTTTCGTTTTTCGTGTTATTAACAGCGGCAGGTACTGTTGGAGCAATAATGCGTTTTGATTTAACTGCAATGAATTTTTCTTTAAACTGATGTTTCTTCGGTTTTGTATCTGAAAATTGCCATGATTATATTATGTTACTTTTTCACTTGTTTATTTTAATTAAACTAAACTATATGTTGATTGAACTGAAGTAAACCTGTATGTGTCTAAATGTGTTTCAAAAGTCAATCGAGAAGAAACTTTTAGTATTGAGGAAATTATAACTTAAGCACTAAGTGAGAGTATTTTTAAAATAGTGAAATTTGAAAATCATAGAGAAAATATTCTAAAGAACAAAAGACTCATTTAGTATCTATTAAATACCAACTAATGCATACTTTAACAATGATCTATTAAAACGTTAATCTGTGCGTGATCTGATAAAAATATCAGTCAGAAACAGAGAATTTTTTGCCATAAATAGGATTTTTCTAATTATATGAATGGTCAACTTCTAAGGTCACTGAGACATCAAGAAGATTATGGTGTAAAATATATTCATAAAAATTGACGTTGCTTCAGACAAGAAGTTTCAAATAACGATGACGATAGGTAGTCGGACGTTTATCCAATAGATATACATAGATTGAGTGTTATTAATCAAGATTCAAAGACATTATTATTTTAAGCAGACATACGTTTATATAAATTTGAAGCTCGAAAATTTATATTCTGGTAATCTTTAGCCAGCTCAGGTATGATTCTAGATGTGAATTCCCTCCGGGATCTAGTCGTGAGAAGTATAAACTGTTTCTTAGTGCTAGCAGGTCGGGTAACAGCTGGTCTACTTGATGTACTCCTTGCAAAAATATCAGGATATTCTAAATTGGGTGCAGTAATTATATCCTGTTTTAGCTGAAAATAGAACTTAGATAGAGTCGGGAGATACTCTTCCTCTTTAAAATTGCGATTGGAAAACGTATCTTTTTTAATTTCCTGTGGTGCATTACCAGTTGGAAGGTAATCATTTCTAATGGCCTGTTTTATAGTGACAGTTGATGGTTCATCTTTTTTATTCTCCTGCTTGTTAATTCTGGCTATGGGTTTAACTTTTTTAGTACTGGTTGGATTTTCAAACATTTCCAAGCGTCTAATTAGTTCATTCCATCCTTTGGTTATTTGAGAATTAACATCGATTTTGCTTTGACGCATTAACTCTGGATATTGTGTGACAGCAAAACTACGTTTATTAAAAACTGGTTTAGTCTTGTTCGGTTTAAAACTTAACTCCTTTTGAGGTTGAAATATAGCTGGGCCTGGTTGTATCCGACTTTGTGGATATTTTGAAATTCTGACACTATCATTAGATGTACGTCCTGACAACAATTCTAGGTAGCGTTTGTGCCAAATGTCTTCTTCTTCAGGCTGAAATCTTGCTGTGCCTTGACGCATTAAACGTTTTGGATGTTTCGTGGTGGCAATAGTTGCAACTGCTCCAAGCAGAATATTAGTATTAATTCCTCTATTAGTGTCGGTATGAATCAATCCTTGGTTAGAGCTTAGTCCTTCTTCGGGTGGTTTTTTCTTCTCTATTTGTCCAAAAAATGTGTTCGTTTCAGATTTTGTGTTAAATCGTGGCAGATCTTCTGGGTATTTGTCTACTCGTCGAACAATACTATCCACATGAAATATGTCTGGAGAGCTAGACAATGGATTGGATTTAATTCCAGTAACATTTTGCGGTCTTATTTCAGAAGCTCGTTTAAGAAGTGGACTTTCTGGATATCTTATAAAAGAAGTTGATTTTCCAGGTACTGTTCTTAAATCATTTCTGTTTGTCGTTGAAATATCTGCAAGTCAAAAAATTATATACGAGTACATACTATCCGTGCGCTATAAGTTGAGACTTGCGTGGAATTTGATTCCCCTCCCGCTACCCCTGTCACTTCCCTTCTAGCGCCTCAAACTCAAACTCTCTTTATTTCATATTTTTTTTAAATTGTTTGAAATCGTCCACGTTCTTAGTCAACGCCAGTTTGTTTGTGACGTCACCGCGTTCTGGTCTCAGTAGTACAACAATAATTAAAATAATAAATATTTACATCACTTTGATTAATATTTAAAAAAATAATTTAATTTAATAGCTTTTGTTTAAATGTGTGAGAGACGTGCTTCGACACGTACAGGCCGGGGCAGCCTAGACTGGAGTGATGCCAGGGCTCACAGTAACTGTTTCTTTTTCACTGTGTGAGTGATGGCTATCGGGAGCTAAAACCCTCTTTCCCCTATTTTTGAAAGCGGTATCGTCCACAAAGGAGGACAACGCACTTGTGATTCTTGAGTTGCAGGTACCCATGGGTAGCGGTAGTCGCTTACCATCAGGTGACCCGTGTGCTCATCTGTCAACTATACCATGTTTTTTTTTAAATACTTTTTGCACAAATATCAGTTGTACAATTGCGGACTTAATGCCTAAGGCAATTTCGCCCAGTCTACCTTTGGGTGGTGGGGAAATGTCTGACACTAGGTGCACTAGACATTAAGTATTTAATTACTGCCTCGGTGGTGCAGTGGTAGCGTATGCGGCTGCCATGGCTGAGGTCTCGGGTTTAATTCCCGGGTCGGACCAAATGTTTGTATTATCTACAAATATTTGTTTCGGAGTTTGGATGTTTTCTATGTATATACTTACAAAAAGGTATCTAAGTATTCCACCAGTAAATCAAGCTCTGCTTAGTTTGAAACTAGATGGCGTTGTGTGTAAGACGTCCGAAAATATTGAATATTATTTTTCAAGTAGTTTTCAGCATATTCAGGTTATAGACATTTCTAAGTTTTAAGAGAAATCAATATGTTCATAAATCTTTTTTATCTTCTGTCTTCTCCTTATTCCAAACTATAGTCATTTCATACTACTTTTTTTTATGTTAGAGGGGCCAGACGAGCAGACGAGTCACCTGATGGAAAGTGACCAACCCCGCCCATGAACGTCTGTAACTCAGAAGTCACAAACGCGTTGCCGGCCTTTTAGGAATGAGTACGCTCTTTTCTTGAAGGTTTGAAGGTCGTATCGGTCCGGAAATACCGCAGACGATAACCCGTTCCACAGATTAGTTGTGTAGAGCAAAAAGTGTCTTGAAAAGCGCACAGCACTACTGTCCAGAGCGCCAATTATCCAGGTACTTACATATCATTGAGATTTAAACTTACTTATTAAAGACTGATTGTGAATCGCATTGACTAGAAGACGACTGCGCTTTATCTTCCTTTCAAATTCTCCTAAAAATGTTTTCACGTGATTTATTGTTCGTTTCAGCAGCCTCTTCAGTGGCTCCTCCTGATGTGGCGCTGAAATATAAAAGCAATATTTAAAGAAAATACCACATTGATGATATGTTTGTTTTTCACAGCTGTGGTACTTCTCATTTGAACATTAGTGATAGTTAGTAGTTTAAAGTGGGAGAGCTATGCTTCGGCACGAATGGGCCGGCTAGACCGGAGTGATACCACGGCCTCATAGATAACCGGTGTTAAACAATTCTTTCGTAGCCTTTCACTGAGTGAGTGAGGTCATCACATCATCACATCAACAGCCTATAATAGTCCACTGCTGGACATAGGCCTCTCCTTAGAAAGGAGGTTTTAACCTACTATACCACGCTGGCCAGACGGGTTGGTATAGGGTTTGTGTCAAGTTTTCCTTCTCTTTGCAGTGCTGTTGTCCTGCGTAGTTTGTTCCCTTAGTCGCCTCTTACAACACCCACGGGATGAATAGGGGTGGTGACATTCCGGATTGAGTTGTGCGTTGCTGCCCTTGGAGTCCCTCCCGCTGACTCGAGCGGGAGGGACTCCAAGGGCAGCAACGCACTTGTGACTTTTGACTTGCACGTGTCCATGGGCGGCGGTAGTTGCTTACCATCAGGTGACCCGTCTGCTCGTTTGCCCCCTTATACCATAAAAAAAAGTTCTAATTTAATAACAAGATTCAGAATATTAAGAACTATAGAATTCTGGATAGTAGTTTTATTAGACACCGAGTTCGAGTAGTAGTCACATAAGGAGAGCACATGTTTAGCAGTGCGTTTAAAGTTTTTTTAAATTATTTATTTACATAACTAAACAATTAATTGCCTGCCTCGGTGGCGCAGTGGTAGCGTATGCGACTGCTGCGCTGGGGTCTCGGGTTCTATTCCCGGGTCGGACCAAATATTGGTATGATCTACAAATATTTGTTTCGGAGTTTGGGTGTTTTCTATGCATAATATTTTATTTATTTATTAGTATCCACACTTACTATTATCATTACAGGCATATCCTGATGCGATAGTGTAACTATTACAAAAATGCTTGTTTTACATAACCTCTAAGTTTGTGTTTTGTAACATATAGTATAATACTGTGAACTCACTCAGTGTACAGCTAAATAAGTCGATATCTGTGGCTACTAGGTTTAGGGTGCGCAACGCACGCGTTAGAGGCGCTTCGCTTAGCAAATTAGTGCGTCCGCGCGGCACCGCCAACAATGGCGGACGGCGTCGCCGCCACACATACCCGTCCGGTACACACATGCCTACCAATCCTAATATATTGCTGTCGTGGATTTTTCCCCTCAGTAGATTAAATATATAGGAGGCAAGACTAAGGTCCCTTCTGACTCTAAGCTCGTTATATCCGACCATGCCCAAGACGAACAGAGTCGGATACATAAGTGGGTAAAATGGGTAAACTCCGTACTGTCGCAAATATAAAAACCTCACAAACTTGTTTTGGACTCGCTCCAGCATGAGACTAGTTCTAGACATTAGACTATTCTAGTCTAATATGTATTTATTTCCAAAAAAAAAAACAGTTAATAAGTATTCTATCAGTCAATCTAGCTTTCATAGTACAAGCTCTGCTTAGTTTGAGACTAGATGGCGTTGAGTGTCAGATACCCGAATGTTTTTAACAAAAATTAATTAAATGTAAGCAAACCTGGAGTCACTGGTTTATGCGGTATGCCACAACATGCTAATTCAATTTAGTATATAAAAAAATCCGTGTGGTGTCGTGGGACACCCGATAGGAACGAAGTTGTTACGATCGAGTAAAACTGATTAGACACGATTTTAATTACAACGCCATCTATGAAAGCGGCTATTACCTACATATTTTTCAGTCTATTTTTCAGGTTTCTAATTAAAACAATTTATACATTGGTAAAATCTCCTTGAGAAATGATGTCGAATACAATATTTTTTGCTGAACCTAAGAACATAAATTTTAATTTTACTATTCGATAGATGGCGCTGAATGACTGACAAGTGACAATTCAAAATAAAAAGTGTCGTGACCAATTTTCGTAAGGAACGCGCGATAAGGAAATAATAAGTGAATAACATAAGCAATTAATAACAATAACAATACACACATAATAATATTAAAATTAAACATAATAATATTAAGTTTAGGGTAGAATATAAAAGAACTCTCCCGGAGCCGGGCAACGGGTGAGGTAGCGCAGACGACTCAGGCGCCGGAGGTCGCAGACTGACCTCCGTTTTCATCAGCCCAGGCCCAGTGGTATTTGAGGCCATCTGTCACCCCAGCAGAAGCAGGCCCGTGGCGAGACGCACTGCGGGTTTCCCACACAGGAGGGGGTCATGTGGATCACACAAAGTGTCCTCCCAACACACTCACACCCACAACACTCAGCGTAGTAGGAAACAACATGGTACGCCATCCGTGCAGTCTAGATACTTATTGTTCACACCTAAGCGATCCAAAACTAACCTCTCTTTCTCTTCTTTAAATAGGCTCCAGGCGGAATATAATTCTATTATTAAAAATAAGAATATCGATATGTTTAGATTAAGTTTACCTTATTTTAAAAAGAAACTATTATTGTTAAGCTGAGATTTTTGTAAGAAAATCTCTGCTTAAGTTTTTCTTTTAAGTTAAGGAAAGCCATACGCTCCCAACTCTCTTTTATTTCTATGTTTTCCGTGGCAACCTGTAATTAAGGCAGCACTAATGCTTGTATACCACCGCCATTGTATCTCTTGCTTTTAAGGCATTTGTTCGTGTTGGTTGTACAATTAAATAAAATAAAATCACTCACCTATTCCAGAATCGGAATCAACTGTAGAAATAAAAAGCATAATATTAGAATTAATTCTTCTAAAGAGTCTTAAAAGAGTCTACGAGTAAGTTCAATCTTAGTGGTTAATAACGCTATCGCGAAAGATATAAGTTCAGTCTTCCAGTAGCTTAATTAGCGTTAAAGTAGATGTATATTTAAAGATATACGTGTGGTGGTGGTGACGGGTTAAGAATACAGAATGTCACCACCCCTATTCATCCCGTAAGTGTCGTAAGAGCCGACTAAGGGAGTAAACTGCGCAGGACAACAGCACTGCAAATAGAAGGAAAACTTGAAGCAAACCTTATGCCAACCCGTCTGGCCAGCGTGGTATAGTAGGCCAAAACCTCCTTTCTAAGGAGAGGCGTATCTCTAGCAGTGGACTAGTAAACACTGTTGATGATTGATAATGATGAATTTTGAGACCAGACACACACAGACAGATTACAAAATGTAATATTGCAGATTATACATTTTTTCAACACTTAAAAAGATGATGAAGAGTTAAAAGTACATATATATTTAGGACAGTAGGTGCAGTGCCATCGACGAGCGATGGTCATTTTAATAAATGATATTTATTTCTGTAAAGGTCTTTTCAGATATTTTTACGAGTCGGAGTTCACAGCTAGATGGACTTTCCTAAGACTCACTCTGGGAAGAAACGCCGAAACAAACCACAGAGATGTATTTTTTTAGTCCTTAAAAAAAGTTAAATAAAACTGTGGGAGTACAATATAGGGTTTGGGTAAAAAAGGACCATAGTTTTGAGTCGGCCTGTCCATACAGGCGACAAACGAGACAGAACAAAATTTTCTTATCAAATGAGTCTCAGCCAACCAGATAAGCTTAAAGGACATTGATCAAGATCAACGACCCGAAGCACGACACTACCGCCTGCAGGACATTTGGGAGGTCCGTAGAAAAGGTATTTGACACCTATTACGCGATTGCTTCCATGCCCGTTTTATTCATTATTCATCATCATCAACAGCCTTTAATAGTCCACTGCTGGACATAGGCCTCCCCTTAGAAAGGAGGTTTTGGCCTACTATACCACGCTGGCCAGACGGGTTGGTATAGGGTTTGTTTCAAGTTTTCCTTCTCTCTGCAGTGCTGTTGTCCTGCGTAGTTTTCTCCCTTAGTCGCCTCTTACGACACCCACGGGATGAATAGGGGTGGTGACACTCTGTATTCTCAATCCGTCACCACACGGACAGAAGAATACAATTATAGAAATACAATTCGCCGAAATGATTACAACCTGGAGCGTTTGATGGTGACTGGAGGGGTAGAGGGGAAGAGAGCCAGAGGCAGAAGACCCAGAATATGGTCAGATCAGATCGTTGAACGGCTAGAATGAATAGAAACCAAGCGACTGATCGCAGCTGATGGAAGAAGATGGTTGACAGGATGAAAGGAGGTCACGATCTTCAGCAGTGAGGGATCGACTAGGAAGAAGAAGAAGAATAGAAATACAATATTATACTATTACCCCCACAACCAATCTGTGGAATGGGTTATCGTCTGCGGTATTTCCGGACCGATACGACCTTCAAACCTTCAAGAAAAGAGCGTACTCCTTCCCAAAAGGCCGGCAAAAAAAATGGTCACTTTCCATCAGGTGACCCGTCTGCTCGTCTGCCCTCTCTAACAATAAAAAAATATGACTTGTCATAAAACCGTCACCATGTCGCCACGCCGCTTCCTACTACGCTGAGTGTTGTGGCTTCAAACCCAGCATGGGACGACACTTTGTGTGATCCACAATTGTTGTTCCGAGTCTGTGTGTTCTTTGTGTCCGTTTCATGTATGTTTGTAAAGTCCCCCGCGACACAGAATATATTCCTAATGCGGGAGTTGTCTTACAAAAAAAAACGATCATAAGATGGAGAACAAAACGAACACAAATCAAAAACGACTTGCCTGAAGTGAAAATAATTCCGCATATAAAAATCCAACAACACGTAATCATTCTACACCCTCTTATCTTAATATTAAAATATTACTTAAAAACAAAATTTTCTTATCAAATACATTTTATTTACGATTTATATATTTTATATTTGAACCGTTACAACTTTTTCTCGAAGTCACTTACGATGTATAGTTGTTTAAATAACAAGCTAAGATCGGAATAGTATCATACACAACAGAGATTACAAAGATGAGCTTAAGCAAGAATAAGTATTAAAGATTCAAAGCAAAACAAAAATTTACCTGGATGATATTTTCATTTCATCAAACGCTCGATCTAACCTCGATTACACAAAATTGAAGATGATTAATTTAATACATGGTACATCTCTTTTCTTGCGTATCAAATCTAATAATAAATACAGTCAAGTCTAGAAATCGACTGTTACTGGCACTGTTACTGAAAATGAATATTATATAAAGCAGTGCATGAAAAAACAATATGGATTTAAAAACAGTTTTTGTGCATGTTTGGTTTTTTAATTGTTTCATATTTAACGCTACAGGTAAGTTGTGTTGGTGCATATATTATTCTCTCACATTAGAATATTACCGTAGAATGATCAGTCAATTCTGTTAGTGTCTTTTTTTTATGGTATAATAGCTCGGGTCAGCTGATGATAAGCAAATACCGCCGCCCATGGACATCTGCAACTCAAAACTCACAATTGCGTTGCTGCTCTTGGAGTCCCTCCCGATCGAGTCAGCGAGAGAGGGATGGGCTCCGGTCACTCAGTGAAAAGCAACGAAAGAATTGCTTATCACCGGTTTTCTGTGATGCCGTGGTATCACTCCGGTCGAGCCGGCCGATTCGTGCCGAAGCATGGCTCTCCCACGGTCTGACTTCCTTGTCCCGGCTCCTCTACAACAGATGTCTTGTAAGGCTTATATTTACTGATTACTTGTCTTTTTTTTAACTTTTTCTGTTGTCCAGCTACACCACCAAGATTTGAGAGAAATAAATTACGTGATCCAGTCAGACAAGCCCATGTTTACAGAGGTCGGGAAGCAAAAATTGACGGTAATGTGAATAAGTTATCAATATCGACTTTGAATCGTAAAGAAGTTAGAAGAAAAGCTACAAGAACAGATGCAATGCAGCGTCAAGGCTTGAGAAAAACAGCAGAAAAAAACGTACAGGCAACAACTAACAATGCTTTCATAGAATTTGATATGCGAAGAGCCTTTGTCCCAAAATTGGTTGTATCTAAACAAGGAAAGTAAGTAAATGTTTGTATTTATAAATATGTACTATACATACCATAAATTTTTGACGTAATTATTTTTCTTTTAAGACAACTCCTGCACTAGGAATATATCCTGTGTCGCGGGGGACTTTACAAACATACATGAAACGGACACAAAGAACACCCAGACTTATAACAACAATTTGTGAATCACACACATTGTTTCTTATGTATATTAACAGCAATATTCACACTGCATCTAAGTTACGACTCTGTTTCCATACTTGAGTCATAGACGGTCTACTTTACGTTTAAATAGAGCCGGTCGAACTTCTTCCAAAAGCTTAAATACTTCCTTTGGTATTCACAGGTTTCTAGGAGCGATCTATCACCCGAGAGAGTACCCCTTATTGCTCTCCAATGTAATGTCACCCACATTATATTAGCTTTGTGGTCCATGATAACACATCGTAAGCATAATCATTAGACTTGCAACGAATATTCGGTTACTATTCGGTATTCGGCCTATTCGGCTGCTTTTATTATATTCGGCCGAATACCGAATATCTACATATTATTCGGCCGAATACCGAATACTTAAATAATATATTTTGTCATTGAGAAATAATTGGTAAAATGAAAAATTAAAATCGATTGATTACGTATATATTCATATTTTCATTTCTGTTATAATCATTTAAGTAGTCATTGGTGCATAACACAGGTACATAATCATCTTCTGAATAGGAAAAATGGAGGATTCTATGTATTTGAATTATTGTGGTAATCAAAATTTAGAAGGGTAAGGTTCTCATTTCTTTTATAATAATTTATTAAGTAGTCATTGGTACATAAAACAGGTACAAAATTTAATTCACGTCTGTACAAGTTTTTGGCGCTAAAATCCAGCCGAATACTTTTGCCTAATATTCGGCTATTCGGTCAGGGGCCTCGCCGAATATTCGGTATTCGGTATACTGCCGAATATACTATTCGTTGCAAGTCTAATAATCATCATCAATAAAATCCTTTAATAATCCACTGCTGGACATAGGCCTCTCCTTAGAAAGAAAGTTTTGACCTACTATACCACGCTGGCTAGACGGGTTGGTATAGGGTTTGTGTCAAGTTTTCTTTCTCTTTGCAGTACCTTGCGTAGCTTGCCCCCTTAGTCGACTCGTTACCCACGGAATGAATAGGGGTGGTGCACTCCGGATTCTTAACCCGCCGCCGCACGGGTCATGCATAAAGCAGCCCTCTTTTTCTTTCAGCTGTCTTTGTTAGATTAGAAAAATAAAGTGACAACTCAACTGTTTTTCCATCTAACCGCACAATATGGAATATCCAGATAATATTTTAATTTTGGTTTTAGATCCATCACCGAGACAATTGAAAACACTCATTCAGGAGATAAGTCCATAGATTTAAACAAAGCTGTGTTTAATGAAAAGAGTATTGAATCAGGTTCAGAAACTGTAAATATCGACAAAAAAGTTTTAGATAGAATCCAACAGCTGGAAAAAGATTTAATAGTGATGAAAGATCGAGTTAAAAACGATACCGAAACGATTGATGATTTAAAAACTAAAGTATTACAGAAGGATAAAGAACTCACTGAATTTAGTTTCAACAATCAATCACTGGCGGACAATAAAATAGCCATCAAAAATCAAGAAACAATAGCTCCTAAAGAAGATTTCAGCTCAATAACACCAATAAGTATTGAAATTCAAAGAACTGAACCCAAGAGAGTTCAAAAAGGTTTTACTTTACTCTTTATCATAAAATAAAATCAGACTAGTATTATACAAGTGAAAGCTTGTGTGTAAAAATGTAGTGTTCCCGTTAGATGAGGTAAGATTTGCTAAACCATGGGTAACACAGCGAAAAAACCGTGATTTTACTACGTATTTTGGTGCCTCTCGGTACATCATGAGAATATAACTAAAATGCAACAGCTGAGACAGTGCCATTGTTTTGTAATTTGCTGTTAAAATTGCAAAAAAGTAGTTTTCCACCATTATAAATTGCCTCGACTTTTTATGAAAAGATGTAAAGTTTGAAAGTTTTTGTCAAGTTTGAAATTTGTTATTTTGTTTTTTTACAACACATTTTGTTTTTCTATTGGAAAAATATCAAGAAACCTAATAATTTAAGACAAGGTATACTTCATTTACATACATACACATACATACATAATCGCACACTTGACTGCTGCATACCTCGAAGGCAGAAACTTCAAGACAAGTAGTAAATATGAAAGCATAAGCCTTACCGTTTCTGGTTCTTCTGAGCTGACTGCTTCAGAACGTAAACAATTTCATCAATCATCCCTTAGGATCTCCTGCTCCTCTACTGCTGCTGACTCTAGGGGAGGGAGCTAGGAGTGTGTGGTGATTCCACTAAAAACCACCCCGACGGCCGGCCTTAGGTGTCCTACTCTGGGGAGGACCCGGACCAAGTTATTTCAGGTCCTCCCCGAATTGACACCATGCCTAATCAAGCCCTATCCCAGGGGAGAACACTTCCCCCTTCAATCGCGGCATGGCGGCCCGATCGCATCTTAATGCAATCAGGCCGGCCATTCTATCCCCTACCGCAGCAATCAATCTGCCACCAGAGGTCCCCACTCTCTGGCGGCCCGCGGCCCCGTCGACGGCTGATATCAGCTCCGACGTCCTCTACGTTCGGGATGGGCCCTCTCCCGATCCCGTTCAGCGGTCTCTTTCTTTAGCATTACAACTTCACAGAAGCGCCCTAGCTCTCCTCATCCGCCAGCATGGTAGCAATGATTTCTAGCGGGGAAAACAATAAAACTGCCTACAATGTCGAATAACATGACATCTCTGATCCTAAACTAGGTAGAGATTGTACTAAGTATGATTATCTAAAGTTGTATAAGATCATTCATTAACTAAAAATATTGTTCTTTATTTAATACAGCAGGCAGAAAACAATTCGGCGCCGACCCTCAAACAAAAGATATGGAAATTTACGCCTTTGAAAATGATAACGCTCAACCGATGAATAAACCTGATAAAGACAATCCAACATATCCTATGGAAGAAAACCCTGATTATGATCAGTTGGACGTAGATGATAGAAATAATAAAGAAGAATATGGTCAAGGAGACCCTGGAGATCTCGTATTTGGTATTAATGAAAAAGATAATTTCATGAATTACGATGAATATAAAAAGAAACTACACGAAGAACGAATAGCAGATGGCATTGATTGGAAAAAATTTAATCCTCAATCATTTTTATCACAAATAAGTTCTGAAATTAAGGCGCGATCGAGACCTCCATTTGAGTATCAAGAATTGCCACCATTAGTTCCAAAAAGTGGCAGAAGAATGATACCCGACAGTGCACTGAACTTAACAAAAGCAAACTCTTTATCACCATTGAATACTCGTATGTACGGCGAAAGTAAACGTACACCAAATAAAATAACGCCATTGTATGCCCCAGTACCACCGAAACATAGAAAATTAATTTTAACCACAGTTTTACCAGAACCCACCAAACTTTTGCCATCAAATTTTGATGTATTTAAAACCAACAACGACGCCTATCCAACTTATCGTTTTATACCTAAAAATAGAAGACAAAACTTAGTACCACAAGCAGGTAAACAAAAAATAATTTTAGATAGCACTGAGCTTCTGATAAGAAGTTTTCTAGGGAGAATGAATAAAGGGAGACCTCAAGCACAGAAACCTTATGATTTTGAAGTTATAAAACAGAAGATGAATAGGGAGGGAGTTAAGAGGCGTCAGATGATACACGAAAGAGTAGCACGTCGTATGAATCAAAAGACTTCTGGGAGAAGAAACATGAATTCAGACGAAGTTGTTTATGATTCACAGGAGCTTTTCAAAGATCCGTTTTTAAACGATTCTTTAATATAAATACTTTTATATATAAACAGAAGATAAAATCTCTCCTCTCTTCATCCTTCCTAATTTGTGACCCTTGACTTACATGTGTTCATGGGCGGTGATAGATATTTATCATTAGATAATTAGACATCATAATCATCACACATAACATCAACAGCCGATAATAGTCCACTGCTGGACATAGGCCTCTCCTTAGAAAGGAAGTTTGGGCCTTCTATACCACGCTGGCCAGTCGGGTTGGTATAGGGTTTGTTTCAAGTTTTCTTTCTTTTTCAGTGCTGTTGTCCTGTGCAGTTTGTTCCCTTAGTTGGCTCTTACGACACCCACTGAATGAATAGGGGTGGTGACATTCCGTATTCTTAATCCGTCACCACAGGGATGAATTAGTCATTATTAATTAGTCTGCTCGTTTGGTCCTCACTGATAAAAATCTTTACCTTATTTTTTAACAGTTATTTTACACCTATCTATATCTTTCTTTCTGTATTCTTCTTCTTATTCTTTCTTTCTTCTTTTGTTTGATTTTGTGGAGTGAGTGTTATGCCATCCTACGCAAAGAGAGGAACCTCCGACCAGGACGTGGGACTAAGAGACGTGGCCCAACTACGTTAGGTTCATCAATCATCAACAGCCTATAATAGTCCACTGCTGGACATAGGCCTCTCATTTGAATCCTGGTTTTGGCCTACTATACCACGCTGGCCCGACGGGTTGGTACAGGGTTTGTTTCAAGTTTTCCTTCTTTTTGCAGTTCTGTTGTCCTGTGCAGTTTGTTCCCTTAGTCGGCTCTTACGACACCCACTGGATGAATAGGGGTGGTGACATTCCGTATTCTTAATCCGTCGCCACACGGACGTATGGACGGACGTATGGACTATGTTAGGTAGTTACATATATTTATAACTTTTATTGCATGATTCAATAGTTACAAAAAAATGTTAAGTTGATTTGTGTTTGTTTGAAAATCTTCTGTTTGAAAGTTCTGCACCATCGTTCCACAAGGCAAAATTTTCATCCTTATCACCTAGGAGAATTTGAAAGGAAAATAAACCGCAGTCGTCTTCTAGTCAATGCGATTCACAATCAGTCTTTAATAAGTAAGTTTAAATCTCGATGATATGTAAGTACCTGGATAGTTGGCGCTCCACTACTGTTCGTTTTTCGAGACACTTTTTGCCCCGCACAACCAATCTGTGGAGCGGGTTATCGTCTCCGGTATTTCCGGACTGATACGACCTTCAAACCTTAAAGAAAAGAGCGTACTTCTTCCTAAAAGGCCGGCAACGCGTTTATGAGTCCTGAGTTGCAGACGTTCATGGGCGGCGATGGTGACTTTTCATCAGGTGACCCGTCTGCTCGTCTGCCCCCACTAACATTAAAAACAAACGATTGAGCTCAAAACGCCATACAAACCACTTGAAAGGTATATTGTTCACGTCAGTTTTTTCTTGAGTTCTCATCAATGCAGCTATTATATGCCACAGCCAAGCATGGCAGGGAATAATTAGTTTTATCCTATATACAACATCGCAACTTTAACTCATCTGATGATCCTTTTATATCGGAGAGACATAACTGAGTAATCTATATTTTAAATAGCAATTTGATTAAAATACAAATATTCCACAAAAGTAGTTTCAATGGTCAACAGATTTTTTCTTTTCTAATGATCTATACAATCACAGGAGCCATTCTCCTTCCAGTTTCCCTCTATTTTAAGATAAGCGATATCCTTAACTCTATCTCTTTTGTCGTGTCCGTGTCTTTCTTCTTTAAATAAGCCTCCTTCCTTTTTCTATAAAGAGTAACCAATCAAAACCCTTTGTATCCTTACATATAGGGCTGAACCCCAATAAAATTAAAAGAAGATGGTAATACTGATGAAAACAGTAAAGTAGTTTTAAACAATAAGGAAATTATATAGTTTTTGAACTACAAAATGGCTTTTGTTTTAAAAAAGAGGAAAAAATATTTATTTAGAAACACAAAGAAAATAAATTACAGGAGTGCTTTTTTTTTTGGCCACACGCCCACCACTGTAACTCCTGTACACCAGGATCCACAGCAGTGACCCACGAACAAACCTAGTTATGACACTCGGGAAGTCCCAGGAAGAAATTAAACTGTCTTAGAACCCGCAACGAAATTAATCAGAAGAAAATTGGAGGAGTTGGAAATACAGTAAATCCACTTCCCTCCTTAGCAAAGCGGGGGACAAAATGAAGTAAAATGAAAAAACGAAGGAGTGCTTAACAAGACATAAAATAAGTGTAGCAGATCTTATCAGATAAATATTAAACACGGTCCCCACACTAGGCAAGCCTGTATCGTGGGGTCCCAGCCAAACGTATTTACATAAAGGTATAGAGCTCCTGCACTTCACAATTTTAAATATATTTGAAGTTTATACCAATGATTTAGCAAGTAAGTATGTGTACTAGAACTAGAATGGACAACATATATTATGAAGCGGAATTAATGCATGTCTTAGATATAATGGTCTTCTACATACCTGGTGGGCCTGTTAGTCTAGTGGTTAGTGACCCTGACTGCTATGCCGGAGGTCGTGGATTCAATTCCCACCCAGGACAAATATTGTGTCATTTGTTCTATGTCTGGGTGTAATTTATCTATAATATGTATGTATTTAGAAATATATAAGTATGTTTATCAGCGGTCCGGTTATCATAGTACAGGCTCTGCCTAGTTTGGTATCAGATGGCCGTGTGTAAGATGTGTCCAGTAATTAAATTATTAATGTGGTGTGTGGTGACGGATTAAGAATACAGAGTGTCACCACCCCTATTCATCCCATGGGTGTCGTAAGAGCCGACTAAGGGAGCGAATTACTCAGGACAACAGCACTTCAGAGAGAAGGAAAACTTGACACAAATCCTATACCAACCCGTCTGGCTGGCGTGGTATAGTAGGCCAAAACCTCCTTTCTAAGGAGAGGACTACGTCCAGCAGTGAACTGTTAAAGGCTGTTGTTGATGATGATGATGTGAATTATTAATGATGTTAACTGCCAAAACTAACTATCGTATGTCAGTCTACTCTGGTGAAAAAGCTATCGGCTTAAAAATAAAGTATTAAACAGACACCAAAACATTGTAGTTCGATTTGATTTCTATAATACATATGGTAGAGTCACCCCAATGCACGGAAATTCGATGTAGATAGCGCAAGATGCGTAATACAACATATTGTCTTAATAGTTATTTCTATCGAACCTTACACATATCTAAGAACAATTGATTGAGTTAGAGGAAAACTAGGTATGACATTCAAGGTAAGCTAGCAATGCAGCACTGCAGCAAAAAAAGCTTCAGATCTTTATAAAATTACTATGTTACATTATGCAATTCTAGCTATTGTTATTGGGCAAACGAACAGACGGGTCACCTGATTTTAAGTATTACTTAATAGTCACAAGTGCGTTGCCACCCTTTCAGACCCTTCCCCAAAAATTTAGGGATGGGAGTGTGCATAAGTATAGCTCTCCCACGATAAAAAAAAGCTTCTCAACTGATTATTGAAAAAATAACTCCACAATCAATCAGACAGACGTTGGGATTGACAAAGAATACTTCTAGTAAGGACAGCTACGGTTGAAAGAAGAAATAATTTTCTTTAATAAGCTTTACTCTACATTTAATATTAGTTTAAGGAAGCGTGATGTTCGATGAACTCTTCCAACGTGTTAGTGTCTCATTATTAATACTTGGAGTAGATCCTGATTTGAGTACCAAATGTAAATCCATTGCCTCTCTATTCTTATCTGTTTCACCATTGTGTGCATTTCTCTCAACATTAGCATCTGAAAGACCAGCCAATTGTTCTCCAATTTCTTGTGTCAGTTCTTTTATTAATTTACTAGGTGTTGTTGTCGAGTCTAATAAATTGGATGCAGTCCCTTGTGTTTGAATTATTTTATCATTAGTTTTTAGTTCTACCTTTGCTTTAGGTATAGAAGTGGTTTCATCGTATCTTCCTCTAAATGTAAGACCACTATTATGTGCTTTACGGTCTTGTTCCATTTCTTTTGTGACGGTTGGTTGTAATTCTGTTTTAACATCTTTCGAATTTAAATTATTTGTCTTTGGGTGTGTATAATCGTTTCTCTTATTAACATACCGTCCTTTAAAGACTTCTTTATCCCAATTTTTATCTAACCGATCTTCGCTTGTGATATTTTTTTCTTTTAAGCTTTTTACGAAAACGTTATCTTTTTGTTTACTGTCAGTTATAACTCTTTTTATATTATATTCAGTAGAATTATCATAAATATGATTATTGGACTTAGTGTTCCATGAATTGGTATCATTTGGTTCTTTATTTTCTTTATCTAATTGACTCACTTCCTTTAATTCTGATTTTGGAAAATACATTTTCCCTTGATTAGCATTATTAGATTCAAGTGTTGATACTTGATTTAAGAAGTTTGTAGTTTTTAACTTATCAATATTTGATTCACTTATAAATCGATTTACATCGTTATTTGATTCCATTACTTGTACTTCTCGATTCAAATTAGGTGATTGATCAGTAATTGGTTTTTCATATATATTTGGGCCCTTTGAACTAAAATCATCATTCTTAATGTTTCTTGCTTTTACGACAATATCGACATCGACTGTTTTTGGTTCAATGCCATTTTCTACTTGGGAAACTAAATCTTTAACGTTTGTGTCATTCTTTATATGACTTTTAACTATTTTCAATTCCTTTTCAAGATGTTGTATACGTCCTAGAAGTTTACTGTGATAATTAACTGTAATATCAGGATGGTTAATCCTTCTATGATATCTCTTGTGGTTTGTATCACCAAATTCTTCTATTAAAAGACCTTTCTGAGTAATTATAGGAACCGCTGTGTTATGTCTCCTATATTGCTGTCTGCCAAAATGTTGACTATTAAAATGGCGGTACTTCAGTGGGTGTTTGAATATTTTAAGCTTTGGTTTTAAAGAATCTCTGTTCTGCCGCAATGATTTGATATTGACCGGCTTAAGGTGATCTCCAAAAGTTCTTGAACTTTCTTTGCGATAGCGTTCATTCTTGGATCTGAAAGAGAGAGATCTGAGCGATATTTTTTTTGGAAGAAGGGTTAAACAAGCAGAAGCAACCTGATGGAAAGCAACTACCGCCGCCCATGAACGTCTGTAACTCTTTGAGTGTCTGTATGAATGAGCCTGTGGATCTAATCGTTTAGGGATACTGACTGTTAGCAATGCTGTTAGCGGAGGCAAGATCTCTGGCTCCCAAAAGGCTAGACAGAGGCATATTAAACAACCAAATTTTGCCAACTGTTTTAGTCTCTTTTATGTAATAGGTGGCAAGCCTATTGCAGTCCACCTGGCACATCTTTATCATCATGGTTATCATCAACAGCCACTAGTAGTAGTCCACTGCTGGACATAGGCCTCTCCCTAGAAAGGAGGTTTCGGCCTACTATACCACGCTGGCCAGACGCGTTGGTATAGGGTTTGTTTCAAGCTTTCCTTCTCTTCGCAGTGCTGTTGTCCTGCGTAGTTTGCTCCCTTTGTCGTATATACGAACCCGCCTGGGTAGCGTGGTATCCGCTAGCCAGGCGGGTTGGTATAGGGTGTTTGGTTTTGCTGGACGAGGCGGCTAAACTTTTTGAGAGGCTTCTCTCTGCCCGCATCGTCCGGCACCTCTGCGAGGTTGGCCCCGATCTGTCGGACGCCCAATTCGGTTTCCGAGAGGGGCGTTCGACGATCGATGCCGTAATGCGCCCTAGGGCCGTGACCGATGAGGCCGTGAGCTGCGGCGGAGTGGTGTTGGCGGTGTCCTTGGACATCGCCAACGCCTTCAATAGTCTGCCATTCAGCTGCATCAGGGAAGCGCTCCGCTACCACGGACTGCCAGAGTACCTAAGGCGGCTGGTGGCAGACTATCTTGAGGAGCGAACCGTCATGTACGAGGACCGAGATGGTGTCTTGAGACGCAGGGCCATGTCGTGCGGTGTTCCGCAGGGGTCTGTCCTAGGACCACTCCTGTGGAACATTGGATACGACTGGGCCATTACGAGGGGGTCTCCCCCCCGGGCTGAGTGTACTGTGCTACGCAGATGACACTTTTGTCACGGCCCGGGGGGCTAACTTCCAGGAGGCGGCGCGCCTGGCCGCCACAGGAGTTTCCCTGGTGGTCGGGCGCATTGAGGCGTTGGGATTACGGGTGGCCCTGGAAAAGACGGAGGCCCTACTATTTCATGGGCCCCGTCGTGGTCCACCCGCCGGCGGCTCAATCGAGGCGCCTCGGTCCTCATACCGGTCCGGGCCCAGATGTGGGTCTGGTCCTAGACGGTAGGTGGCTCTTCGACGAGCACTTCCGACAGCTTAGTCCAAAGCTGAAGGACACTGCCTCCGGCCTAGGGCGACTTTTGCCCAATTTGGGCGGGGTCAGTGTTCCCACGAGGCGGCTGTACGCGGGGGTTGTCCGGTCCATGGCGCTGTTTGGTGCACCGGTGTGGGTGGCGGCTCTGACCGGCTCACCAGGAGCGGGCTGGGGCTGGGAGGGGTCCAGAAGGAGATAACTACCTGGACCCCCCTAAAATAGAAGCGCAAAGAGACCGTGTGGTTTTAGTCGGTTCGAGTCCGACACACCGCCCCGCCGAATAGAGTACCCCGGCGGGGTGACGGTCCGAGGGGATTTCCACACGTTAAAAAAAAAAAGGTTTGTTTGGTTAGTTGACACATCTTATTAGGTATATATAATTCTTTTGTAGGTGTGTTTGTGACCTAGGTATGTTTATAACTAGACTGCTGATAAAGATTCATATATATTTCTTAAAGATTAACTAGATTTTGAACACGACTCCGCCCGCGTGTATGTTGGTTATCGCGGTAAAAATAAAAGGGAACTGAAAAATAAGCTAAGTTTAAAACCAAAAGAGAGAAAAGAAAAACTGGAATTTCCTTACCTGGCATTTTTCACATTAGGGTTTTCATCAGATAAATCAAGATCTTTTTTAATTTCAATTGAGTAGCCAATGTCTTTGACCAGCTCTATTACATTTGGAAGTCTTGGTTCAAAGGTGTATAGTTCTTGATCTTCAGAACTGTCACCGTTCTCTGATCTTATTTTGTATTCAGACCTAGCTTCTGCAAAGTCTGCCTTCGTTTTGCTTGGTTTGGTCGTGGACCATTCACTGACGTATGTCGGCTGTTGAGTCTTAAAAATTTTTTTTTCATTTCACTTCTGAATTCTGGTTCGAAATCGTCATTAAGAACTGTTCTACCAAAATGTTCTGGGTTTTCGGTGTATTTTACAGAAATTTGCCTTTTTGAAGTAAATTGTGACAAATCTGCACTATCAGTATCTATGTCATAAAATTTTTGTTTTGTTTCATCAAAAGTATCGCTGTCGTGTTTTTCAATTTGTTTTAATTTCAGAGACCGTTCTAGGAGTGATTTTTTATAAGGTTTACTTGTTGTAGGTGAAGTGGGGGGATCGACAATTCCCTCGTTCTTCTTCATGTCAGTTGTCAAATGGTCGTAAGCGTATGGATCATATTTAAGATCCAAATGTTTTTCTACATACATTTGCCGTAAAGTTATGCCTTCTTCAGATGTTTTATCCTCTCCTTCCTTATACTTAGTCATATCCTTCTCAAAAATTATTTTATGTCTGACATCTATAGAAGGCTTGTGTTTTTTTTTAAGTTTTACATTATGGTCACCATCAGCATCACCGTCGTTGTCGTCCTCTTCAGTAATTTCAATTTCAGTTTTTCTTGTCGTTGGCACGCTATGAGGACGGTTTGTCATTTGTGTTGTTGTGCTTTTTCTGTTTTGTATATCACGTACCCACTTCGCATAATACTGTTTTAATGTGCTTAAATTTAAAATTTTATCCATATAATTTTCGCTTCGAGTTCTAAGTTCTGATACATTTTGAATATTTGTCGTATATTTTGGATCATCGTTTAATAAATCGTAGTAATATTTGAGGTACTCACGCAATTTTGACGTCAGTATTGATCTTGAGTGAACTTGTAGGCTAGAGTATGGATCAAACAGTATTGATTTTAATCCTCCTCTGATAAGTTGCTGTAGATCAATATTTTTTCTCGCTTTTAATCTATAATCTTCCATGTCTTCTATGAATTGATTAAATTTCGAAACAGAATCTTCTTTATACATAGAATTAATGGTATCTAGTAGTTCTTCTTTCTTTACATATTTTTCTTCATTTAAATTATTGGCAAATGCTTTTAAATAATGTCTTATTGTTTCAGCTTGGTTATTATTAATTTTATCAAATTTATCAGCAAATACCTTTTGGAAATCAATGTTTTCTGCTAACTCATGAAAAATACTGCCTCTGTGTCTTTTTAGTTCAGAATTAATGGTTAATACAAAGTATTCTAAATCGTTATCTTCATATTTAATTAATGTTTGAATTAGATTGACGATGAAATCAGTGAAAATGTTTTTATTTCCACGTTTCAAATTGCGTCTGCTGATATTTCTGTTTTCAATTACATTTTTAATTTTGCCAATGAATTTGTTCACTTTATTCAGTATGTTGATATCAGTTTCTTTGTTTTCTTGGTCGAACTCCAAAACTGTCTCCAAGGCCAAGTTGACACTTTTATCTCTGCCATTGTGCTTTGATATTTTGAGATCGGCTGCTGTTTATGACATAGATAGAGAGAGAGAGATAAAAGATTATTCGTATGAACATTTTTATCAACTTTTCCTATTTAGTTTAGCGACTTATAAAAATTCTCTTGCTTGCAAATAGCTTTTTTTATATCAAAGGAGTCTATACGTGCTAACGGATCATCTGTAAGTAACTACAACCAACCATGGACAACTGCAACCCAAGATTTACAAATGCCTTGCCTTTCGAGGATGCTCAGTACGTTCAGGTGTAGTGAATGATCATTTTAAACACGCTAATATGTGTTTGTATCGAAATCTTTGAACTTGGTTTTGACCCAATTCCAAACGTCAAATTAAATTGAAACTTTGCACACTTATCAATGACCGATGACAATACAATAATTTGATAAATTTGGCCGATTGTCCTGATTAGGAATTAATGGCTTTTTCCATACCTAAAATACTGTAGTGACCCTGCCTGCTAATCGAAAGGCCATTGGCTCGATTCCCAAACACTAAAAGGGCGTCATCGGACTTATGACACTTTTGATGCAAGTTAGGATTAGCAGCGGTAGTCGCTTACCAGCAGGCGACCCGTTTGTATATAATATACCAATGGGCCAGTCAAATATTATTATCATCATTAACAGCCTTTAATAGTCCACTGCTGGACATAGGCCTCTCCTTAAAATGGTTTTGCCTTGCACGCTGCCCAGACGGGTTGGTGCTGTGCTGTTGTCCTGCATAGTTTGCTCCCTTAGTCGGGTCTTGCGATACATCACTACACGGGCAGTTAAATATGTATACAATATATTCAAGATGAAATATACCTGCTGTACAGAATATTCCAATGAAAATCATATATTTTAACATTTTACACAAAAAACTACCGATTTATTTCGCAAATAAAACATATTTGACTACTTCATTTTATGGCGAGAATAAACAAAATTTAATTTAACTTTTATTTGTAATAAAATGGGAAAAATTGGTAAAGAAGTCAGGGGGGAAATTTCAGAAATCAATTAAAAGCTCTTAAATTGCCTAAGTTTTCGGATTCCGTAGTTTCACCATGTCCATATGTCTGTTATTAAGTCCGTCCGCTGCTAGACAATTAGAGAGTGTGAGAGTGAGAGTGACGGATTAGGAATACGAAGTATTACCACTCCTATTCATCCCCTGTCGTAAGAGCCGACTAAGGGACCAACAGCACTGCAAAGAGAAATGGAAACTTGACAACCCTTTTTTTTTTTTTTACGTGTGGAAATCTCCTCGGACCGTCACCCCACCGGGGTTTGCGGCGGGGTGGTGTGTCGGACTCGGACCGACTAAAACCACACGGTGTGCCACTCTGCGCCTGTAATAGGAGGGATCCGGGAACAGCTGATATTAAGACATCCGGACCCCTCCTAGAGCCGGAAAAAAAACTTGACAACCCTTTTTTTTTTTTTTTTTAACGTGTGGAAATCCCCTCGGACCCCACCGGGGTTTGCGGCGAGATGGTGTGTCGGACTCGGACCGACTAAAACCACACGGTGTGCCACTCTGCGCCTGTAACAGGAGGGATCCGGGAACAGCTGTTATTAAGACATCCGGACCCCTCCTAGAGCCGGAAAAAAAACTTGACAACCCTTTTTTTTTTTTTTTTAACGTGTGGAAATCCCCTCGGACCCTCACCCCACCGGGGTTTGCGGCGAGATGGTGTGTCGGACTCGGACCGACTAAAACCACACGGTGTGCCACTCTGCGCCTGTAACAGGAGGGATCCGGGAACAGCTGTTATTAAGACATCCGGACCCCTCCTAGCGCCAGCCCGCTCCTGGTGCGGGCTCCGTCTCAAAATTTTTTTTTTTTTTCCTCTCTTTAGGCGACGTCCGGCACACGCGGACGCCGCCCCCTCGCGGCTGGCCAAACTAATGCGGGTGGAGGGGAAACCCACCCCGTCCACCCGCGGCCACACTCAGGGCGGCATGAGGCGGTGATAGGCGGGTCCGAGTGGAGGTCGTCCTCCCGGGCCTTCTCCGCCGCCTCCTTCTGCAAGATTACTTCCTCGCAGAAGGTTGCGACCGCGGTAAAACAACTGTCGCTACCGGCCATGGAGCGTACTACGGCCGGTAGCGAGAGATCCACTCCGATGACTGCGGTGAGGGCCCGGCGCTGCGCCGCCCATGCGGGGCAGACCGCCAGCGTGTGCTGGGCCGAGTCCTCACTGCAGTCGCAGTGGTGGCAGGCGGGACTCAGTTCCCTCCTAGCGACCGAGTGCAGGTACTTTCCGAAGCAACCGTGCCCGGAAAGCACCTGCGTCAGCCGGAAGGAAAGGGTCCCGTGCTGCCGCCCTGCCCACTCGGCGATGACCGGCTGGAGAGCCTCCACGGCGGTGAAGCCAGCGCGTGGAGTCTCCAGCCGGAACGACCAACGAGCCATCGTGGCTCGGCGAGCGGCTTCGCGCCACTCGCGCACATCCTCGGGCGGAGGGCGAAATCCGCTCTCCGCCCGGGAGTCAGCCACTCGCCGATAAACTTCGGCGAGCACTTCCGCCTCCAAATCCCACGGGGGAGTTCCGGCCAACGCGCATGCCACCTCCGTCGAAACGGTGCGGTAACCGCGTATGGCTCTGACCGCCATTACCCTCTGAGGGCGCCAGAGGCGTGCCCTATTCTGGGCGGTCAGAGCCGCCGCCCACACCGGTGCACCGTATAGTGCCATTGACCGGACGACCCCCGTGTACAGCCGTCTTGTCGCGACGCTGGGTCCACCCAAATTGGGCAAAAGTCGCCCTAGGGCAGACGCAGCGCCGACCAGCTTTGGAGCAAGCTGTCGGAAGTGCTCGTCGAAGAACCACCTCCCGTCGAGGATCAGGCCCAGATATTTCATCTGGGCCCGAACCGGTACGAGGACCGAGTTGACCACGATTGAGGCGCCAGGGGGTGGACCACGACGGGGCCCATGAAATAACAGGGCCTCCGTCTTATCTAGGGCCACCCGTAAGCCCAGCGCCTCAATGCGCCCGACCACCAGGGAGACTCCCCTTGTGGCCAGGCGCGCCGCCTCTTGGAAGTTTGCTGTCACCAGGGTATCGTCTGCGTAACAGATTACACCCAGCCCGGGGGGGAAATCGGCGCGAAGGGCCCAGTCGTACCCTATGTTCTCCACAAGAGAGGTCCAAGAACAGACCCCTGTGGAACACCGCACGACATGGGCCGACACCTCAAATTACCCTCTCGGTCCTCGTACACGACGGTACGCTCCTCTAAATAGTCTGCCACTAGCCGCCTCAGGTACTTTGGCACCCCATGATAGTGGAGTGCTTCCCTGATGCAGCTGAATGGCAGACTATTGAATGCGTTGGCGATGTCTAATGACACCGCCAACAGCACGCCGCCACAGCTCACGGCCTCTTCGGTCACGGCCCTCAGGCGCAAAACAGCGTCGACTGTCGAACGCCCCGCCCGAAAACAAAATTGGGCGTCCGACAGATCGGGGCCCACCTCAAACTTGACAACCCTATACCAACCCGTCTGGCCAGCGTGGGATAGTAGGCCCAAAATCTCCTTTCTAAACAGAGGATATAAATCAGTTGACTTTTAAAGACTGTTGATGTGGAATTGAACTTTAATTCTTCTTGCGTGAAAGAGAATGTCGAGTGATCAAGGAGAATCTAAGAAGAAAACTCATTACACCGACATTAAATTTAAGAAAAGAACTAAAAAAACAAAACTTAAAAACTAAAAAATAGAAAATAAATTTTAATAAATTAAAAAAAAAAGGGTTGGGTCCCTGTTGTCAATAGTAAAAAGCTTTTTAGGTTTTTAAAACTATATTTTTTTTTAATATTTTTTTTTATTTTTTAAATTAGTATATTGTCATCGGTCCTCGATACATCTACAAAGTTTGAACGAATTCTGACCGTTTAAAGTCAGTCAAAATCACGCCCAAAGGAGTCGGTTACAAACAAACATACAAGTGAAGCTAATATAAAGTGTGTAAAAAGAGCAAAAAGATGATGATTATATTATAATATAGATTGTAAATTGAAGTTAAATTACCGCACGGATGGCGTAGTGGTAGGCGGTCGCCTCGCCTCGCAAGTGTTGTGGCTTCGATCCCCACAATTGTTGTTCTGAGTCTGGGTGTTCTTGGGTCCGTTTCATGTATGTCTTTGAAGTCCTATTCCTAGTGGGAAGTTGTCTTTTAAAAAGAGAAGAGAAGAAATAGAAGTGAATATATGAATAAGAAACGTGTTGAAATTATTTTACACATTTGTTTATGTATAAACGGCACAAGAGCGGACGAGTCAGACATACTTGATGGTTATAAAACATGTAATAAATTGTATTCTTAATTCCTGAATTTTCACCCTTTGGGTTAGTTTTTTTACTTCAATTTTGTAACGGCCGGCTCGACCGGAGTGATACCACGGCCTCACAGAAAACCGGCTTTAACCAATTCTTTCGTTGCCTTTCACTGAGTGAGGGAAGCCCAAATCCCCAATCCCGCTGACTCGAGCGGGAGGGACTCCAAGGGCAGCAACACACTTGGGACTTTTGAGTTGCAGGTGTCCATGGACGGCGATAGTTGCTTACCATCAGGTGACCCGTCTGCTCGTTTGGCCCCTTATACCATACAAAAAAAATTAGTAGTAAGTATATGCTCCCAAATATCACTGACTGTTTGATCCCGAACTAGACAGAGCCTGTGCTATGGTAACCAGACTGCTGATAAACATACTTATATATTTCTAAATACATATGTGGCGACTCCCACATACAAAAAACAGAAACATACTACAACGCCATCTAATGAAGACACACCGAACTACAGAGTAACTACTAAAATAAGAATTGCTAATCCTGTATCGCGATATAAAGAATTCCCTCGCCGATTAGCATATATACAACTTCCTAACATCAACCGTTGGGCCGCGGCCCGCCAGGCATGATCACCTCGCCTGGTCGGAGGATCCTCCCTTTGTGTTGGAGGGACATGACACCCGTTCCTCCACACATACATATTATAAAGTCGTGCCTGCTCTCGGAGCACGTTGAGCCGTCGCGTCAGTCTCGGTTATTATCCGAACATCTAAAGGAAATCCTTTCGCTGGATCTCTAAAAAGTTCTACAACAGTGTCTTTCTGCAGTACTTCGATATCACCTAGTACTTGGGTTGTGAAGGTATGATAGCAGTCACTTTACGTAAACAATTGAAGTTCAGCCGTATCGTAGTACATTTAATGCCGACCCCAACTTAGTTTGGGAATAGGCTCGGAGGAGAATGACACATATTATACTTTTTTTAGACTAGCCTTGCTTCGTTGCCCGCGGTTATAACAACAAATGCGGGTAACATCGCGGGTCTCAGCTAGTCTAAAAAAAAGTAGCCTAAGTTACTCCTTATGTCATCAGCTATCTGTCAGTGAAAGTCCCGTCGAAATCGGTCCAGCCGTTCCAGAGATTAGACAGACAGACAGACAAGTATTGTACCGTGGAAACATACATTTGCATTAAGTAAAAAGCGCTTATTTTAATATTACAAACAGACACTCCGATTTTATTTATTTGTATAGAAAATAGATAAATTACACCCTAACACAGAACAAATAATCGTGCTCATTACACAGTTGTTATGGGCAGGCATGAAACCCACGACCTCTAGCGCGAAAGTCAAAATCTCTAACCACTAAGCCACCGGGCAAGTCAGAAAATCAAAAATACCCAGTTAAAAAATTCAACTAAAAAACGTCCTCCTTTTTAACACGTCTTTATTAGCTGGGTATGTACGTAACAGAATCTTCAAACGTAATTTTGATCCACATCTAAACCTCGAATTAAATTGAAACTTCGCACTCTTATCAACGACGTCCGACGACGACGACGACGACGAATACAGAGTGTCACCACCCCTATTCATCCCGTGGGTGTCGTAAGAGCCGACTAAGGGAGCAAACTAAGCAGGACAACAACACTGCAGAGAGAAGGAAAACTTGAAACAAACCCTATACCAACCCGTCTGGCCGGCGTGGTATAGTAGGCCAAAACCTCCTTCTTAAGGAGAGGCCTATGTCCAGCAATGGACTAGTAAAGGCTGTTGATGTGATCCTAAATAAAGTATGGTTTCAAAAGACTAAAAAATACGCTTTGTAACTAGCCGAACTCCATTAACGATAATTATCTTCTCATTAAGACTAAAAAGTAACAAGTAAGTGAGTCACATATGCTTCAGCGCACGCCTCTTAGTTCGTAGAAATCAGGATCAGGATCTTCAGGATTAACGGCTTTCTCCATACCTAAAAATACGGTAGTGTATTTTTATATAATTTCGTGCCATGTTCAAATCAGTAGCTACTTCAAAGATTTGCAATTTCTCACAACACTATTGTGCATTCTAAATCGAAAATTCCGCAAATTCTCGAGTTCTTTGTACATAATCCTTCGATAACCGGATACCCATTGTTATTAAGAACGCCATCGACAATAGTTAGCCCAAATTCTCATAGAGCATGACGTTTTTTTTCGTCTAATGTACTTGTCATAATACGCCTCCGTGATTGGATTGTGTAAAGGAATGTATGAATGAAATACCGCTTTCGCATCGTTTTTTTCGGTGGCTCGCACAACGATTATTAAATGTATGTTTATAATGTTGTATACCGCTAAAAGGCCATTGAATAAAGGTACAGGAATGTAGGTACTGTGTTACTTATTGATAACAATCTTAGCGAGTTTACTGTGAAATTTATTTTGTATCCCGCGGTAACAGAAATATTTTTAACTGATGCCAGTCCGTGTGGTGACAGATTAAGAATACAGAGTGTCACCACCCCTATTCATCCCGTGGGCGTCGTAAGAGCCGACTAAGGGAGAAAACTACGCATGACAACAGCATTGCAAAGAGAAGGTGTCTCGAAACAAACATTACACCAACCTGTCTGGACAGCGAAGTATTGTAGATTAAAACCTCCTTCCTAAAGAGCGGCCTATGTCCAGCAGTGGACTGCTAAAGGCTAATGATGAAGATGAACTAGTACATTAACATACGAGAATGAGAAAGGCAGTATTAAAACTACGTGTAAATACACTAATATTTAATTATCTAAATTTACAGTCACATTTGAAGTCATTGTATTGTCTTTATTTGCTGACTTCTGTGTTAACGTATCATTTACTACATTTGTAAGTGGTGTTGTGTTCAATTCTTCTGTGTTTTTTTCTTCTTTTTGGTTCAGTACTATGTCAGTTATTCTTTCATTTTGCTTAACATATGTATCAGAAGATTCTGGCACTGTTCTCGTTGTATAATCTGTTAGTGATTGTTTTCTAACAGTTTTTTCTATTGCGGCAATAATATTTTCTGTAGTTTCATCATTCCCTTCAAATAGATTTTCGTGATTTTTCACAATCCCTCCAAGTGTTGTGTGATGCGAGTCTTTGGTCTGATCAGTTGCTCTAAACACGAAATCGTCGTAAACTCTTAAATTGCCTGTCCTATCCATTGGGTTTTTTGATTCCGTTTTCACATTTTCTGTGTGTGGTTTTAAGTCATCTTTTATTTCATTTTCTTTGGCTTGATTCTCCTCATTTTTATTTTTAAATTGTCTTTCTCTATATACTACTTCAACCCAACTGTTGTCTAATTTAGTATCACTTTGATTATGAAATGTATCATCTTTAATGTGACTTATTTTGGGACTATATTTATTTTTTACAAATTTATCTGCACTTATATTGAATCTGTTATTACTCATTTCTTCATTATTCCTAAAATAGAAAGATTTTTCGGTAATTTCTTTATGGGAAACGGTTTCTTTGTCTTTTTTATTAATTTCGTTTACAGACTTCTGTATATTACTTTCGATAGACCCATTTTCAATTCGTTTCTTGTTTTTACTGTTATTTGTTTCGTCAACTTTTATATTTCTTTCATCTTTCTCTGTTTTAAATTCTTTTGCTTTTTCCAAGCTAGGATAAGCCTTCCTCCCTTGATCTTTATTAACAGGATCGAAAGTATACGCTTCTTTTACAATCTTTGTAGTATTTGATTGACTTTTGTATTGGTAATCATCATATTTTCTTTCTATAAATTCTCTTTCCATAACACCGGATTGTTGATTAAATATATGGTTGTCTATCTCTTTCCTTTCTAAAATATCTTTATTTGGTCCATCAGCGTTGGTTTTTTTTAACTCAGTAATTTCACCCGTATTCTCGTATATTTTTGAGGTTGATCTTATAGTTACCGTAGTTATTGGGGTAGCTGTACGTATATTGCTGTTAACTGCATCAGGTTTACTTTTAATATTTGATTCATTATTATTTAGAACTTTTATTGGATATGTGTCATTCTTTATCCGAATTTTTACTAATTCCAATTCATTTTCTAGGTTTTCTATTCGTTGTAAAACATGTTTATTTTTCTCAAAATTCTCTGTGGTATTAGGATTATAATTTCTTCTATAATAGATCTTGTGCGTATTAGCTTTTAATTCTTCTATAGAAAGACCTTCTTCAGAGCCAATTAGTGGTTTTAGGAACTGTCTCCTAAATTGTTTTCTAGCAACGTGATGTGGAAAATCATATTGTCTAGCTAAGATCATTGGATCTCTGGACATCTTAGATTTCTCATCTACAGAGTCACTGCCGTGTCTTTGCAATAATGAAGCATGTGTTGGGTGATGTTTAGTTGCCTTTTTTAAGCGACCTCCAGGTATCCCTTTTTTGCTTTCATGTTGATTTTCGCTTTGGTATCTGAAATAAATAGCTTTTAAAATATTAAATTTATAAATCCTTTTCTTTACAGGATGTCATGGGAAATACATCTGTAAAGATTTTGTAGAATTGTAATTAAGGCTTTACATAAAACATCTATTTAAACATAAAATTAAATGAATTAATTTAGCTTAAAAAATTGAGGCTCGGATCCCGATCTAGGCACTTATCTGTGTCTAAACCCATGAATATGGATCTACAATCTATACATTTATATCGATTAGGTACATAACTACTTGCTTTATGTAATTGTTCCTTGGGCTGACTTTTCTAATCTTATCCCCACGAATGAAGAGTAAAACTATAACGAGTAGTACAACAGCCTGCCATGATAGCTTCTGAACCTAGTAGAGCATCATCGAGATACATATGTCATCATCAGCATCAAAAGCTTTTAAAGGTCCAATGCTAAACATTGGCCTCTCCTAAGGAAGGAGGTCTTGGCCTACAAGATACATGTGTGAATTATTGGCATTGGTATTGGTTGTGGGCTTCGGTTTCCGCATTTAGATTCAAAAGTGGTCCTTTATGCGTCGAGGACTGGTTAGCTAGGTGAGCCAAACAAGCTCCTTCCAGAAGCGCAGAAGCCTTCTGGGGCGTTCACAGGCTTCTAGGAGCGATTTTGTATCAGGCATGATACTTGTCCGTTGTGTGGCCACTCCCTCGCATTCCAGGACTACGTGGGCGGCCGTTTCTTCTGCTTCCAGACATCCCCTGCACAGAGGGCTGTCCATCGCATTGATGATGGATAGATGTGTGAATAAAGTAACTCTCACCTGGAGCTTTTTGGATTTCTTTTTTTATGTACTCCCAATTCCAAATTCCTTGGTTTCCTGACTTCGATTGAATAATCTAAATCTTTCACCAGTTTTATTCCACTGCCACTTCCCGGCTGGTGTGTGAACATCTGACTACCTCTATCTTTATCTCTACCATGCTTCGGTAATCTCACTTTAAAGTCCGACATACCCCCAAATTGTCTCTTACCATACCTTGACGGTGTTGTCCAATCGATCACGAATGTAGGATACAATGTTTTGAATGTTAATTTCTTCTTTCCAGTTCTAAATTCTGGTATATTTTCGTTATAATCTAGATCCTTGTCAATGAACGTTTGGCCGAAAAGTCTAGCCATTTTTGTTAGTTTAATTTTCATGGTTGACTTGGCTTCAGATGAAAAATCTACAACAAAATCAGTCAGAACTCTTTCTACTGATTTATCATTTTTATTATAAGTTGATTCGCGAGAGCTATCCTCTGCTTTAGGTCTTTGTTTTCCATATTGAGTTTTCTCGTTATATTCATGAGGTTTATTTCTTTTAAGTTTTTCTGTTCTGTGTGTACGTTTACGAGTTATGGGCGAGTTTAAATGCCGAACTGAATATTTTTTAGGTTTACTCTTTTTGACTGTCGTCAAATGTTCGTATGCGTCTGGATCATACTTTAAATCTATATTCTTTTCAACATACATCTGCCTCAGAGTTCTGAACTCCTTAGTAGTTCCAGTACTTCGTTTCTTGTGTGTAATAGTCGGGTTTTCTTCAGATGTTTGTGTAACCTTAACAAATCTATGTTTCTTTTGATGTCTTTCAGATTTCTTACTACGTGAAATCTCTTTGCTGTAATCAGATTTCTTATTACGTGAAATCTCTTTGCTGTATTCAGATTTTAATTTTCTTGTTGTAGGTACGTTTAGTGGGCGTTGGCTTACAGTTGTTTGTCTTTTTGATTTCGACTTTGAAGCCCGTTCTACTTGAACGTTTTCATCATGGGATTCAGTCTCCATATACACTTGTCTAAGAGTTCTTAAAGCTTGCTTATGTTTAGTCACTGCTGTAGCCTTATGAGCGAAATTTTCATTGTAATACTTCATGTAATCTTGTAATTTCGAAAGCAATGATGTTCTCAAATGAATCGTTAAATTTGTGTAATGATCAAACAATATCGTTTTCAATCCTACATTTATTACTTTTGTTATATTATGATCCTCTTTTGTATTTTGTCTATAATCATCAATACCTTTTAAAAAGTTATTCAATTTATCTATAGAATAATCTTGGTACACAGAATTAATAACATCTATCAATTCTTTTTCAGGTTTTGCGTATATTTCTTCATTTATTTTACTGGCTATTGCTTTTAAATCGTCTCTGATATCCGTCCCTTCTTTATATTTCATCTCTCTCAGTGTTTTAGCAAAAGCTTTCTGCTGTTCAATGTTGTCTGTTAACTCGTAAAATTTGCAGCCATCGTATTGATGTTTTATCATTTCTTCGCTGATGATTGAAGCGATATTTTCCAACGCTCGATCGTCATATTCAATTAAAATTTGTATAACATCGATAATGAAATTACTGAATACTTTTACGTTGGCATTACTTAATTGCCGTCTTGCTGTGTCGCTATTTTCGATAACGTTTTTTACTTTGCCGATGAATCTCTGGACTTTGTTAAGGATGTTAACATCGGTCTGTTTGTCATCATTGCCGAACTCGAAGATTGTCTCCAGAGCCAGGTTGACACTTTTGTCTCTACCATTGTGTTTAGAAATCTTTATGACGGCTTCTGTAAAAGAGATAGTGAATATAATCATCAACAGCTTTTAATGGTCAACTGCTGAACACAGGCCCCTCCTTAGAAAGGAGGTTTTGGCCTACTATACTACGCTGGCCAGACCGGTTGGTTTAAGGTTCGTGCCAAGTTTCTTTGCTGTTGTCCTGCTTAGTTTGCTCCCTTAGTCGGCTCTAACGATACCCACAGTATGAACAGGGGTGGTGACACTCCGTATTATTAATCCGTCACCACACGAAATAATAAAGTTTAACGTATTCAGTTGTTCCTTTTTTTCAATGTATTTTAAACAAGATACGCCTACTCTGTATACAATTTTTTTAGGGACAACTCCCGCAATAGCAATATATCCTGTGTCGCGGGGGACTTTACAAACATACATGAAACGGACACAAAGAATACCCAGACTCAGAACAACAATCTATGGATTACACAAAGTGTAATAAGAACCCACAACAGTCAGCGCAGTAGGAAACGGCGAGGTGAACGCCTAAATCCATGCAGTCGAACAAGACGTGAATTAAAATTGACTTCAAACAATATTGTTTTAAAGTTAAGCTGCTAATAGCGTATTATTAGACAATAAATATACCAAATTGAATATACCTGCAATACATATTATTCCATAAATAAAAACCAAGTAATATTTTAACATTTTACACAAAAAACTACCGATTTATTTCGCAAATAAAACATATTTGACTACTTCATTTTATAGCGAGAATAAACAAATGTAATTTAACTTTTATTTGTAATAAAATGGAAAGTGAAATAGGAAAAAACTGAATCAAGTTAGGCGGGAAATGTTCTTGAAATGTGGTAGATACTGATTCTTTTATGTTTACCACTATTATTCAATCATTATTTTATTTTTACATAGCTGACCTCAACTGCATCCCCGTATCTCAAAGGGAATAAATTTACTACGTTCTTACAACTTTTTTCATAAAGCTCGGCTCCTATTGGAGGTAGGGTGATGTTATATAGCTGTTCAGATCCCGCCATAATACTCACGCACCGCCTAACTCTCTCTCTCTAACTCGCACGCACTCAACTTATTTTCATCTACCTTGTAGTGTGTCTTTTTTTTTTTGTATGCATTGTCATTCAATATTTCATTAAATTTTTCAACCTCATTACGAAAGCAGCATTTTAATTTTAATACCTTGGATTACGTCTATACTATAGCCTAGAGCCTTCCTCGATAAACGGGCTATACAACACTAAAATAATTATTTAATTCGAACCAGCAGTTCCTGTGATTCATCAACAGCCTTTAATAGTCCACTGCTGAACATAAGCCTCTCCTTAGAAAGGAGGTTTAAACTTAGGTTTTTTCCTCGTTCCTGTGATTAGCGCCTTCAGAAAAACTCAAACAAAAACAAGCAAAAAGTACCTTATGTTACCCATGAATCTCAAGACACGTATATGGACCCTGACCTGTTCGACCTACTACATGGTCAGTTCCATTAAATTCTGTTAATTTCTTTTCTTAAAGACAACTCTCGCGCTAAGAATACATCCTGTGTCGCGGGGCAATATACAAACGTTTACGAAACCGACACAAGCCGGAGATAGAACCCACAACACTCAGCGTAGTAGCTCAGCGAAATGACTGCTCCACTCCAACATTTAAGACGAAAGAAAGTACGTTTATTAGCCACAACACGCAAAAAAAATAGTGATACTACATAAAAGAATAAAACAAACAATACCAAAACAAGCAATTACGAAACAATAGAATTATCTAATGGTGTGACCAAAAGGCCACAACTCAGCCTTTGCTATGGCCTAGCCTAGAAATGACACCACAGCGCTGACAGCTGAAACCGAAAGCACACACAGTTTTAATACTCTAAATATATATGTGATAATTATATATATACCTACATTTAATAAATAAGGACTTATTTATTAAATGTAGGTATGTTAGTAAGTATAATAAAAACATCAAATAACTAGCATATTGGTAATTTAGACCGGCGGATGGCGTAGTGGTTCGTGTAACGGACTGCTATTCCAAAGGTCGCGGGTTCGATTCCCGCTCAAGTCAAACATTTGTGTGCATGAACATTTAATGTTTGATTTGGTCTGGGTGTTTCTATGTATAATATGTATGTATTTACAAAAAAAAAGTATGTATGTATTTATATCAGTTGTCTAGTACACATAGTACAAGCTCTGCTCAGTTTGGGACTAGATGACGTTGTGTGAATGTTGTACAATATTATTATTACTAATGGTATATATAAGAACAAAAAACATTTACAGAGTAAAGAATTATCGTAAGATTACAATGTCTAATTTAAATTACAAAGTGAACGATTAAAAACAACATATTTGCTTTTGATCTAATGCATTCTTCTTAATATTGTCAGTCCGTGCGGCCTTAATCGCAGGTTCGAATGTCAAGAGGAGAAGGCAACGTTGGTCCATTTCTCCATCCGAAACTTTTAGTATTTCACACCCCAACCCTTAATTTAGCCTACCCGAATTCGCCTTTTTGATTTAGGAGGTATTTTAACAGGCAGGCGACCGGCTGAATTACCAAAACAGCATAGTAAACGTAAAACCATAATAATATTCGTATTTAATCGTGGGAGAGCCATGCTTCGGCACGAATGGGCCGGCTCGACCAGAGTGATAGCACGCCCACAGAAAACCGGTGTTAAGCAATTCTTTCGTTGTCCGCTGACTCAAGCAAGAGGAACTACAAGTGACTTTTGAGACTTTTGACTTGCAGGTGTTTATGGGCGGTGGTAGTTGCTTACTATCAGGTGACACGTCTGCTAGTTTGCCCTCTTATACCATAATTTTTTTATAATAAAGCATCCAATGTCGCCTGTCATAAAACGTACAGCAATTTGTTGCATAGTGTGATTTATTTTTCAGTAGGCACTTTACATTTATTTAGATCACAAATTAATACAGCTGCTATCTCTATAACAGACTTACGAATTAAACTTTCAGCTCTTACACTACTGATGTGAATCTATTTGTTTAAATAAATATTAAATAATTGTAAACATTAATTTGTAAACTTCTTTGATGCTAGGTTAATTTCAAGGGTCGGGCTGTTATCGAGTTTTTTTTTAAATTTTAATCTTAGTAACGGTTCGTAAGTGTTGTCGCTCCAATCGGTAACCGAATATTGTGATTTTTACTAATACCCAAATACAAATCCCTTTCAAGATACGTATTTAATTTCACGATTTTTACCGTTGATTTATGCAAAAAAAACTTCTGTACTACTGACAGAAAAATATTTTTCTTAAATAATTACTTCAAATTTTCTTTTTGTGTTATTATGTACCTACAATATTAATTACTCAAATCTTGGCAACGCCTTTGACAGCACGGAGTCTATGGATGGATGGATGGATTGCAATTTGCTTGATTCTTATTATTTAGTAGAAAAATACTGTCTACAAACTGGTTTATAACATACCTTGGTCAATGCATTTGGCTTCACAAGTTTAAACAAAGATCAATCCTTTTTTTTAAGTTGAACCGACTTCAAACAATAAAATAATAATTACAAAACGAAATAAAAAACTATAAAAAGTACCCTCAATATAACAGGTAACATCATAATAACAATAGTCCCTTCTAGCCTGTTTGAAGTCGGTGCCAAGCCAAATAGGTGATAGGCTTGATAGAATGTCTACATGCTGCGCAAAACATCCTCAACGAGCTAAAATGGGTTACGCACATCTCCTATGATATTATTGTTTTGAATGCTTTATTAAGTAATTGATAAGTTTGCGCACGGAATTGATCTGGTTGGTATTTATTAATTAACAAAATCTTCGATGTTTCATTAGAATTATATTTAATTCTTAATTTTTTATTGTGCTAAAATAAAGCTGACAAAGACCAGTATTACTTCTTGTGCATCGGGCTTGGCACCGACTTCAAACAGACTAGAAGGGACTATTGCTATTAAAATGTTACCTGTTTTATTTAGGGTACTTATGATAGTTTTTTTACTTAAATTTGTAATAATGTTTTAATTTTTAGGGATTTTTGTCAGCATTGTTTAAAGTCGGTTTAACATTTTTTAAATGTCTTATTTTACCATTTTTAGTGTAAGATATGTTTGTAATGAGTAGATAAGTACGATATTTAAAACACTACGTACCGTAATGTATATTACCAAACTGTAGTATGTTAGATTAAATTAAATATAGTTTAATAATTCCGTTACTTTATTTAGATAAGGTAGTAAGATGTTACATTTGAACCCGATAATATATTGTTTTCCACATTACTTAATTTTACAAAACTAGGAGTGATATTTTGTTTCATATTTGAAATAATATACAATTTTCATAATCGGTTTACAAATGAAAGAGTTTTGAGGTAACAAACATGAAAATAATTGCGTAACAAATATTTTTTTGTCTAAAACAATCAAGGTCATTGTTATTAGACAAAAAAATATTTGCTTTCAAAATATTTGTTAGGTGTTTGCGTTAGGTTACAGAGATATGTGCACAAGAGAGTAATATTTGAAATTACAAAACATACATGATTAGATTTTTTAAAGAGGTATACTCTAACTCCTAAAGGTCAAGGACCCTTCTATCATCAGCTCAGCAACATAACATAACGACTACTTAAAGCAAATACCTAGAGAAATAAGCTAAAACACGTCGTCGGGGCAGTAAAATTTGAGGGATTCCCTCGATTTCTTTAGAATCTTATCATCAGATCCTAATTTCGTGGGACCACCTCGGGAATATACCCTTTCGATTACAAAAAGAATTATGAAAATCGGTAAAGAATTGATGGAGATATCGCTTAACAAACATACAAAAAAAAACAGACGAATTGATAACCTCCTCGTTTGTGTTTTTGAAGTCGATTAAAAACGTCTGTGACACTTATTAGTTAGAGTACATCAAAATACCGCTAGATGGCACTATTATAAAAGTTGAGAAACGTGCGTATTAGTAATCTTCCTTGTCGTTAGATGGCGCGACATGCTAGTTTAACATGAATAGTATAGATGACTGTCAAATCATATCAGTATTTTTTTTAAACGTCAAAATGCTAGACCAAATACATTTTTGTGTGACTTAATATTTCGTGAAGACATCCCTTTTTTTTTTGTTGACGGGGTGGATAATCCCTTCGGATCTCCGGCTCCGTGGGGATCTAGTAGCCGACGGCCGGACTCAGGCGCCCTACTCCGAGGAGGACTTGGACCATGTTATTTCAGGTCCCTCCGGATCGACGCCGCGCTTAGCCAGGTCCTATCCCGGAGAAAGAAGGCTTCCCCGCCTATCGGCCAATCGTTATGATAATGTTGCTGCCCGATCGCATTTTTGCGACCAAGCCGCCATCCTATCGCCTACCGCAGCTGTTAATTTGCCACCAGAGGTCTCCACTCTCTGGCAGCCTACGACCAATAGTGACGACATACCTTTTTTTTTTTTGTTGACGGGGTGGAAAATCCCTTCGGATCTCCTGCTCCTCGGCTAGGAGCTAGGAGTATGTGGTGATTCCACTAAAAACCACCCCGACGGCCGGCCTCAGGTGCCCTACTCTGGGAGGACCTGGACCATGTTATTTCAGGTCCTCCCCGAATTGACACCATGCCTAGTCAGGCCCTATCCCAGGGAAAAATCACTTCCCCCTCAAACGCGACATGGCGGCTCAATTTCGTCTTAATGCAATCAGGCCGCCATCCTATCCCCTACCGCAACATTCAATCAGCGACCAGAGGTCCCCACTCTCTGGCGGCCCGCGGCCCGTTGCACACCCGTCCAACTTGTATGCTACACCCGGCCAGCATCAGGTCGGGTATTAAAGACGGTCCGGTAGGGGTTGCCACTGAGACGAGGTCTTGCGGCAAGCCATGCCTGTCCTTTAGATTCCTAAGTTTGAAATAAATTATTTCGCCTGCATCATTACATGTACCATCTTAAATTAGATCCTGAATTGGCCTCCATTATCAATTTAATCTTTTTAACCGACTTCAAAAAAGGAGGAGGTTCTCAATTCGACTGTTTTTTTTTTTTTTTATGTTTGTTACCTCATAACTTTCGACTGGGTGAACCGATTTTGATGATTCTTTTTTTATTGGAAAGCTGGTGCTTCCCGTGTGGTCCCATTTCAATTTGGTCTAGTTCCGACCATGGAATCCATGAGAAAACCATTGAAGTCGGTTTTTTTTGTTAAAATTTTACTTGTATTGATTTGATATCTTGATATCAATCTATACAAATAAATAAAATTGAAGTGTCTGTTTGTCATGTCAACATAATAGGTTTATTTCATGCTTACATTGTTATTTGATCATCATCATCATCATCAACAGCCTTTACTAGTCCACTTCTGGACATAGGCCTCTCCTTAGACAGGAGGTTTTGGCCTACTATACCACGCTGGTCAAACGGGTTGGT